GTCCTCCATGGTTTTCCCACTACAGATACTGTATAGGTGTTCACTCAACCTTACCTGGCAAGTGTGCACACACCCATCCATGGACACATCTCTACAGTAGAGCTAGATGATGGCAGAGAAGACATTTGAGATTATTCTCGAATATTAGTTGTGTCTCTTTGTTTGCCAGCACCACGTCACGACACAACCCACAACTTTTTAGTATTTCAGCCTCCATCATGTAAACTTGGGTTGGGCTTCAATTCAGTGTGTTTACATGCACATCAGAAAACCGAAGTATTGCCCTAAAAAGACTCACTTAGTTTTTTGTAAATGCAAAGCACCCAGAAAATACGGTAGCAATCCAAATACATTCTGCATGTAAATGGGTTCGCCAAACTGAACTGGTTGGAAGCTCGCATTCCAGAAGTGACAAGACCGTGGAAGTGGTCTTCTGACAAGACCATTGTCATAAAGCAACGCGCGTAACACCAAAAAACAGGCCAGTATGTACCAAATAAGCTGTGCTGCAGCATTGTTGTTGTGCATTCCTTCAGCCATTGGTAGTATCCTGTTTCAGTTCTGTCTGCTTCCCTCTCGCCAGCCTCTGTTTGCTGCTTGTGTTGCTATAAGCTAACCGGAAGAATGCCGACATGAAAAGATGCATGTCACCACGTACTGTACCAGAGCGAAACAAACTTTATTTGACAGGCCGGTTTTCTAATGTGCATGTAAACTAGGATAGACTCCAAGCTTATTACAATAAGATCGACCTAGATCGACTTAGATGTCGGTCAGTGCGCGTGTAACCGCACTGTCAGTGCAAGAGTCCATCGAATCAGAATGCTGTGTGAAACCTCACAGTTTATTAATCCTAGCTGTTCTTTGGCTTGATGACACTTAGGTCAAGTCGAGCTGTGGCAGTAATCGAGCCTTTTATCCTAGTTTACATGTTCATTAAAAAACATATTATTGAATGAACTCTGAGAGTTGGTGGCGACATGCACCCATTTGTGTTGCATTGTTCCGTGGCCTCGTCACTAAGGTCAACTAAGCAGGGATGTTGATACATGTGGATAAATTCAGTTTTCTAACCACTTTGGGTTCCTTAGCTTGATAAGGAGTAGTTCAGTTCGGTCGGACAATTCAGTTTTCAGACGCTTAATGTTAACGCACCTCCATGCCTGTGACCAGCATGTTGGAACTGTTTTCTGTTTTGAGTTTTCTGTAACGTTTAACATCGTACGTGTCTGACTGCTGTCTGGGTCTAGCCTTTTGCCTTGCTGTTGTAAATCTCTGATAAACCTTTAAATGATCATCTTTATTCTCACGCGCCAGTACACAGGTCAGAACCCAGTAATAGAGACCAATGGAGCTGGTTTAACCGGGCAAGGAAGTTCTGATCCAAGCTGAAGCATCACTTTACGTGTTGGGTCATCATTTCTGATGCAGATAAAAGAAACGAAGATGTAAACTGATGTGTGTGCTCTGAGTGAGGTATTCCTCTGTCATTAGCTAATCCCAGTTCACTCTTCAGCTCATTACTCCACTTCATGAAAACTGATGGTTCTGAGGAGGAAATGGTGTGGTCTCTCCTGGGATAGGAACAATGACTGTCTTTAGCTGTCCTAATAACAGCATTTTGTATTCTAAAAATGTCTTTAACTGAGTTTTTCTCCAACCTAGCAGTTTTTTTTTCCTCAAATGAGATGTTTCTCAGGTCTGTTTTATCAACTCCAGGTCAGAGTACCTGAAGTATTCATTGGGGTTTATTTGTTTCTAACCCAGGAGAGAGTCTTGTAAGAGGGAAAACAGAATAATCAGCTGAAAGATCCTGTCTTTGTGTTTATTTTTTTCTGAACCTGCTTATTGAAGACTTGTCCTCTACTGTGAATTAGATCCTTGTACTACCAAGTACTCGTATGTAGTTTTGAATTACTGAAGGGTGCATGATTAACCAGGATAAATAAGATAAATCTGGTCATTCTGGTGTGAAAATCTGGACTGTAAACATTAGATTTTCACAGATTAATAAAATTAAGTCATTTATAGAAACTAGAACTATTTTAAGTACAAATGAGAGTGGTCTAGTCTAGAGCTGCACCAATCACTCTTATTGGTCATTCTATCATTTATAAAAGTCTTTACAGAGATGCATTTAGAATAGAGCTGGCCAATAAATCAAAAATGTTTCGTTATCGAAATTTCTGACTCTTACCGTGATAACTTTTTCCATGTCAAATTTTATATTACATAAATGAAAAAATGTGTACGTTGGAAAAGTTTATGTCCCTTTAAGAAGCTGTACCACCATGAGTCACACAAAAATGTGACTCAACGCAATACACGTGACAGCCCCATCTAGTGGACAACTTTTGTTTCTTCACATACCTGTAGTTATCGTCCATTTATCGTTATTGAGGAGAAATACTCAATATATCGTGATATTGATTTTAGGCCATATTGCCCAGCCCTAAGTTAGCATCACTTACTGTATAATCAGTACTTGTTTTTTCATTGTAAACTAGCTTGGCTCAAAGTTTTCTAACATTTGTACCTGAAAGGGACCAAAAGGATCAAACAGAAACTTTTCTGTAGTTTATTCCTGCTGAGGTCTCTCTTCTCTCCCAAAGGATTTAAATGGACTTGAGGGAACGTTTAGGACTTCACTCGGTTAAAACGAGAGACCTGCTGGTTTTACTACAACATAGTCACTGGTCAGGCTGGAAACCAGTTTGGTTCTGATCACAGGCTGTGTGTACCCCTGATTGTGTGTGCGTGTGTGTGTGAGAAGAATGTCAGTCTGTCTACACCACTTCACTCCTGCCTTTTTAATACATTTTTGGCAAACTAAACTATTTTCACTATTCATATCCCAAAGTTACTTTGATTTTCCTCCTTCCAGGGTCAGGACACAAAGCTTTTAGTGTTAACTTAAACGTTTGTGTGTGGTTAGTTGTTCTCTGGTGTAATCTGCAACCCAGACATCTGACTGTTTACCTGAGTTCTTCATGTGAAATCAGAGTTCTGTTGTGTAGAGAAGATGTTCTTACATTTAATTAGAAACCATAGAATGTGAAATATCATAAAATATGAAATATCACCTTAATGGATCTTTGAGTAAATTTAACCAGAAGATCGTATCTTTTTATTGTAGGGATTGTGCAACACTTCGTATCAACTCCAAGAAAGGGAGAGAGTCAGGTTTAAAAAGTTAAAAGATTTATTTCTAAACAATTTGAACAAGACTAACTTTAAACACTATGTGTATGATGTAACTAAGGTGGAGTAAGACTGAGGATGGTGTGTGTGTGTGTGAAATATGTTCAGAACCAGCAAATCCGGAGAGACTATTAGTTCTGAGTGGGAGTGAAAGGGTGTTTCACTCTAAGCTTTGGTTTGGAGATTATAACACACATTGAGACGCAGTCGGTCAGTCTACGTACCCCAACGGAATTCCCCGTTTAGATCCGGAATGTCGGGGGTCCAGCTTGGACCCTCTTGGAACCGACGCCTGTAGATATGCAGCAGTTGGCGACTCTTCCAGTCTTGAGTTACTCCCAGGTCACAACAGTTTATTATTTTATTCTGAAGGAACTGTTGCAGCAGGTGGAACATGCAACAGATTTAATCCAGCTTGTCGTTCGGTTCTTTCGGCTTTAAGAGGAAAGTTACGGATTGACCTCTCCGATAACTTCTCGAGAACGCTTGGAATTCAAGTTAAGATGACGTGGGGCATAGTTTTATAATTTGGATGTTTTGATTTACTGTTGAATCAGAATTTGACAGGGGAAAAAAAGGGGGTTACACAAACACCAACAAAACCACGCCTCGCGTCAGATCTGGAAGGTTCTGATTGGATCAGAAAAAGGAAATGTGTCATGTGACTTTAGCATTATGTGTGATCAGTCTAGTGTCTAGTTTAAAGTTATATTACTTATTAAAATACTATCATAGGATTATAATATCAAGTAATTAATATTCTCATTTCACAGATTGACTGAACATTAAGCTTCACATGATTATTTGGACCAACAAAGTTATTTGATTATTATTTAAAGAGAAAGAGTTCTTCATCTTCTTTCGTCTTTCTTGTGCTGTCCGAGGAAGCAACAGTTTAGATAAGAGCACAGAGCATGAGTGGCCTTGGCCCATGTCTTGTAGATTAGGCTTGTGTCAGAAACTTATGTTTTGCTTGGGCAGAGCAAATAGAGCAGGGCCTTTAGGTCAGAAATGGACAATTCATCACGCTACAGTTGTTTGATTATGGCATCGTACCTGACTCAAACACTCTGTAGGATTACCAGGTGTTGGAACTCTCCAGCTGCTGTAACACTGAATAATAACCATAACTTCTCTGTCCCTGGGACAGGCCCGGGTTAGCATGTATCAGTAGCACATGTGTGTGTTAGCATATGTCTGAATTATTGTAAGTTTCCCAGTTATACAGTTCTAAGTTTGATTTTCATAGTTACTCCAGTTCTAAATAAGCTCATTTGATCTCAGACAGGTTTTGGTGTCTCCAGGTTACTGCAGGTGTGTATCAGCTACCAGCTGTCAGACGAGAACCGTAAAGGCATCCTTTAAAACCTCTAGGAAGGTGAATGGATAAGAACCATCTTTTAAATAATTTCACTTCTGAAATTAAAAAAACCCACACCACTAAGCCATTGAAACATTCTTTTGGTTCTGACTGGGAAAGCTGTTTTTTGATTAGGATTGTATTTCCACTAATCTAACCCACTGTTCTGCTGGAGTCTCAGCATTGTTGTCTCTTCCTGAAACTTGTTTGGTTGTTTGTGGGCTGGAGAAGTGTGAAAAGTGATGTTTTGTGTGAATGAATGCTGAGACGAAAGCTGAGTTATGGAACATCAGAACCGCTCTAACTGATCTGTTATCCCTGAGACCGGTCCAGCCAACAAGAACCAAAGCCTGCATGTGTTTCCTGAGGTTTCAACCTTTGTGTTTATTAGTGAAAAGGTCCAGAGCTGTTGGTTAAATGTGTCCTCCTCTCTCTACAGGCGTCAGCAGCTCAGGATGTCCGCCCACCTCCTCCTCCTCCTCCTCCTCCACCTCCTCCTCCTCCTCCTCCTCCACTGCCCAGGGCTTCTCCCTCGCTGAGCCAGCCATGACAAGCCAGCACACACACACACACCCCTCCTTCAGCTCCATCCACTCCATGGCTGAGCAGCAGCAGGTAACACACACACACACACACACACACGATTCAGATATTCTCTGATGAACCCAAACACTAGAACCTGACTAGTTCTGAGAAAGATCATCTGGATCTCTCTGCAGGAAAGAAGGAGTAACCAGAACAGAAAATAAAACGTTTTTCTTCTAACCAGTAGCCTCATACCACTGCTGCTGCATCATTAGCATTTTTTTTATTTTCTAATGTTTTTTATTTTAATTTTAAAAGAAGAGCAGACACCCGTCCATCTACACCAGCTAGTGTCAGCACTAGTCCTAACTCTTTAACAGGTTAAAGTAATCCAGGGAAACATCTTGGCCTTGACCTGTGCATGACATCTAAACCACTTCCCCCTTTCCTCATGCACAGCTTTTAAACCTTGTTAGGAACAGAAACATTTTCTAGATCAAGTTGTTTTCTAAGGTCTGACCAGTTGTTTCTGCTTTCTCTTTGGAAACAATAAACATAAAAAAATAATATTTTGACTTACCCTGTGGCTCTACGCCCCACCCTCCTTAGTTACCATTGCTAACTCGGACTAGTCGTCTGAACACCTTTAGTTCGGTTAGTGCTGAAACAATTCTTCAGCAAGCTCTTGACAACTTTTGGAGGCAACAACAGTGAATATCTATCAGGTGCTTTCATAAATTTTGGCATCATGCCGTGGAGATCAGATGCTCAGATCTGTGTCTGACGACTTTGAGAGAAACATCATTGAAGTCCAGCATTGTTCACATACAGCTGAGTAATGGGTTAATTTCATTTACCAACCTTTAGCTTGGGGGTTTTGGCCAGAGGGAAATTTCTTATGAGCACAAACACATGTGGACAAAAATGATTTAGTGTCATGTTCTAATGCTACCCTGCTGCTTACCTCACATTGCCTCAGAAAGCTGTTGGGTTAGAAGTTTCTTCTCTGATGAGGAGAACGATTACCAGATAGACAGAGAGTTCAGCCATGCGCGCTTAAGTCTGGGTGTGACACCAATGACCCACAAGCCGATCTGAATGCTGATGGGAAAGAGGATGATGATTGTCTACAGAAACTGCATCGTTAAGGTTTATTTTCTTTCATTGTCTATTGCTTCTATTTCTGCGCTCCTAGATGAGCTGTCACCACCTCTACAGTCCTCAGGTGCATCTGACTGTCCATGATTCAGTAATCTACAGAAATGTGCTGCCAGCCAGGTATATACGAATATACACCAGTCCCTCCAACCACCACCAACTGGCAAGGAGGGTGAAGTGAAGTGTCTTGCCCAAGGACACAATCGCTAACAAGGGTGGAACCTGGGTTCAAACTGGCAACCCACCGGTTTCAGGGCAAACTCCTAACCTCTGAGCCACTGTCATGATGCAGCAGCCCTGGTCAGAAGCTACTGGTGAAAAGAAAAGTTTATTTTTCCTTTTCAGCTGACTTGGAGGAACTGCTCAGTCTCTCCCTCCTGCAGAATGATCCAGACATTCCTCCTCAGAACCAAGGAGGTTCTACGATGTTCGTTTGTCAGAGAATATCCGACTCACCACAACTCTGAAGGTTTTATAATAAAATCAGCTTCAACACAGTTAATTGGTTTTAAATTGGGCTGCAGACAGCATTAATCAAAGACAGAGTTTGTCTTCCTTCCACCGGCTGCTCATGAGCCTCACCTGATCAACTGTTTGTAAGGGAGTGCTCTGATTGGTCATGGTGCCGATGAAGCTGTTAACACTTAGTGGACAGGGTTATGACTAATGCCTGGGTCAGGGTGTGTGCTGCTCCTGATGACCACTGCTCTCTGCAGGTGCTGTCTGATATGACGATACTCCAGCGGAGGATCCCCCCCAGTTTCAGAGACCCTGGCAGCGCTCCGTTGAGGAAACTTTCTGTTGACCTCATCAAAACTTACAAGCACATCAATGAGGTGAGACAGGAGAACCAAACACGGTAACAGTTTCTGAGACTTCCCTCTCACATCCAGGCTTTAGAACTCATCTCCTTGTTCAGTGTGTTTGGATTGAACAGCGTGAAGTGTTCATCTTCACTTTGTTGGTGACCAGCGAGACATCATAAACATGGTTAAACACTCACTTGCTTCCTTCCTGCTATAACAGTCTCACCTGGTTTGTACTTTTACCACCAGGTGTACTATACCAAGAAAAAGAGGCGAGCCCAGCAGGTCCCTCCTGAGGACAGCAGCACGAAGAAGGAGAAAAAAGTTTACAATGATGGCTATGATGACGACAACTACGATTACATTGTAAAAAATGGAGAAAAGTGGCTGGACCGCTATGAGATAGACTCACTGATAGGGAAGGGCTCCTTTGGACAGGTAAGCTGGTCTCTGCAGACATCAGAATGTCCAAATCTTGTTGGAGTAAAAATGTCCTCTGTTTTGATAACATGAAATTATGGGTCCCTTAAACAGCTGTAGCGCTCTCATGCATCATCTAGAACCGTCACATTCCAGTCAGTCAGAGGCTTGCCTATGTAATAAATCACATTTGTAGTTAAATCTAATTTTAAGCTCCAAACAATCACAAAAACAATAAAATTAGTAAGTAAGTAAGTAAAAGTTTATTTATAGAGCGCCTTTCACAGATATAAATCACAAAGTGCTGTACAACATGATAAAGATCAGGGCAAATACCTCTAACCAATAAAAACATCAGAAAAACAATAGCAGTGATAAACGTAGAAAATAAAATCATGAGTATAAACAAAGTGAAGGTGTGAACCCAAACAAAGCCATCTTTTTGAACATTTAGGGAGGGAACGCCTGGATGAAAAGGTGAGTTTTTAGATGATTTTTAAAGACCTCTACTGTGTTAGAAAGACGGAGATTTGAAGGTAGACTGTTCCAAAGTCTGGGTGCAATAGTCTGAAAGGCCCTGTCCCCTTTGGTTTTCAGTCTGGTTCGAGGAACAGCCAGGAGGTTTTCACATGTGGATCTAAGGTTCCGAGAGGTGGTGTGTGGGGATAAAAGCTCAGATAGGTAGCTTGGAGCCTGGTTGTTAAGAGCTCTGTAGGTCAGGACTAAAACTTTAAACTGTATTCTATATTCTACCGGGAGCCAGTGGAGGGACTGTAATTAATACATTAAATTAATACAAATAATTCTGTCATGTAACATTTTGGAAGCATGCTCTTATTTTTGTGTTGTCCTCTGAATGACTCACAATTGTCTGGTGGTGGTGAGCGAAACAAGCTAGCAGCTTATGGTCTCTGTATGTTCTGTGTGAAGCGTTGATGCTCCTGGCAGAAACTCATCTTAAAGAGCACTGGCTTCCTGTTTGGACTTCCAGGCTCCCGTAGCAACTCGTCTCTGCTTTTGTTGTAGTCTTTCTGGTCTATGTTGTCTCAAACTCCCACACCATACCCTCATGACCATCGGTGAGGATAGGAAGGAACGTTGACCTTTCACCTTCACAGACCTGTTCAACTTCACTGCAATGAATACTGTGTTCCTTAAAATAAAAATGTGAATGAGTCATCCATCTTTTTCAATAATCTTGATGTCAGTAATCAGGATGACTTTTCCTAACTGGAGCAGTGTGTCTGTGTGTGGATCTGCAGACCCATGTGGTAGGCACACAGAGCTCCCCTGAGGACAGCGCGTCTAACACACACACATTGATGACGAGGCTGTTTGTGTGCATCTACAGGTGGTGAAGGCCTACGACCACCACGAGCAGGAGTGGGTCGCCATCAAAATCATTAAGAATAAAAAGGCATTTCTGAACCAGGCACAGATTGAACTGCGTCTGCTGGAGCTGATGAACAAGCATGACACTGAGATGAAATATTACATAGGTAAGGCACACCACACACACACACACACACATTTTATTGAGAGATCTATAAACGTGTCGGAACAAACACAATCTGCAGATGAATGAGTCCTGTTGTACTTGAGTGAAGTCTGACACTTAAACAGAAATTGTCACAAGCTCCTTGGCCTCATGTCCTGCGTTGCTTTGGCCCCTGAACGTCAGGCAGTGAGTCGGACCCAGACTGTAGAACAGGATTTTGTTTTCAAAAGAACCAATTAGATGCATTCTAACTTTTTGTTTTGATGCCGTGAATCCAGTAATTGTTTCATCAGAACTTTCTATCAGCCTGTTCTAGTCAGGGTTCAGAATCGCATCAGGGCACCGGTTGGGTAAAGACCAGATGTTAATAATCTAAAGCTGTTCTTTAGTTTGATTTTGTTGTTAGACGACCTTGGGGGTTTACTCTGAAACCAGTTCAGCTCGTCCTAATCCTAAACTCTCCACCTAGGATGACTGTGGGATTAAGATGTTAGTTTGTTCATTCAGACTTTCAGATTGAGTCTTTGAGTGGGTTAACATTAAAAGTAAAATTTCACAGGTTTTCTGATGCTTTAGCTCAAAACTCACTGATCAAACAAATAAAAGTCCCAGCAGGGACTAAAGGAAAGTCGTTCTGGCCTCTGAGACTTCACTCATAAATAACAGCAGGTTGGATCATTAGAGAGGGAAGGAAATGGAATCATAACAAGTCGGGTCCATGACGAGTGTTATGCCTTTCAGACACATTAAAACCTAATCTCTGTTACCATGGTAATCTAGAGCCAGGTCTGTTACTATGATGACCTAGAGATAGGATTCTGTTACCATGGTGATCCAGAACCAGGTCTCTGTTACCATGGTGATCCAGAACCAGGTCTCTGTTACCATGGTGATCCAGAACCAGGTCTCTGTTACCACTCATCTCTGTTACACACAGACAGATCCTCATTTGTGATTCCAGGAACTCCCAACCTTTACCCTGTCACAGTCTGTGTAGTTCAACCCTCTGGCTAAGCTAGCAGAGGAGCAGATGCTAACTTTTTGACCAGAATTGTTTAATGAGAGGAGACCAGATAGAAGAAATGGAGTGGATGTTTTTTGCTATGCTTTGTCAGGATTTCTGTTAAATGGACTTTCTCAAAGCTTAGTGAGCATTTAAAAAGCTGTGATACAATGTTGGTGTTGGGTAAGTCACATGGAGCTATAGCAGCTCAGCAGCTGTGAATCAGAACGCTTTTGGTGGATGAGGGTCGTGCATGGGTCAGGCAGCAGGCACAGGCCCCATTGTAGCGTCAGAAAGGAGCAGGAGCCGATACAGCTGAAACCAGACTAGTAGATATTAGGGGTTGTATGAACTAGCCGACTAGTCGACCTCACTGCTCTGTAGTGACTTTTTATGCCTGTCATCGACTAGTCACTGACACGTGATAATGACCGGTAAGATGCAGTCCTCGGAAAAGACAGCAGGTGACAAGCTCCTGCGCGTCGGGAGGCAACGCGCTGTGCCAGAGCGTCGGTACTGACACCCGCCGTAAAACGGACATTTGACCAAATTGTGACCTTTACCCTCTTACAATTTAACATTCCCCTCACCCCCATCCTAACCTTGACCAGCTTGCGCATGCAAAGCTCTGATTGTTGATGCGCTCCAGACATCTGCGTCCTGAGCACGGCCACAGTAACATTATCAAATCAGGTGTTGCCACCTCAAAAACAAATTTAACACGCTATCGTTCATGTCGGCTCATTTCCTTTTATGTTTTCTGTCTTTTATTCTTTTCTTTGTGCCTGATGCTTTTCGCTGCTGTGGAGCGGGGCGCATCACCTTGTCCTCCGGTGACGCACCTCACCGGTGCGGCCAGCGCACACCCTGCTGTTTTTGCAGTCGGTAGATCTTTTAGAACTGCAGTTCAAGGGTAACTCATAAGGTGAATAGATATGAACCCAGGTAGTAGTTTCTCTTTAGGATTGAGAGGAGATGCAGGAAGATAATAAACAGGCAGGACAGAAAAATAGTCAAATAAAAACAAGTTAGTTTTTGTACCTGGTGGTTGCAACAAACAGACACCACTGAAGGTAATCAGAGGTGAGGAACAGAAAATGAAATAATTATTGTAATGTTTAGAGCAGCAGGAACTCCGAGAGGCTGCAGGCGCATCAGTGAGTTTGCGGCCGCTGCGCAGGGGGAGGGGGGAGAGGGCTGAAGCAGGGGGAGGGGGGAGATGGCTGAAGCAGAAACTACCGTTGTTAAAAAAATGTGTTTAACTTTGAAAATGTGGGCACAATTTTAATCGTCAAAAAAATACTCCAGCGAACCAACCGACTGACCCCCCCCCCGCGCCTCTTCAGGTGTATGACGTCATCAACGACTAGTCAAAGTCGACTCGATTTTCATTACTTGACTGTCGACTTTAAAAAAAATTAAGTCATGCAGCCCCTAGTAGATGTATAGTTTTGGTTGTTTGAGCAGATGTCAGAGCAGTAAGAAAAACACATTCCAATCAGCTGGATGGTGAGGAGTGAAGGGTGTAAGTAAGTCTGTTTAAGGATGCTTCATCCTCCCTGCTACCATGCTGGGTCTAAACTGTGCTCATGTCTGAGTAATGAATCTGACTGAGTGTGTGTGTTTGACATGCTGGTACTAGGTCTGCACAGAGCCCTAAAGGGATGCTCTGAGTGACTGGTTGCCATGGTGATTCCAGCACATGGCTCCAGAGCCTCCAACAAACAGCTACTGAACAGAACCAAACAGCAGACTGGTATGGACCACCTCCAGAGATGCTTCACTTTGTCAACTCTGGTTCTGTCAGATTCCAGTTTCTGTTAGACTCACAAACATGGAAGAACTTCTGTTTTGATGTGTAAATAGTTTAAGATGAGATAAAAGAACCAATCCGCCAGCATGCACCTGATTACGTCCTTCTGGGTCTGCAGCTTCTAAGATGGGAGATTAAACCAATGTAAAAAGAAACTGTCTCAGTAGAATCAGCAGCACTGGAGGTGTTGGGCCCTTCGTATCTCAGTTAGGTGGGTTAAAAAAACCTGTCGTGTGTTTAAGGTTCCTAGAGAACGTTGTGTTGTCACAAAATCCTGCTGGTAAACTTTAGCTCAGTGTGATGATCGCTGGACCTCAGAAACAGAGCCGCTACAGCACCTCTGGTGTTACAGGGATTTCTGTACGACAAAACGTACCTTGTTTTAATGTCTTTCCCCCCACCCCTCTCTCTCTCTCTCTCTCTCTCTCTCTGTGTATGTAGTCCACTTGAAGCGTCACTTTATGTTTAGGAACCATCTGTGTTTGGTGTTTGAGCTGCTTAGCTACAACCTATACGATCTGCTAAGGAACACCAACTTCAGAGGAGTTTCCCTCAACCTCACAAGGAAATTTGCACAGCAGCTCTGTACAGGTAGGTAGATGGAAATGGAGACCGCCTGCTTTAAGCTCCGCCCACTCACTCACCCACTCACAGACGAGCCCGGTGGAGCAGCCATGGGCTGCTATGAACTCTATGATTAGAGTTAAATGTGTAATATCTAACATTTTCTGACTGAAGCCTCTTTTGGGGTAAATGAATCGTTCCCCTCAGATCTGGAATGTCTCGACCATCCCTGAGCTCCAGAATGCAGCTGTTTGGATGGCTTCATTAAAGAGCAAGTCACCCCCAAATCAACTATTTTTTCCTGATAAACTATATAAATGTGTGTCTAATCGTGCTGCAGACACGTGTAGCCAATAGTTTTGCACTTTAGTGCATTTTAGTTCAAATTTTAATTTTCTGTCTGAAACTGTCAGTGTTGTGCCGTTGTCAGGTAAAAACTCTGCACTGCATTTGAATTTAAATCTGCCACCGCTATTGGCTAAGAGGTATGCTATGATGTAAACTGGTACATTATGATGTCACAATGTCATGAGTGTGTGTATTTGTTAGTGGCTCCACCCTCTCGGTCTGCTAGGCAACAGCATTTGTTGCATTTTTCAAACATGAAGTGGGAGTGAAGTACGCTTCTTGTAGGGGGTGACTTGCTCTTTAAAATGATTTGCCGTTGTTCTCGTTTCTTCTTCCTTCAGATCTGACCACTTCAGTTTTGTTTTTGTTTTTATGCTCACTACGATCTCTCAGCCACACTCCCAGCATTCACCGCTGCACTACTCAAAGGAAATAAAACATTGTGTGGCTCTACGTCACTTACAAGAACCTTCAGTCTCAGGGAAATTGTGCTTTCTCGACCTCTTGGTGAAATGCCACAGATCCGCCATATGATTTAAATGCAGATTATTCCAAGATAACATTCATTGACCATTCACAGCAGAAAGCGTGTTTCTAGGAAGGGTGTGATTTGTAAAGCAGGAAGTGCGTGCAACCGTGCGTACACAGTGTTTAATAGGTCCGAATATTGGCTCGCATGATTCATTTTTATTCCTGAGCTTAAGTTAAGTTTTAGTAAAGATTCTACACAAAGTTTTATAATGAGGTCCCTGGTCTCTAACTCTCTTAATAGAAATCAGACAATCCCCACATTTGTTGTCATTTGGGTACCAGAAAGTAGTCCCACAACATCTCTGGTACATCCTGACTAGAATGCAGGACACTGGTGCACGCTGGTCTCCTGACAGCTTCATGGGCGTTAACTCGCATTTCACTCTGCAGCCACCTGAGGGAGCCAGCTGTCCAGTTAAATTTGGTTTGGCCCAAGGGTTTGGGGCTACAGAGGGTTTAAGGGTCGTTTTAATGAGCTGTGTTTTTGTCTGCAGCATTATTATTCCTGGCCACTCCGGAACTGTCAATCATCCACTGCGACCTGAAACCAGAGAACATCCTGCTGTGTAACCCTAAAAGATCTGCCATCAAAATTGTGGACTTTGGATCTTCTTGCCAGCTAGGACAGAGGGTGAGATCACCTGCTTCAGTCAGGTTTTATAATCAACATCAACATTTCTTACAAGTAATCACCTGGTTTTAAAGTCCATGTTGGTGCAGTGATCATGGATTACCAGCATAAGTTGAAAGGCAGAAATAAAATATTTGAAATTTGTATCATCTACTTAATATTTATTATTAACCTGTAGTACAGAAATAAAATAGTGCCGTAATAATTATTTTTATTGTGTATTTTAGAAAAATAAAACTATTAATTAAATTAATTAACTAAATCCTGTCTCACACACAGAAAACCACATTATGTGATGTTTAAGTCGTTTAGTGTTGACAGAAGTTACAAAACAACATTATTTATGTTGGAACGGTTCCAGCTAAAGACCAATAGAGTCCCAATAGAAGTTCTGACCCAATACTTCCTCTTTAACCCTCCTGATGAACCGACACTAAACTCAGATCCAGACCTGAAGAAGTCAAACCTAATTAAATAAGTTTAGCTCCTCCTCCTCCTCATGGCATTCATCTACCGTCCTCCACAGATCTATCAGTACATCCAGAGCAGATTCTACCGCTCTCCAGAAGTTCTCCTGGGAATGCCGTATGACCTGGCTATCGACATGTGGTCTCTGGGATGCATCCTGGTGGAGATGCACACGGGGGAGCCTCTCTTCAGTGGCTCCAATGAGGTAACCCCAGATCCAGCTGCACGGCGTTCACCAACCCGGTCAACACTGCAGTCACACCTGTTTGTGTTTGCTTCTGAACAGGTTGACCAGATGAATAAGATTGTGGAGGTTCTGGGGGTTCCACCCAGCCACATGCTAGATGCAGCTCCTAAAGCTAGAAAATACTTTGATAAGCTATCAGATGGCTTGTGGACCGTGAAGAAGAATAAGGATGTGAAGAAGGTAAAAGTCTGCTTTTATTTTGGTTGTCTTCATGGTGCTAGCGGGTCCCTGGCCCATCAGCCTATAGAAGATAAGATCAATTAGAGGAGGAAGCTCATCACACTGATTGTTGTCTTGTAGGAGTATAAGCCCCCAGCCACACGGCGTCTTCATGAGATTTTGGGCGTGGAGACAGGGGGCCCAGGGGGCAGGAGGGCTGGAGAGCCAGGACACGCCCCCTGTGACTACTTGAAGTTTAAAGGTAAAACCTTCCACCTGTGTTTATGTACAGCAGTCATGTGGGGTCTTGTCTCTGTGGGGTTGTTCTGGTTGACGTGTCTTGAAGATTGAACCAAACAGCAACGCTCCAGCTCTTATCTGTACTTGTGAGATTTAGATCATGACAAAAGACCAAGATCCTGGATCCCAGCGGTATAAAAGGTCTTCTTCTGTAGGGAGGTTGGGCTCAGAGTAAAGCTGCTGCTCCTCCTCATTTAAAGGGGTCATCTGAAGTAGTTGCTTCCCTCTGTGGGTTTGCAAGGAGACCATGGTGCAGACCCAGAATTCTCTAAAGGGATAATTCATCCCCTCTGGTCTGGAAACACCTTGGGATTCTCCATGAGGAGATGGAGACTGTCACTGAAAGAGGGAGGGTTGGGTTTTCCTCTTGGCACTTAAATAGGAAAAGCTTGTATGGATGGATGGACTCCAGCCTTCACTAACAGCCCGTGTCTGCTGTGTAATAATGTGACTCTAATGAAGACCCCTCTGATGTGTTGAAGTGAAATATTTCATCGTGTCTTTATGTTCATTAGTTGTAGAAACACCTTGTAAGCTACAGAAATCTGTTGTTCTTTTCCAGACCTGATCCTTCGCATGTTGGACTATGACCCTAAAAGCCGAATCACACCATTCTACGCCCTGCAGCACAATTTCTTCAAGAAAACAACAGATGAAGGAACAAACACCAGTTCATCTACATCCACTTCTCCTGCCATGGACCACTCGCATTCAACCTCCACAACTAGCTCCGTTTCTAGCTCTGGTAAAGTAGCTGCTGTTAGCATCAGGGCCACGCCTCACTGTAGCACGATACCACAGTCATACTATTTAATCCAGTTTATTTATTTAGCACCAACACAAGTCGTCTCAAGGCTCTTTACAAAGCAAACATTCCAATTGAACCTTCTTGTGAAATTTACGAGTTTAGAAAGAAAAGAACGATAATTATCTTTTATATAACGCCTCTCAAGATAAAAATCACGATGCGCTTCACAAGAACAAAAAATTCAAAATACTAAAAAATTAATAAATCTTAAAAAAATGATTTAAAAAATATGGTTATAATTAGAAGAAAAAAACAATTAAAATAAAGAATTGAGTTAAGTTCATTATCCCAATGAGTTAAAAAGTTTTCTTTCTAAGGAAACCCAGCAGACTGCATCCAGTTTATATAAAAAGGTTTTTAACCTAGTCTTAAAAAAAGAAGAGGTGTCTGCCTCACGGACTAAAGCTGGGAGCTGGTTCCACAAGAGAGGAGCCTGATAGCTAAAAGATCTGCCTCCCATCCTATTTTTAGATATTCTGGGAACCACCAGTAGACCTGCAGTCTGAGAGCGAAGTGCTCGGTTAGGAACATATGGAACAATCAGGTCGCTGATGTATGATGGAGCTTAATTATTAAGCGCTTTATATGTGAGAAGAAGGATCTTAAAATCTATTCTGAATTTAACAGGTAGCCAATGTAGGGAAGCTAAGACAGGAGAAACTCCTGAAGGCTCCTCCTGGAAAGGATGCTTCTAATCTTAGCAATATTCCGAAGGTGGAAAAAATCCATTGGTTCTTAAATATCTCTCACACACACACACACACACACACCATACAGTGCAGCAGGTTAGGTTGAACTGTAAACAACTAGAAACACCAACTTCATTTATCTGTGTCTCTTTCAAAGCCGTTAAGATTCAAACTAAATAAGAGTCTCTAAATGGATCAGAACCTTTATGTAGGACAGCCTTGTGAGCAGAATCCAGATGAAAGCCACATGAGTTATCCCTCCACCCCTTCTGGTGGTCCAGACAGCAGGTTTCTAAAAGCAATTTGATTTATTTCCAGGTGGCTCCAGTGGTTCTTCCAACGATAACCGCAACTACCGTTACAGCAACCGCTACTACAACTCTGCTGTAACCCATTCAGACTACGAGATGACAAGTCCTCAGGTATGCACCGCAGCACTCCGCCTCAAACAATTAACCTGTCAGCAATAAATATTTCAACAATGAGCAAATATCTGAGCTTTTATGTAGTTTTTTAAACCAAACATGCTCTATTTGATTGGGGGGGGGGGGGGGGGGGGGGGGCTTCAGACAGCTACTGGAACCAGCCACTAGAGGGCGTGTGGTTTGTCTTGGCTTTAATCCCCAGTCCTGGGTCCAGCTCATTTTTACAGTATAGCAGTATAAACACCAGGGGTGTAACTAAAAACCCAGATCGTCGCGTACCCGTGTTTTATTTTCAGTTTCATTCATTCTCCGTAGAGCGATGAGCAAAATGGATAAATAATGAACTGGTTCAGCTTTATTGAAATTTAAAATTCAATTTGCAGTAGGGACAGATGTGCGTATGTTGCTAAGTTTAGTTTGAACTTGTGTAGCATCATCACGGTTGCTAGGCAACAGGACATACACCGAGGTACAATTGTCCAGTTTTCTCAGTGTCTGGTACTGGACTGGGTAGGTCGACTCCTTTTAAAGATGAAGACCCTGAATTTGGACACAGCCACATGTGTTGCTGCTCCACGTCCACGTGGGAACTCTGCACGCCTCTGTCCCGTTCTAAACTCATACATGTACCGGTATACCCACGGGGCAGACCGGTGTGCAGACGTTACAGCATGTCTCTGTGTAACCGATGCTCCGAATCTCATTACTCACTCCTTTGTTGTTCTCCTCCCAACACCCCAGGCTCCCTCCCAGCAGCAGATGAGGATGTGGCCAGGCAGTGATGGTGGAGGTGGGGGTCAGGACCCAGCATACACCCAGTTGCTGCTCCACAAACCAGCTGCCACCCAGCAACACCAGCGCCACTTTTTGGACCCACCTCATCACCCCCACCCGACCTACTCTCTTCATGGGAATGGTGGGCGTGGACTGAGGCAGGGCGGACAGACAGGCATGGGTGGAGGCGGGGGTCAGCAGGGGTCCTCACCCCAAATGAGTGACAGCATGGATGTGGGTGTATCCCTCGGGCTGCACCACCTGGGGGCAGTGTCTTCCATGGAGGCCTCTCAGTTTGGCTCTGCATCTCTGCCCCTCGCTCTGCCAATCGGACTGTCTGCCTTCCGGACTCGGACGGCCCCCACCGCCCCAGGGCCACAAGCCCCACCCCCCGAGGACTACTATCCTGCCTCCAACAACAATAATCCCGCTCCCGGGGGCAGAGGGAGGCCAGATTCAGACGAAGGGCCGGCCAACTCTTGATAAAACCTGAACCACGCCCTAAAGCCATACAGTTTTAACTACAACTACTACGATTACTCACAGCCAGAGTTCAGAGACATGCCGGTGGATTTAGTGCTGGGGGAGATGGTTTCTCCTGCATGAGAGAAGGAAGGAGGAGGAGGAGGAGGCTGGAAACATGTTCCTTTTATCCTGTTTTAGTTTGATGTCATTGTTGCGACTGTAATTGGAAAAGAATGAATAACAAGTGTGTTTTTATTGATATTGTTGAATAATATTATTTGAATTTTCTTGGGTTTGAAGAGTTGGGTGTTCTTTTGTTGTTTGTGTGGAGAGGAGGAAGAGGACGAAGAGGTAGCAGTGAGGGCCGTGATGACTCCATACTCTGACTGTAATGCATCGCCTCAGAAATCTACACACACGCATGCACACACGTGCACATGCACACACAAGGTGTGTGCATGTGCATGTGTGTGTTGCATCAGGACAGAAGCTTGTGTGTTTGCTGACCATGTGTGGCTCTTTGTGGATGAAGAAGGTGACAGGACACTTATGCTGGCTCTCCTCCTGATCCTCACCCCACCCCCTGTACTCCTCTTCTTGTTCTCCTTCTTCTCCTGTAGTGTTCCTCCTCCAGACAGCTCCTCCTCTCTGTGCTGCTAATCACCATGACAACTGGTCCGGATTGCTGCTAAAAAATCCAACACAGATCAATAAAAAAAATAAAACAAATAGAAACAAATGAAAAACTTTTTAATCCTTGTGCTTAAGAAAAGGATAAAGTAAGAACCACTGCATCTCAATGTATTTATTACTATTTAACAAGAAAAACAAACTGAAAATAACGTTTTTTTCTGCTCTTCTTTGTTTGGTTGCCTTCTTTCTGCAGGTGAGCTCTGATTGGCTGTTGTAACAGAGACAGTAACTGGTGACATGGGAATGCCGCTGGTTGTGGGGGTCGGGTCGAGGGGAAGGGTTGGGGCAAAAATAATGTTGGATATATAATAAGAATAAAGAGTATACTTTTGCACACCAAAGTCAAACAACATCAGATCTCTGCCTTTCTTATACTCACATGCACACACCCACACCTGTGCAGATCTGAGGAACTCTGGTTCTGGTATCAGAGGTGCTCCATGTCCTCTCACACCTTTACACCTCAAACAGGAGCAGGAACCATCATGTTCATTATTGGAACTTACAGAATTTTAAAGCACCAAGTAACAAACTTGGAGAGATCCATAAAACCTGGTTCACACTGTGTGTGTGTGTTTTTTTTTTTTTGGGGGGGGGGGGGGGGGGGGGAGCAACCAGTGACTCCGCCCTCGTGCTAGTCAGTTACAGATGCTGACTGATGTTGAGTTTCCAGCACAACTCGGTACGTCACAAAGCAGGTACTTACAAAGGGGTGGTAACCTTGTACTCGTTACTGATGGAAATGCCATCCAACTGAACCAAATGGGTTCAAGTTGCACTGAAGAGGTACTAATGGAATCACACCCCCTTTGATAGCTGGCCAGCTCTAGGAAGAGTTGGTGGTTTCCAACTTTCTCTACTTACAGACGATGGAGGCCACTGTGCTCATTGGGACCTTTTAAGCTGCAGACATTTTTCTGTAACTTTCCCAGATTAGTGCTTTAAAATTATCCGGTCTCTGAAGTCTCCAGACATGTTAAGGTTGTTCTCCGACACGCTTTATCTTCTGTGGGACCTTTTATAGACAGCTGCTGTTCCAAATCATGTCCAATCAACTGGATTTACCACAGGTGGACTCCAGTTAAGCTGCAGAAACGTCTCAAGGATGGTCAGTGGAAACAGGAAGCCAATGAGTTTTGAGCTTCTTGGCTATGGCATGTGTTTTCTCAGTCTTTTGTTGTTAATAAATTAGAAAGAAAAAGAAACTTTTTCCTGTTGTGATACCAAAATAAGGAAAAAGTGATGAGCTGTGAAGATGTACTGGATGCTGACCTGCAGAAAAGGGACACAACAATACAACTGGAGCAAGCTATCACTGCGTCAACTTGATGAAGAAATATATAATCAACATTGTTTTATTGAACAATCACAACAATAAATCACAGTGCATTAAGTGCCAACCACAGCCGTAAGACATGTGTTGAACGTGCCCAAATCCATACTTATGAGAGCATCATGTGAGCACCTGTGTGCGTACATGCGCTTGTATATGTAAGGTTTCTCTATAGGAGCGCCATATAGAGAGTGTGAGGGGCCACAGATCTGCCCCCAAAGAGGAGATGGAAGGAGCTCCAATTCCCAGAGATCCAGCAGCTGCCCCAGAGCACAGGGACCCCAGGGAGACTGCAACCAGAAAAGCCCCTGCTCCCCTTGAGATGCGCAGAGGATTGCCCCGGGGGGGCACAACCAGCAACCGGCAGAGTCCCTGGAGATATCAGCGGCAAGCCCACAGGCCCGCCCGGAGCCTCCCACCCTCCAGCCGGCCGAGCCCGGAACCCAGTGACCCGGGACCCAGGGGCGACCACCCCCGCCGGGGACCCAGCAGAGCCCAGGGACTCAGATCCCACCAGGCAGCCACCGGGATTGATCAGGCAGACGCCAAAAATCTTAAACCCCCTGACCCGGGAGCCACGAACACTCAGGCAGACCAAGGCACCACACTCTACACCAGGTGTGGCAGGGGGAGGGGAGGCAAAGATGTATAGCATCAAAATAAGTCCCAGGAGAGGGGAGGAGTCCAAGGCCCCACCTGACATATACAGTCATACACAGACACAGTCACACACTCCCTCCCTCATGCTCACACATACACATACAACCTAAGACTTACAAAAATGCATGCCAGACACCCACTCATGCTCCCCATACACACCCTATTCACTCTGGTCCCGGTACTGCTGCACCAGGGGTACAACCATTACCGGTTTCCAGAGTTCGACCCTGTCTGTCGGGGTGCTGATGAGCAGGCTCCCCCGCCCAAAGCAACCCACCACCCCAGACCCAAACCAGACAGCCAGATCCCCCTCCTAGCCTCAAGCCCTGGGAAGCCAAGAGACAACAGAGGTGTGCTAAGACCCCTACTCTCCCTCCGCCTGCACCAATATAGTGTTAGTGCGTGTTGATGAGGTGTATTCCATGGCTGTGGTGAGCGGGCAGTGCGGGCATCGTCTGGCCTACCCAAGCTGATGCCACCACACCACCCCTCTTCCCCCCACAGCCCTCTGTGTCTAAGTGCAGATTAAAAATTGGAAGTGGGCACCGGCACTCGGGATGAGACTGAAAAATCCCCTTGCCAAATGCAGCTAAATGTGCTTACTCCCAAGGCCCTAAGTGTGTGTTTGCGTGGAATGTCGTTGGTGGAAGTGTTTAAGGTGCAAATAAAATTGGGGGGCAGGTTGCCACAGGAATGCAGAAATGGGGTCCATACCCGCACCCCCTGACTTGTCCACCCCCTAAGGTCCTATGTGCATGATTGTGTTATGATGTGAGGGCAGGAGGAGAGAAATGTGTGGGGATGGGGAGGAATGGCTGGTTGGTCTATGCCCTCCAGGGAACCAGCTCCCCCACTGGCCCCAATAGGCACCTCTGTTGCCAAAATGCCACCCAGGGCATGGAGACCCCAGCCCATCTTGTCAGGGCCCAAAGCAGCAGCATGGCAGAGCCTCACGGAGTCCGAGGGCACCAACCCAGCCCCACCCCAGCAGAATATTTACTCCCATCCCTGCATTTGCACAACTTCCAGAATATATAAGACATAGGACATCCAGGTAATGTTGGGTCCTCCCCCTCCTGGACATCTCCCTCCCCTGTGATGGGACAGCAGAGGAGCCAAGGTCTACCTGAGGCCCCTGAGCTCGGGCCAGGCACTTCCCGCGTTCTTCCCGGCAGCATACGGCAGTACCCGACCCCCAAGGCCCCGCCCAGATCCCCATACTGGGCTGGTCACTCCCACACCCCGAGCCCCCAGGTTCCCACCCAGACCTGCTCAGGGGCAATGCAGCTGCCAGGCAGTGACCCATGACCACCGCCAAGACCCCCAAGGGGCCCCACTCACAACCGTCAGTAGTCCACCCCCGAGGCAACCCAAGCACCTCCAGAGGGGGGCAACAGCCCCCCAGTCCCAGACACCCCCAGTGAACCCACCTCCAGGGAACGTACGTCCAGATACTCCAAACTCAGACCCTCCACCCCATCACCCACATCATCCCGCAGGACAATATCAATGGTCCCCCATCATCGCTATGTGATGGAACCGGTTAAAGGAGCCCAGAGAGATTGATTTGAAGTGGAAGCAGAGGCTGTATCAAGTGTAATATGATCTAACAATATATATATATATATATATATATATATATATATATATATATATATATATATATATATATATATATATATATATATATATATATATATATAGATAGATAGATAGATAGATATAGATATATTCTATATAGATATATACTATATAGATTGAATCAACCTGTGTTTGTGCGTCTCTTCCTCTCGTTTTATGCGTCTCTTCCTCTCGTCCAGCAGGGGACGGAATAACACAAACAAACACACTGGTAGCCAGCTGCTAGCTAACAGCTAAAGGTCATAACTTCACATATAAACACACATTAAATTTGAAATTCGGATCGTTCCGACCCAGTTGGAGATTGTGGGCCGGGTCGGTGTTCATATGTTGAGACTATTTGTGCTCCACTAAGAAGAGACGAACCGCGGAGCTTCCATCGAGACAGTAAGGAGCTGCAGTTTGGTTCTTCTCAGGTTTTTTCAGAACCGGACTGGGTTCTTGTTTATAATCCGGATCAGATTGGACTCCGGTCTGTTCAGGAGACGTAGCCAGAATCTGAATGGATATTTTGCTCTTTATTGTGGATTTTTTTTAGCTCAAACAGGTCGGGAATGATGATTGGGGTCAGACTGCAATCCTGCTAAAATCCGACAGGGGGCGGCAAAGTTCTCAACTGTGTGTGTCTCCATCAGGGGTGACCAGTTTTTAAGACATGGGCCAAAACATCAGGGTAAACGGCCTTCTATGTCAGATTTAAAAAAAAAAAAATAAATAAATAAATAACCTATTTAAAAAATTGGCTCCTCAAAAATAGGTGTCAAATAAGTAAGAATGAAGCTGCTGGAAAGACCAAATCCTACCATTCTAGGAATGCAGTTAGGGCTGGAAATGGCCCCAGACTCAATGACTGAATACGTTTTTTTGAGTTTGAATAAGTTACTACTGCATATAATTTTCCTGTGGGATTAATAAAGTGTTGTAATAAAAATGAACTGAGGTGAATCTCAGCTGACTAAAAATGATAAAAAGCTGCTTTTGCTATCTGGTGATGGAGCAGATTGATGAAGCTGCTGCTCGTGTCTGTGACAGGTGCTGAACATGGAGCTGACCTCAGGATACTACTCTGGTTACCATCAGTGATGTCTATCCACACCCTCCTGAGATGCTCCATCAGGTAACACACCTGATGCATAGAAGTACAGTAGAACCCTGCAATGGGTTTGGGAGCGTTTTAGTTGGTGTATGTGTTGGGAGGTGAGAGCTATATAAAAACAATAGCCACATGCATGCAGAGTTAGAGTGATGATAGCTTTGTTCTTTCAACTCAGTCTTAGATTCAATGCTATCATCATCATGGTATCTGAGGACCTCCTGCTATCATCCTTCATCTTGCATGATAAACATTAAGGTGGATGTGTGTTTCCTCTACAGGGCTCGGAGGAGACCGCTGGTCACATCTTTGTCCAATCACAGGGCTTTATCTGGGGCTGAGGCTGTTAACGCTCTACGACCTTTTTACTTTGCTGTCCATCCAGACTTCTTTGGTCAGCATCCCAGAGAGCGGGTGAGTCCTGAACATTAAACCATTTAGTGGTTACACAATAAAGACGTTTGCCTTTAGTAGAGTGTGCATAAAAAACCCTTCTCCTGCTCTGATGCCATCTGTACTTTACTCAGTGGGACTCAAGTGGATTAGGTCTTGATGGATGGCGTTTCCATCCGTAACGGGTCGGTGTTTGCTGCCACTTTTTTAAAGAGGCAGTGGGTAGTTTTTACCGTTAAACTCTGAAAACATCCATTGAAATGTTAGGAAAACAAATAAATGATGCCCGGTTGTTGAAAAAAAAAATTGTCAGCTTCGTAACACATAACCATAAAAATCTGGTTTAAAATACACAAGAGCAGGTCTTAGTCTCTGGGTGGCGCCATGTTTCCTTCTACGGGAGCCCGTGAGGACAAACCACATTTACTGATTTGTAACAAACGGTCACAACATTTTCGCCATTTATAAACGTTGTCACACGTTTACCTCTTCACTTGTTGCCGGTGATGAAAGGGAGTCTGACGTGCTCGTCATGTTGCTGAAAGTCGCGCTCTTAGGGAGTTTTGATTTAATACCTACTTCTATGTGGTTCCAAGTTGGCTGAAGCTTGGCTGAAAATGCAACATCAGCAATTGTCGGTAACTGGTTGGCTAATGGGAGGAGTCACTGGTTGCTCCAGAGCTTTTTGGCCGCTGCCGTTTCCTGGTTCAGAGCCTGACAAAAGCCACAGACTGAACAGAGTTCAACATCACCGTGTGTTTCAGTGCAGCACACTGATCACCTCACAAGCGCAGATGGCACAGGAAGAAGGATGCAATAAAAAGACTCCTTTACCTTGTCTTTACCGGTGAACCTGGTTTATTTGGCAGGAAGTGAATGAGAACTCCTTGAAGAGGCTGAACAGTTATCTGGAGAAGCTGCAGAAGCCGGGCTCCGATGGCGTCCGGCCAACAAAACTCACCTTTTATGTCCGTGACACAAAGACCATGAGTGATGATCAAGCAGACCTTCTGTCTTCAGGTAGAGTTTTACTGATTTGACTTGAGAGGGGCTCTGATCTGATAGGTGGTATACCATCTACCTGATTCTCAGGTTTCAGACCAGTGAGCTTCACCCTGCACACCAAGGATGTGCTGAGCACGGTGATAAACGTGCTGGCGTCCTGCAGCCTGCCCATAGAGCACATGAAGAGGCTGCTGGAACGATCTGAGGCATCTAAAGGTCCAGCTGAGGTTCTGTTCTACAGACCCATCAGGTGGGATAAAAGCTACTACACCTTCACTGGCTTCAGAGACCCTGAGCAGGAGCTGGAGCAGGCCCGCAGAGTGGAGCCCACACTGGGGTCAGTACCAGCACAACTTATCTACTACATCTGTAGGTCTAGTTCTGATAAAAGCAGCAATAATAATTCTAGAGCTCAACACGGGTCTGGTTTACATTTTGATAAAGTGAAATCCTGCGTATGATTGTTCTACCTGCCATGTTGTTTTTTTATTTCCAGTCTTTGGCTGAGGAACAACGAGCCAGATGCAGCGAAGAAGCACAGCGCCAGCCTTCCACGAAGAGAAGAGCTGAGCAGACTGAGGAGGGAACTCTGCCAGAGCTTTAACTTGGCAGACATCAGGTAGGAGAAATTAGCCATCACAACCTTTTTTCTGGATCATCCCTCCTGTCTGTGAAAGCTAGTGGGTTAGCCAGACCTCTTCACACAGGAGGACAACTATGGCTGCATTTACACTCAGGCAGGCTCAGACTGGCCCTGGTGGGGTCATTGCATCTACATTAGCATTATCCGTACGGAGCCGACCATTTTATCAGCCCTGCTTCCCTGCGGTTCGTTTCATGCGGACCTGACCGTACACACCCACCTATGGACTGATTGGCCAGCTGAAGTGATGTTACTCTCACACCTACCTACTAGTGGCAGTGTCTGATTGGTGCACAACACATGAACGATTCAATCTAGATGCAGTGGAGTAAACATCTTCTCTGACTGCTGCTCAGACCGAAGATGCAGCACGACGACTGACCATCTGCTGTGAGTGCTAGTGGACGGGAGGAGATCATGGTAGCACCACTGCTCAGTGTTAGAGTAGGAAGCTGTGTGCTTCATGTCAGAGTCTCCAAAAGCACCACTGCTCACTCCCGCTTTTGTTTACTAACTTGCGTCACTTAGGAAGGACACCACAGACGTCTCTGTGCCACTTTAGTGGAGTCTGCCCATGTACTTGCTCACAGCTGCATTCCTGAGGAAGCTATGTAAACATAAGCGAGCTGAGCTGACCAGTGTGGAAATGTGCCACATGACCCCATCACACTGTAGCATCTGCTAGCTCCTAGCTGTGTCCTCACTCAGGGGCAGGGAGGTGGTCTGTGGAGCAGGCTGCTGATGGATACATGCTAGACAGTGATCCGACCGGTGGTGATGTCATTTGTGTGGTGCAGGTGGCAGCGTAGCTGGGGAGTGGCTCATAAATGCTGCCAACTTCAGAGTCTCAGCCGACTGTCCTACCAGAACCCAGAAGCTCTCATCAACCTGCAAGGTACTGGTGCTGTGTATGTGTGTGTGTCTCCGTCTCCATCCTGGTGCAGCAGGTAGAGATAGTGTGGATGTCTGAGAGTATCAAACAAAACTTACTAAACAAACTTCCCACCAGGACACACTGTTGTGTTCGCTGACCAGTCAGGAATGAACGCCTCGGGACACGTCATGCTGGGAAGCATGGACGTTCATCACCAGTGGGCAGAAGTAAGCAGCTGCAGTCATCTATGGTTGCACCGGCCGTCTAGATTCTGGTTTCTGACCTCGTCTCCATGTGTCTGCAGCTGTTTCAGCAGCTTCCTGGCTATCATAGCCTTCAGCAGCAGACCGACTGGCTAAAGGAGAGGATCAGTGACCTTCTGGGAGGAACTCAGGTGGTCCACATGGATAAGCTGGGACTGGTCCAGAACATGGCTGAACACTACATCACAGTCAGCACATTTCACAAACGCCTGATGTCCCACCGCCTGCACCTACACCCCAGGAGCCTGGATGGCCTGACCATGGTGCTGGAGAAGTAAGCCATCAGTTTACCTTATGAACACACACACACACACTGGTACGGGTCAGACGGGTGGACCCAGCAGCTACTTTGTACTGGGACTGAATCAGTGGGCAATTGTGTGTGGTGGTGGTAGAGAAGCTGAACTTCTTGACCATAACCTCTGGAACACCAGCACTGATTGCCACGGCAACAAGCCAATGCCCAGCAGTGACCTAAAGCTGCACCTGGATCAGAAGAGGGTCCATCAGCAGCCCATCTGGACCAGCGCTCTGGCCTCCAGGCTCTTTCCTGTATGCTGACTGGTTTGTTTGTGTCTACCAGCGACCGTGCCACTCCACGCCTTCATGAAATGGGGCACTTCATTATTCCCACCACCTGTGACCCCCCCAAGCTGCAGGTGTTCCTCCAGAGCCACGCGGCTGAGGCCAGACGGAGGACCCTGCTACGAAACCAGTGAGTGGAGCGTAGCTGGTCGGAGGACGGTCCAGCCGCTTCTACAAAAATCACATTTCATGTCACTAACCAGCCTTTTATAATCTAATCAGATTAGATCACACCTAGATTGAACTATTTATGTGCCTCTGTGTGTGTAGGTTGCAGGTGGAGGAGGAGGCTGTGCTGAGGTCTTGTCTCCAGACTCTGTCTCTGAGGAGCCTGTCCAAGGAGCCCAGTGTGAGCCCCACCCAGATGATCCAGTGCTGCACCCGGCTGGTGCAGCTGCACCCCCCCCTCCTCCAAGGCCTCCACATCTGCGTATCTCACTTCTACTCAGTCCTGCAGGATGGAGACCTGTGTGTCCCCTGGGACTGGAAGAACTGAACCAAAGCACTTTATTTTAATACATCAAATTTTTTTTCTCTAAGACAATTTTTATGATTAAAAATTAAAGTTCCGAAGCCAAATGGAACCAGAACCATTGATTGCACTAGAGCTTTTTTTCCCACAGAGAATAACTCACAAAGCATCATTTATACTAGAGACATGTTTAAAAAAAAACGAGTGAACTTGGTCTTTCATACTGGAGGGAAAAAGCACACAAAAGGCTGCATTCCATACAGTAAATATTTATTTCACTCGTATTGATCAAACTGAAATGAAAAGCCAGCTGCTGTCCGTCTTTAGGTGGAGTGAAGATGCAGAAACATGGAGGCTCATTTACGCTGCACCTGTGTGAACGACGAGGGCATCTGGATGGGCTGGATGGGGTGGAAGGACGGGGGGGCTGTCTTACGAGAGTCTGGGGAGATCATGTGGATAGTTGAGGGCAGTAGTTGGTTCCGTTTGATGATCTGCAGAGCCAGCTGAGTGTTTCCTGAAAACAGGACAATGAATCGTGGATGAGTTGGACTGAATGACCAGACCTTTTGTGTGTTTGTACCAAACATGTCTCCATAATGTTTATCTTTGTTTAATATCAGATCGCTATGGGAACAGCCCCATGTCTCTTGTTTCCTCATTAGCCAGGCTCTGACAGCACTGAGGTGTTACAGGACCAGAGCTGGAGGCAGGCTCAAGGAGACCAACAACCAATCAAAATGTTGTTGAAAGCTACAACAGCACCACCTAGAGGCTAAAAATGTACCACAAATCAAGGCGTTCCCACATCTCTATTTAGGGCCGAAAGCAACGCCTCTCGTTCATGAATGTGCACCCCTAGTGTGTGGGTTCAACAAGGAGCTAACCGTTCTGAAGCTCCAGATAGACTCCCAGCAGGATGGCCTCAGGTGGGATTTCCTTGGTGTTCATCATAGATGCAGCCTGATGAGAGACAAAGAAAATCAGATGCTGTCTTTTTAACGTGTCCACCAGAACCAGAGTGCTGTCTCTTTAAGCTCTCTAGGGCTGCACTTGAGTCAGAGCTTATGACTGCCCTCATGGTCAGGTTCCTCTACCCACCATTTTCCCTGTGTACATTCCCAGAGTTACACACTTCGCATCTGCGGCATCATCACTTATCTCCAGCAGGCACTCCCACATTTCCGCCTGCATGCCTCCGTGCTTGACACTCAGCATTAAAAGGGTTAGATTGGGGGGTTAAGCCACCAAATGGTTTCCGAGCGCGGCTGTGTCTGCAGCTCACCGCTCCCCCAGGGGATGGGTCAAATGCGGGGACAGTGACACAGTGTGTGTGACAGCTAATTGAACTTTAACTTTAGCATAGCTGCTACTGAGATCGTTCACAGAGCCCCAGTGCAGAGTCCCAAAGCGTGACTCTGGACCACTCTGAGCTTTTGTAGTTCAGTCTTGGCCACCACGTCAGACTCAATGCACCCATAATCGAGCACCGCCCAACATCTTCATTCTGATCTACCCCCCCCCCATCCATCCTCACCAGGCACCTCTTAACATTCAACACCATACCTTTACCACCTTCTAAATGTGCACCCCCACCTCCCCTTCACTTCAACCACACCCCTAGGAACTTGAATCGTTTAACCTATTCCAGTTCTTGTCCAAATAATTTCAATTAACCCCTCCCCCACCCTCTTTCTAGTTACATCACCATTTTTTTCTCTACTGAAAATTGGACTCCCCACCTAACCGCCCACTTTTCCATTCGCCCTATGGCTTCCTGCACCCTCACTGTGACAAACTTCAAATTCCTGCCCTTCAGCCACAATTCATAGATGTCACTGAATACCGCTTTGATACCATGGCAACAGCCCTTTACTTTCAACAACAACAAAAAAACTCTGTCATTTATCATGTTTTCCATCAGTTTACACAATGTAATGTCAGCCCTACTGGCCTGTAACGCCCCAGGTCAGTCTTCCTTCCCTACTTTGCGGCTAACCTTCCAGCTCTTTGGGAATTTTCTACTCTCCCATACCTGATTATACAACTCTAGCACCACCTCTTTAGCCCCATGACTGAGCCTCACCATTGTCAGTGCGCCCTAGAGCAGCTGTAGCTACATCGTAGCTCATCCCCACCAGCGTGTGAATGGGTGAATGATTGTGTTGTGAAGCGTCTTGAGGGGTTGTAGAACCCTAAGAAGGCGCTATACAATTACAGACCATTAACCATTTATGACCCAGCATAACACAACAGATCTGATCCAATCCTGGTGCCGTCATCTTTATGGGTCCCATTCAGTTCTACCATTAAAAAGTTCACAATCAAAACCTCATTCTCATCACTCTCTTCTCTCTACCAAGCTACATCCTCTTCCAAAGTCATCTCTTTCCCCCTCCTCCCATTCAGTCTCTAAGCTGTGTACCCCAGCTAATGTAGACACTAACAGTCTAGCCTTCCTCTAATCATCCAACGCAGTCATCACCCCATCACTCAGGACCGGACAAGCATACTCCCTCTTCACTACATTCATCTTATTGACGATATCCCACACTCGAGCAACATCCATCCGTCTCCTCACCGACTCACAGAACCCCTTCCACTTTTCCCTCTTAGCCACTCTAATCGTCCTCCTCACTTCCTCTTGCCCCTCTTGTATTTCCTTTTCAATTTTCAAGAAACTCCTGAAGACCCTGCTCTTCAGAGAGCATCTTCTTAACCAGCACCTTGCCTGCACCCGTCCCCCCTCTCTACTGTCCACTCCTTGTTCCCTACTCTCCATGACTGATGTCAATGTTGTTGTTATTGTTGTTGTTAGCCTCAAGGGAAATATGCCGATTATCACTTGTAAGTCGCTTTGGACAAAAGCGTCTGCTAAATACATAAACATAAACATAATCAATCATATTTTACATGGTGCGGTTACTCCTCAACCTCCTGAACGCCCTGTCATGCTCCCTGATTGCCTCATTGCACTCTTGATGTCCACCAGTTGCCCAGCTGTTTCTGCAACTGTGATTGGTCAAATGACACCCTGTGACAAGCTATAACGAAGAGTTTGTGAACAAAACGACCCCCCTTCATTTCTCTGACAAGTGATTGTCATAAAACGTGACTGAAACCCGACCAAAGACACCTCTTCAGATCTATATGATTTACAAGAACGCCGTATGTGGCTTCAAAAACAGGTTTTTGCAGAAAACCGACAATTGCAGGTATGATGGATGCTTTGCGTTGGACCAATAGTGAGGCTGAGACAGAGCCCTTCAGACACACATGCTACTGCAGCTCTAGCCTTTTACTGCAGGTACAGGTTGGGTTTTCTGCATCACTGTTTTTGGATGAAGAACAAATATTTCAGTTTAAAATATAATTTAACGCAGGTGTTAAAAATCCTAATTCAGATAGAACCTGCCTGAAGTGCTTCTTAGTGTGTTGCTCCTCTGCACAACGTTAGATACCAGAACAGGAAGGTTACCTGATGCAGACACTTGCGAGCTTTGTCGTACTCGCTCCTTAAGCAGTAGGCACTGCCAAGGTTGAAGAGCATCATGGCCCGAGCTGAGGTCACACTGCTGGGGTAACACAACGGCGTCTTCTTCCCTGCTGCAAAGGCAACCACAACTTCAGAGTTTAACCTGTGCGTTTACAGCTTTAAGCATTTCGAACGTAGCCTGAGTAGACTCACATGGTTCCACAGGGTCCTCTCCCTTGTCAGGTCCTGGTAACAAACACAAGAGTATTCAGGAAACCAGACTCAAGCTTTAGTTTGGTTTACTGATGTAAAAGCCACCAACCCTGGTCCTGCTCACTGGGCACAACGCCCACGGACACATCATTCACATTCTCTGGGTTGAGATGAGCGATGGCATCAGATATCTTGTCCAATGAAATAAGAGCTTCAGCAGCGTAAAGATGGCCCAGGAACCTGAATGCAAAAGGCAGCAGGATGAAAACGCTGCTAAAATGAACATTATGAACTTAGCAAGACCCGTAGATGGATCCAATTATGACATCATGACGTATCTGTCTGTAATACTCTAGTATACTCAAGTATATTTAGATTTAGGGCTGCAACAAACGATTATTTGGATAATCGATTAATCGGATGGGGTCTCGACACGATTAATCGATTAATCGGATTACATGGGGAAATTTTTAAAAACTGCTTGGGAAACGTTATTTCTCTCCTTCCTTCACTTTATTTAACACAACATTATTAGAAAACAGTTCAATAGCAGAAAAACAACATGCCATCACCTAAATTGTCTTATAAGGTGTATAGACAGAGACCCTAAGCTACATCTATCTGTGACCTAAAATGCTTGGTCCAAGTTAAACAGCTTAAGGGCAATTCTCATCTGTTTTGTTTGATCTCATCTGTTGACATTTATTTTAAATGTAATTAAACATAGGCTGTGAATTAATCAAAATTGATCACTATTTCCAAAAATGACTGAAAAAATACCAAATAAAACAAAAGTAAATGAATGCCATCCTCCTTGCGATGATGCCCTGGGCAACTGCCATAAAGTCACATCAAGAAATGCTGCTGATCATTCCAATGATCCCAAATAGACTCACATTAGGCCACATGAAAGCAACTGAACCCAAAAATATATTAACCAGTATATAACTGCACTCTCACACAACACGCCTGCAGCAACAGTTAGGACTCCTCCCTCCCTTTTAAAAGCGTTTTTGCTTCTGAGGACATTGTGGTCGTAAAACCACATGCTAGTAGTCTGGCCCCGGTGTGATCAACCAGTTTCTGCGGGAATGTGACGGCGGAACCAGGGCCAGATTAACACTTTGTTGTACCCTGGGCAACAGTATTCAAGGGCTCCATCATCACGACCCAAGGATCACCAAAATGTGGTCACATACAGAATATTTTACTGTAATATGCAGTAAATATACTCAATACTTGAATGCCTGACAACACGTAACCCGCCCAGAGTAACCTTTGACCCACCTCGTGTGGACTGACCAATGAGGAGAGGGTCTTAACTTGAGGCCCTCTCTTCATTGGTCAGTCTGCATGAGACTGACTCTCAACTGACGTTCAGTCGTAGGCAGCAAAGCGTCTCTGTGCAGTGCAAAAGCCCGGGTGGACAGTTTGTTTAATATAGGGTGACCATATTTCCATTTCCAAACAAGAGGACAGGGGATCGCCTATGACGTCACACTATGGCAACGCCACACAAACCATGTTGGGACCCATTTTTTGTAAGAACTAAATTAATATCAGATTCTGCCAATTAAAGGGCTCTAAAACAATTCATATGTAAATATTTTGCATATTTAATGCAAAATCTAATTTTTCTGCTTTAGTGTTGCAACAAGGTTTTATTAATAATAAATTACTATACCTTTTGTTTTACTACAGCATCGGTAAGCTTCCTGTGCACAGATTATTAAGGATGCTTGTTTCAGCTGTGAGATTAGACGATAGGATCAATGAAAAAATAAGTTGTCACACACTCCATGGAAACTTTCAGAGAATCCACAAATAGTGGCTTTCAAATGGTTTTGTTACTTTTTGCAAGTTTATAAAAGAAGCAGATGAGACAGCATGTCTGATAATTTAGTTTTTCATCTGATAATAATAGAACATGTCAGTAATGTCTGAGGGGCTTTTATAAACACCATATAACTAACACTACTGGAGAGGGCATGAATTACACAGAGGCTTCTGGGGAGCCCAGTTATTGGGGGGGGGGGGGGCATTTTGCCTTGGCCCCCAAAATGTCTTGAAACGGCCCTGGGTGTGTGACTGAGTTTTGAAGGTGATCTGAATTGTATCAGATGTATAAATATGACATGTGTATAACTTGTTTTTTACTGGTAAAAACGTGTAGTGGAGATAAATCTACCTACATTTGACTTTTCAACACTTTGTTTTGTTTTCTTGTTTTTATTTAACTATTTTCCTGTCCTGTCTGTCTCTCATCTTCCTGCATCTCCTCATAATTCTCCAGAAAATCTGTTGCCTGGATTCTTACCTTTTCACCTCATCAGTTACTTTTGAGCAGATCAAAGGAATCTCCTGACCGAAAAGCGCAGAGCGCGTTTTCGATGCTGCGTGAGGTGCGAGGTGACATCACCACAGCACAGGTAATGAGCTCCGCAGTAGCGAGCTTCAGGCACAAATAAGACAGAAAATAGAGAACATGTGCGGACATGAACGATCGTGTGCTAATTATAGTTTTTTGGTTGCGCCACTTTGAGAATGGACCGTGCGCTGGAAGAAGCTGCCTGGATCGCTGCGCGACAATGCGGAACCGGTTCGCAGCAGCGCAAGTCTGCCGGCTCTCCCTCGCGCTGATCTGCCGGTACCGGCTCTCCCTCGCGCTGATCTGTGGCTCTCCCTCGCGCTGATCTGACTTGCTCTGGTCTGCGCGCAACGGCGGGCGGGAAGGGGGGGGGGGGGGGGCGCTTTTGGAAAAGTTGTGCGACACAACGAATCGATGACGCAATTCGTTGCCAACGCTTTTAGTAATTGATTTTCATCGAATTTATCGATTCGTTGTTGCAGCCCTATTTAGATTTCATGGGAAAAGAAGTTAACCAACTTGACCACAAAGTGAAAGTAAAGACCAGCTTAACGGTGACATCATCAGGATGTCTACCAGGTGCATTTAGAGAAAACAACAGCAACACTTTTGGACTTTTCCTCTCACAGCCTGATCTTCTACTCATCACAGAGCCATGGCTAAGGCCTAGGCTATCAGAGCTAACACCTTACACAAACAGAAGCTCAAACTTGTTCATCTGGTTTCATGAAGAACTCAAAGAGTTTTATGAATCAACAATGTTAGCATCTTTGGTATGTTCTTGCTGTGTTGAGTTTCAAATTCCTATTACATGTATTTTACTTGTCAGCTTGATGATGTTTGCAGCCGCAAACGAAACGTTGAAGGTAAATAAACCTTTTCTGTGTTTTAAAAAGAACTGAAAGAAGAATTTTAGCATTTGAAAGACTTCATACCGCAGCCAACAAGTCAAAGGCCTTGCTCATGGGAATAGTGATACTTTAATATGGCGTTTAAAGCGTGCCACAACCCGTGCACGCGCATTGGGTCCACAGCGCGCGTGTGAACGGGACTCGCGAGCGCAAATATACATGGCAGCGCGCGTGTGAACGGGACTCGCGCGCGTGTGAACGGGACTCGCGAGCGAAAATATACATGGCGAGAGGTCATTTGTGCACTGAGAGGGAGCAAACTGTGTCTGTGAGCGCACAAGGATGTGCACAAGTGACAAACCTGCGTGCGCGCGTTGTCAACGAGCACACGGCAGAGGAAAACGTGCGCGCGCGGCAGCCTCTGTGCGCGCTCGGCAGCCTCTCTGCGCGCTCGGCAGCCTCTCTGCGCGCTCGGTTTCTGACTCCTGCTCGCTCGGCTGTAAGGGCTTTTGGCACTCTGGAGGCGTGGCCTGTGGCAGATCTTGTCTGTCCTCTGACTGGTTAGTTCACCCCGCACTTTACCCTCTATATATATAAAAAAGTCTGATGTTCAGTAGTGGCTGGCATAGCTCAGCTGGGAGAGCGGGTGACTCTTGCCCCGGAGGATCCAGGTTCGAGTCCGGGCAAGGAAAATGTAGTAGACGTCATGTTAATTTTTCTTAATTTCAGGTATTTTACAGTTGTGACCGTTCAACTGTCATTAAACGTCCGAATGTTTGCTGGGCAGTGTTTTAAAAAGTGCACATAAGCTAGATGGTTTTAACCATATAAAATTACATTTTTTGTGATACTGGAAAAATACATACTGAAATAAAACTACTGATTGAAAACTTTATGACTGTGGTTGTACAATATATGACTCACTAATACACTGCAAACTCCCTTAGAGTGGGGCTTCCAGAGAGAGAGAGAGAGAGAGAGAGAGAGAGAGAGAAAGAGAGAGAGAGAGAGAGAGAGAGAGAAGTTCTTGCCTCATTAATGAATTGTTTATTTTTTTCAGTATTTAATTGACAAATTATCCTTTCAAATAATTAATTGATGAGTTACATAATTGTCCATTTAGAATTGTTGAATGGACTGAGTCAAGTTTGGTGCACTTTATATATTTCAAAACATGTTTTTTTATTTTAATGATGCATATAAATAATTTAAATGTTAATTTAATGAAATATTTCTATTTTTTCATTACCTCACCCTTGTTTTGACAAAAACGGGACCTTGCTGGATAATATCATGGAGAAACTATTTGTTCACAGTACATGGCTCAGTGAGGATCTGTGTAAAGGAGGAGATACTCAGAAATCTGTCTGCAGATTGTTACAACCCAGACTGGAAGTGGTGGGCTGTAATAAGAAAGGAGACCAAACAGAGGAGTGGGGGTTCAACAACTGATTTATTTAACAAAAGTAAGGATTTACTAAAGCAAGTTAGTGAACAGAAAATGGCCATCTCAAGGTTTTACTCGGATGTCCCTCAGCAGGGTGCAGCACTGTTGAAGGTCATCTGAATGAAAGCTTGATATGCAGTTTCTTTATGAAATGGACAATTATGTAACTCATCAATTAATTATTTGAAAGGATAATTTGTCAATTAAATACTGAAAAAAATAAACAATTCATTAATGAGGCAAGAACTTTTCTCTCTCTCTCTCTCTGGAAGCCCCACTCTAAGGGAGTTTGCAGTGTATTAGTGAGTCATATATTGTACAACCACAGTCATAAAGTTTTCAATCAGTAGTTTTATTTCAGTATGTATTTTTCCAGTATCACAAAAAATGTAATTTTATATGGTTAAAACCATCTAGCTTATGTGCACTTTTTAAAACACTGCCCAGCAAACATTCGGACGTTTAATGACAGTTGAACGGTCACAACTGTAAAATACCTGAAATTAAGAAAAATTAACATGACGTCTACTACATTTTCCTTGCCCGGACTCGAACCTGGATCCTCCGGGGCGAGAGTCACCCGCTCTCCCAGCTGAGCTATGCCAGCAACTACTGAACATCAGACTTTTTTATATAGATAGAGGGTAAAGTGCGGGGTGAACTAACCAATCAGAGGACAGACAAGATCTGCCACAGGCCACGCCTCCAGAGTGCCAAAAGCCCTTACAGCCGAGCGAGCAGGAGTCAGAAACCGAGCGCGCAGAGAGGCTGCCGAGCGCGCACAGAGGCTGCCGCGCGCGCACATTTTCCTCTGCCGTGTGCTCGTTGACAACGCGCGCACGCAGGTTTGTCACTTGTGCACATCCTTGTGCGCTCACAGACACAGTTTGCTCCCTCTCTGTGCACAAATGACCTCTCGCCATGTATATTTTTGCTCGCGAGTCCCGTTCACACGCGCGCGAGTCCCGTTCACACGCGCGCTGTGGACCCAATGCGCGTGCACGGGTTGTGACACGGGTATGACGCGATACTTTAACTTCGGTTTTGGCTGATGGCCTGATAATATGATCTTATCCTGATTACATGACTATAGGTCCTTCTCAAAAAATTAGCATTTTGTGATAAAGTTCATTATTGTCTGTAATGTACTGATAAACATTAGACTTTCATATATATTAGATTCATTACACACAACTGAAGTAGTTCAAGCCTTTTATTGTTTCTAATATTGATGATTTTGGCTATACTATATGTTATAGTTGTACTATGTTAGAATGTTGGTAAATGACGTGTTTGACATAGTGTCTTTAAGGATTCTACAACCCCCCGAGGCGCTTTACAACACAATCATCCACTCATTCACACACACTGATGGTGATGAGCTACAATGTAGCCACAGCTGTCCTGGGGCGCGCTGACAGAAGTGAGGCTGCCGACCAGTGGCGCCACCAGTTCCTCCAACCACCACCAGCAGGCAAGAAGCATGAAGTGTCTTGCCCAAGGACACAACGACTGCAAAAGATGGGGCTCAAGCTTGCAACCCTCTGGTTATGGGTCGAGCATGTAAAGTGTTTTAAGCTAGCTTGTTTAGCAGATTTGCCATTGTAGCTTTAACAGACAGGGCCTTTGCCAAGCTCAAATGCAGAAACGATCTGAAATAATCTGTAAAAGAGCTCAAGGTGTTAAAAGAAATGCTGTCCATCAAACAGATGCTGCACTTACTTGAAGGATCCTGAAGCCTTGGTCTGATGGAGGAGTTTCTCTGCGTGGTTCAGAGCCATCAGGTTGTCTCCCAGAGCCAGAGCCACATAGGCACTACAGGCCAGGATGGAGCACCTACACACACACACACACACACACACACACACACACGCACGCACGCACGCATGCACACACACGCCACCCTTCATCACACTGATGTTGCACAAATACATGAAGCACATGAAGAGATCTCTTTTACCTGAGGTTTTCAACCTCCTGTTTCCTGAGAGGAGACGATGGAGCAGCAGAAAAAAATTTATCGGCTTCCAGACTTTTTCCACTGCAACACACCAACATAGACCAGAGCCCACGTAAACCTTCTCTGGGCTACAGTCAGACCGTACATATATACATACACATGTTGAATCAAACAGTAACGGCCACCCGTAACGTTCTGCTACCAGGAGACATATTTTTAACAGCTGACTGTTTTTCACAGAGAGAAAGGTTAGAGCATTCCTCTGGCTCTCCTACATGACCACGGAACATCAGCGGCGTTTCATTAACATGATTTAAACCAAAGAATGATGGTAATGACTGGCACACCCAAACCCAGCCCACCCCTCATCCCTCCATCTGGGCCAGTAGGAAGTGAGACTCACCTGCAGACATCACTGTTCTCACTGCCGCTCTCTGTGCTTCCTGACTGACTGGAGCTTTTGGAGCCGTTCTCTGGTTTGGGTTCCTGCTGCTGGTGTTCAGGCAGCAGGAGCAGGGCGTTCCTCAGGCAGATGGCTGCAAACTCCAAACTGGCTACAGGAATGGCTGCTGACTGGCCGTCACTGTGCAAAGATGAGTCAGAACCACCTCCATCAGTCAGCGTGCAGCACAACAGGTTCACAAACAATAAATACAAAATGTACAGACGTAGCTGCAAGACAAAAATACACACATGCTATATTAGCATAGCTGATTAGCCACTGACATGTTCATACAGACACATTAAGTACATCTAGAGCCAGCTAACAGAATCACCGCTGGGCTAATCCGTGTTATTGCTTCATAACCTGGAATTTACATGGCTCTTCTATTAATAATGAAGCTAACAGGTCACATTACTAATAAATCTTAAACTTGGGCATGCATGTGCGTTCAGCCACTTAAAACTGAAAGCCCTCCAGTTGGCTGAGAATGAAATTAGTTCCAATGTAATCTTCCTTTCAACAAGATTGAGACATCGGACGGTTTGGTGATCATTTCACTGTAAAGTTTATTTATTGTACCTTTAAATAAAACAGGATTAGAGCTCCATGCCGACCTGCAGCATTCTCGTCTTTTGCCGGTTCAGAAAAGCTAATAATCTAAATGTTTAGGCTCTGATTTCAGGCTGAGCGCTGGAGAATCAGCCTAACCTACCTGTAGGCGGTGTTCTGTGAAGACTGTGATGCCAGAACAATCTTGCGATGGTAGCCCTGTCCGATGACACTCTGGACTATTCCTTTTTTACAGGGTAAACCTTTACTTTCCTGCTCTGACCCCTGGAGATAGACACAAAGTACAAATGCATCAGTCAGAACCTTATGGCTCCTTTATCCAGGCTGTTTATGAGCCAATGATGATGATGATAGAAGACCTCCACATGTATGGTGCCTTTTTAAGTCAGAGGACTCCAAAGTGCTTTACACTACAGTCGTTCACCCAATCACACCACAGGAGGGGAAGTGTCTTGCCCAAGGACACAATGTCTTTCATGGGAGCAGAGTGGCTTTAAACTGGCAATCCTCCGGTTACACTGCAAACTCCTAACCCCTGAACCACCGTCGCCCCAAACTTGAGGTTTTGTAGAAAGTGACTTTTCTAACAAAACAACATTTAAACCAACTATTGCAGAACGAGGTGGATAAAGAGCATCATACCCCTTTGTTAGCTGAGATGCAGCATTCAGCTAGCCGAAGCCACAGGCGAGGGTTGGAGTGATAAACCTGCACAGCCTCCATCAGACACTCAAACGCCGCCAGAGGCCTGCCGATGTGCAGCAGCTGAATACCACAGTTATACAACAGCTCATAGCGTTTGTTGGCTAGTAAAGCACACATGGGGACACCAGTGAACCTCTTAGCTACAGAAAGCAGAGGAAACATCACAGCTTTAGTGGTTGGACTCAAAACTCATCTGATCATGACGGAAAACAAACATTCCGTCTCAAATGCATCCACCTGATACTCACATTGCTCACTGCTGCCATCTCCCAGCTGTGCACAGGTGTGGTCGTTCTCCTGTAGGGCTTTCTTGAAGTAGAAAATGCCCAAGTTGTGTTTTCCCATCGCAAAGTGGATGCATCCCAGATTGTTCCAGAACATACAGCGGACACATTCACCTGAACAACACGAGTATGGTTAGAGACCAGCTCGGTGAAGGACACGTCCAGCAGCTGCTGAAAGCACTAGCAGGACAAACTACAGCTGTTTGACAGCAGGACACCAGAGACAACATCTGATAGAACATCAGAGGACATTAGAGAGGTCATTAGAGACAACACCAGGGGACACTGGAGATAACATTAGAAGAAAAAAAAATAGAGGACATCCGAAGACACTGAGAGAACACCAGAGAGCATCAGAGACAACATCAGAGGGGTCAATAGAGACAACATCAGAGGACAGTGAGAGAACATCAGAGACAACATCAGGACATCAGAGCAGTCACCTGTCTTGATGGGTCCAGGGTGTTCTGCTATATTAGAGCTGTTTAGCAGCTTGACTGCTTTCCGGTAGTTTCCTCTCAGATATTCAAAATTACTCTTTAGGAAGAGCGACGGTGCAGACTGAAAGACAGGACAGACGGGTCAGACAACCAAGAGAGGAGTGGACAGGGCTGATGCCACACGGACCACCAGACAGACCATGGTCTGGGTGGTTTGATGCGTGTAGCTTCAGCATCTGGATCGTCTAACACAGAAACATCAGCAGCTTTAAAAGATCCAGTACGACTTCCTCAGTCCAGATGTTTCCAGACACTTACATTCCCAGCTGTGTTCATCACTGATTTGATCTCTCGTTTACAGGCCTTGGAGGACTTCATCTGAATGTAGGCTCTGACTTTGTACTGGAACAGGAACGGTTCAGACCATCAGACACAGAGACAGCACCAGCTGATGTCCAACCACACAAAGAGTTCCTACCTGGTGGATTTTAGATTTAGCCGCTTCAAGCATAGCTGTGAACTCTAGTCTCTGGTTTGCTGCTTCTTTGTTAGAACTGTTGTTCTGGAAGGAAACAGAACCAGGTCAACTGCAATCTGCCTCTTTTTCCTTTCACCATTTCATCAGGATGTTGTTGGTTTGTGGCGTTACTCGGATAGTGTACCAAGGCCCGTGATGAAATTAGGTATGAAAACATCTGTGGTAGAGACTTTAATCTAGTTCACATAAACAAAGTGGAACCATAAGAAGTGTCTGCCGTCACCTGACGCTGACGCCCTGATCCATGGTGGTGTGGAAGTGAACCAGCCTACCTCTCCCTTTCCATTCTTGTTGTTCCCTTGAGCAGAGATTTTGTCCAGCAAGGCTAGCAGGTGAAGAGCCTTCTCTGGCTGGAAGGTGAGCAGGTAGAGATCCACCAACAGAAAGCACACCGCCTGGGCAAATTTCTCTTCTAGGGCAAATAATCACTTCAGATTACACTCGAAACAAACTCGTGCACATATGAACAACTGGAGTAAACACTAGAAAACCCAGGTAGACTGGGTAAGATGCTAACCAGGTTCCTGGGGTCATACCAGACATGAGGTGGCCCAGCAAGAGTGACCATTGTTACTAAATGGGTGTTTCAAAGCAAATAAATCATAAATCGTCTTTTCTCCACATTCATTCCTCAAGGTGTTAACAACAACAACAACAACAACAAAACGTAAACTGTAAAAAAAACCTACAAGTGAACTTCTTTAATTTTCACCAGAGAACAAAGTGGCTAAGGCTCGTTCTAAACTAAATAAGATTTATAATATAGTAAAAATCACTATCACAGATCACTATCAGATGTCGGAGTCACAGCTGCCTTCGTTTACAAACTTAAGGAGGACACCACAGACTTCTCCGCGCATCTTTTGCTATCCACGTGCTTTGAGATTTTGGTAATCCTGAGAAGTGTGTGTGTGAACAAAACGGTGTGTGATCCAGACTGACGCCACCCAGCCTGGACAGGGCCTGATGTGAAAGCAGCATTGGCAACCAACCTTCACACAACAGGAAAACTTACCAAATGGTTCAAGGAACTGGTAGAGCTTCTCTCCTATGGAGATGGCCTCCGAGTACTGTCGCATATGATAGAGGATGATGGCTTGGTTATAATACAACAAACAGTTCTCTACATCATCCAACCCATCACTATCATCAGCTGATGTGTGGAGCTGAAAGATAAAGAGTCCAGGAAAACGTCAAGGCAAACATGAAAGTGTTCAAAGCAAAAATCTAAAACCAGATCTGCACCTACCCGGTTTTTCATCGCCATCAGGGTTTGCTTGAGTGTCCCTGAAGTGGTCTGACCACTTCTGAAGAACTCTACCACAGCTTTATTCATGGCGATCTTGTAGTCCTCTTTATTTACATCCTGCAGAGCTTCAAGGTGTTTGAGAGACTCATCATATTTCCCAGCCTGAGGAGCACAGAAGTTCATTTCACAAATCTGTAGCACACACAAAGTATTTCAAGCAACACTTGAGGGTTTATAACAGCTTAAAGCTATTGTTTTCAAACTGGTTTCAATGCTTCTTGAGCCAGAAACTTGAGGAACTTCACATTGGACAGCACTCTGTAGACCTCTGCTAACCAAAAACAGTTTTGTGGCTAAAGCTAGTGGTCTCCACATGCACTATGGCAGCAGCTGTTTGCTGAGTCGGTAGCTAATATTAAAGCTAGCTGTTAGCTTTGAAGACCAATATAGAGACCAAAAATTATTTTTCTTCGTTTGTTGGCATCATGATGGAGCCTGGGAGTTAAGGAAGAGCTTTGGAGGTGAAGCAAAGAGCTACACTCATTTGAAGGAGCTATAGGGCCTTACGAAACCACAAACCAATGATGACCTGGCTTTGTTGCTACTGGACTGGTATGTAATAAAATTTTATGGTCCAACAGTGTGAACCTTTTTACTTTGTTGCTTATTTTAGTATCAGTTGGCTCATGTTAGCATTAGCTAGTTGTTAGCAGGTTGCAGCAGGGTTGTTTACGACAGTTGTAATTCTTATGTCAACCAGTAGGGGAATGCAGGAAACTTATTAAGTGTTGTTTTAAGTTTCCTTTTATTCCTCTTAAAAGTATTCTTTAAAATACACAAATCAAAAATGTAAAGTATTAAAAAAATCGACCCAGCTACAAGAGAAGCACAAACCAGCTGGTGACTGCAACCTGCAGATACTCAGTGTGATCAGTTATCCATAGCTCTTTGGGAAAATCAGTATTGGCAGATGTCTGTGGATCACAGCAGCACATGAATCAGAAATCATTATCAGCCCTAAAAACCAGAACGGGTGCATCTCTAGTGGTAACTTCTAAGCTATACCTGCACTTGCACTGCACCTGTACTTTGAACAGCCTCAATGTGGAGAAACAGGAATTGGTTCTGATCAGATTCACAAGCTAACACCTGGTCTCTAGATTACAGCTACAAAGTCATTTCAAACCTTTCGGATCCAACATTTCAGAGCAGTGTAAGAGAAAGTTATTTATAACCTTTATAGTCAAAAAGTTCAGTAAGCCATCAGGTGAGATCATTGCTCACAGAGAGAGAGTGTGTGTGTATGTAAACAGTTACCACAAAAGCTTCATATGCACTTGCTGCGATTTCCTTCTCTCGGTTTGTCATCCCGCTGGAAGGCGAGCTCTCATACTCCGTTTGTTCTGATCAGAATGAGAAGACGAGGATTAAGTCAAACTGTGCAGTCTGCAGGCTCCTGCATCCCTGCTACTGTTCATCAGCTGGACTCCCCGTTACTCTGGTAGATATGATGTTTACATGTCCTTTACTGGTCAAAACAAGAGCGCCTACAAACAGCCGCAGCTGACTTGGCGAGGATACAGAACCCAAAAACCTAAAACAGTTTTTTTTTATTCTGGAATAATTCTGATGACGTTTTAAACTCGGAGGCTGTGAGTAGTGACAGCCTGGCATCAGGCTGACAAGGTTATGTGGTCACCTGGCATTTTCAGAGGACTACGTGTTCAAAATCAGAAACTTTATTTAAGTTTTAATAAGAAAACGGGCCTATCGTCTCTGCAGCTCAGTCACAACCTAAAGATCACTTCAATCTGCCTCCAACAAACCCGTCTCAACGAGTCAAAAATGCTACATTTAGCCTCACGTCGCTATTTAGCTAGCAAAATCTCTAAAACTTACCAGTATTTTCTGACATTTGTGATGATTTTAGGAACGAGAACTTTCGTTTCTCCTAAAGCAGATTCCGATTAAACTGCGCTGGGTAGAGAAGCGAGAATTAAATAATGAGAAAATACTCGATAACTGACATTAAACATACAAAATGGCTAGCCGATATGTCTGTTACGCTCCAGTAAATTCTTCGCTGGCTATATTTAAGCAGCTGATGGGAGCTCAGTAGCGCCCCCTTTTACCCGGGAGGACTCATGGGTTTTGAACCCAGACTGACATTTCAAATACCATAATTAAATGACATGTATTTCAACTCTTTCTCGGATTTTACTCGGTCAAACATTTCCTCGAAAAGTAAAAATAAATAAATGTTAACGTAAACTGCATCTTTTGCTCTGTAGGTCTTGAAACTGCCCCTTATCTCTTCAGCCATTCTGTTGGAGCATTAAGCATTGGAAGGGTGTTTCCTAATTCATTGTTATTATTTCATTGTTTTTTTGAGCATATTCTAGGTTATAACATATTAGATTAAAGTATAACCGATGGCTAAAATATTTGCACACAGTTGTAACAGCTATTGACAAAGTACTGTCTTTTATAAAGATCTAAAGCTGGTGTACATACTTTAAAAATGTTAAATAAACTTAAAAATGCTTAAAGGGATACTTTATAATTATTTCATATTTCCTTGAGCCACTGTGTGCTAAAATGACCATTTACAAAGTTAATTAAAAGTCACTTAGACCCCTACCGCCCTCTGTGGCCAGAATACAGCATTTGCAACTTCAGAGTGCCTGTTGGAAAAGAAAATTGAGCTGATATACCTGGTGCTGCAGTCTAGTTTCAGCAAGTTTCCTGCATGTTTTAAGTCATGAACACAGCTGATTTGTTTAATTTAGTGATGAATCACCCCTTTAGACACTAAGGAAGACTGGAGAGGCATTTCAGCTGTTAGATTAAGGTGTTAAAAAGATGAACACACAGTGAGGAGATAGATTTTGCTTTCAGTTCTACAAATGGACACTAGGCAGTGCTAAAAGCATGTCAAAACTGCCTATTATTAACGGTCTGACCCTATTCTATGTAATACAGTTGGTCATGTTTCAGAATTTATATTTCCACTAAGTCCCTCCCCTGGCTTCTACAGCTAAGTAAATACTTTATACAAACTTAGAGCTTTGACTTATAGAGCTCCAGGAGTTGACGTCACTTCTCCCGGCATGCAACAGTTCAAATCGAATGGCGCCATCTTGGCAGGCAGAAGCCCGCAGCTAGGCTATTTGTTATTGTCAGGAAACTCAATGAAACTGGAAATATGGTAGATTCCTGTTGTGCCCCAGGATGCCAGAACAGACGTGGACAAGATAAGGGATGAGCCTTCTACAGGATTCCCCAAGATCCAGAATGCCACAAACGTTGGATCATCGCAATGAAATGCGCTAGTGACCGGGCTAAAATGAAATTGTGAGATCCCGAGAGTAAAGGTTTTTGCGTATGCAGCGACCACATCATATCAGGTACTTAAACCAATGTTTCCTCAACTGTATATGGTGTTTATTTTAAATGCTTTTATTACGATTCTTAGTGGGCTTCTTAAACTTATTTTGGCGTGGCTTTTTCTGTCTTATCACTCATAGCAACAAGTAAACATCATGTAAAACGTTGCCTTCTGATTTCTGCGCGCTGCCGTTTACGTGTTTTATGATCACAGCAATTAACCGGCTAACAAGGAACAAAAAAGCACCTCAGTCCTTGCATGCACTACAAGGTGATGTAAGAAGAAAGTTTGCAATGTAGCAAGCAAGTTATTAGTAAAGTTTGGGAGGCCGGTGGCTACATGGAGTGGTAGAGCAGAAGAATGTTTGACTGATGACTTTGTCTTTTGCTTCTCTAAAAAGCGGTCTGAGTATGTTACCACTTCTATAAGCTAGCTATGCTTTCAATACCCCAGAGCTTCAGAGAGGAAGTGTGGGTGGAGACTATGGTGGTGGTGGTGGTGGTGGTGGGGGGGGGGGGGGGGTGACTTGCTTTTTAACTGCTTAGTTCTTTGACATCGGTGCCTCACTCCTCCTGGCAGTCACCGGATAAGAGGTGGGGCACACCCTGGACAGGTTTCCAGTCCTTTACAGGAACACAAAGAAACGATGAACCTAGCAGATGTGCACACCTAAAGATGATTCATAGACAGCAATGGTTCTCGATTTCCTTCTGTCATCTCCCCCTTAAGAGCGCAAGATTGTTCATGTGTGACGCCCCCTCCCCCCAAAAAATAAATAAATAAAACTACAGTTGAGAACCTTATTGTATTTAATTACGCATCTGTACAAACCACTTTATGAGTTTATGGCAGTGGCATTCTCTATACTGTCAGCTGGTTAAGTAAACAGATGAAAGAAAATGATCTTCAATAACTTAAAACAATTTTCTAGCTCAGTTTATTAACTCAATTTGTAACATTAAATGAACACTGCTCAGTCTGTGTGATTTTCAAGGAAGAAAAAGTACACTGGAATTGCCATTTTTTTTTACACAGTAACGTTAAAACATTTGTGAAACAAAAACATTCCCACATGGCAAAATTGATGAAGCGAAGTGCTGCCCACACAGTACACTTACATGCAGCTGACATATTGACACATATGACCTTTGGTTGGCCCAATTCTGGTTTGCCAAAGGTGGTCCACTCCTGGGCCAGCATGGCCATGCTGGGCTGGTTCAGAACAGATGTCAGCCAGGTGTGAACCTAAAAAGATGTGGCTTGCTTGTATAATCTATACATTTGCAGTGGTCTCTAGTAGAAATGAATGTCCTGTAAGTGGTACTCTGGGGAAAAAGCACCGGTGCACCTGTTCCAGGAACTAGAAGTAAGCCCCATCAGAGCTGAGCTTCAGATGGCAGGATTTGGGATCTTATGTCCTGATATTTGGACATCTCTCGTCCTACTGGATAACAGTAACATGACTCTACTCCTGACTCAGTTTGCTCTGCAACATTGATGTTTTATCTCCACAAATAACTCAAGCCTGAAGAAGTTCTGCTGTGTGGTGCAGTTGCTAATGCTAACAGTTAGCGTCTACTAGCGGAAATGTTCTCTGCTGTTTCCCAGATGCTAAACCAACAACAGTCTTCCAAAATGTCAGAAAAAGTGTTTGCATTAAGGTTGGACAAATTCATTGATAAAAATTTAATTTTAAATCATGAACAGTATGGCTTTAGGGCCAAACATTCAGCAGCAATGGCAGTTATGTATTTAGTAGATAAAATTTCATCAGCAATTGACAATAAAAACTATTTCATTAGTTGTTTTATTGACTTAAAGAAGGCATTTGATGTCATTGATCATAAAAGGTTACTTCTTAAATTACACCGGTATGGAATAAGAGGGGTGGCTCATCAGTGGGTTAATAGTTATTTACGCAATAGAAAACAGTTTGTTCAAATAAATAATGCTAAATCTGAATTAAAAGATATTTATTATGGTGTGCCACAAGGGTCAGTCCTCGGACTTAAACTGTTCATATTGTTTATTAATGACCTGGTAAATGTATCTAATTTACTTGGCACAGTTTTATTTGCAGATGATACCACATTGTTTTATTCAGAATTAAATATACAAGAAGTAACTCAAGTGATAAACAGTGAATTGATTGAAGTTAAAAAATGGTTTGATATAAATAGACTGTCACTGAACCTGAACAAAACAAACTTTATACTGTTTAATAACAGAAGAAACTGTGATGCATCTTTAATGATAGATAGAATCGAAATTCAAAGAGTAAAAGAAACCAAATTTCTTGGAGTCATGTTCGATGAGAGCCTCACGTGGAAATCACATGTAGGTTATATAAAGGGGAAAATCGCCAAAGCCATAGGTGTATTATATAGAGTCAAGTTTCTACTAAATTTGTCGGGGTTATTAACATTGTATCACTCACTGATTGAACCCTATTTATTTTATTGTTTAGAAATTTGGGGAGCCACTTGCAAAACCTTTACACAACCATTGTTCATTTTGCAAAAGAGCATTGAGAATCATTAATAACAGTAGAGTTATCAGTGGGTTAATAGAAAAGGATATAAACTATAGAGATCACACTAATCAATTATTCATTAGATACAAAATACTGAAATTTCCTGACTTGGTAGAGTGGAAAATATTGCAAATAATGTACAGAGCGAACATGAGTAATCTACCAACTAATATTCAGAAAATGTTTCATAAGAGAGTAAGTGGGTACATGTTAAAAGGAACTGATGTCTTTAAGAAACCTAGATTCAGAACCAAAGTTAGGGAATGTAACATTTCTGTAAATGGTGTAAGATTGTGGAATGCCACTAACAAGGAATTTAAAGAATCAACTTCACTTGCTATATTTAAAACATGTATAAAATCTAATGTATTTAGTAATTATGAAAAGGTGAATTATAATGTCAAAGATCAGACATGAAAATATTAGAAAGTGACTGAGGTCATATTGTGTTTGTTTGACGGATAATTTTATTTCGTAAAAAAGGGCAGAAATTATAAGATTTTTTTCTTCTATCTGCTCCCTTTCATTCAAATGTTTTTTTTCAATATGTTAATGTATGTTGTATTTGTTTGTGTTTATTTTATACATTTTGAATGAAATAAAAGATTATTAAAAAAACAAACAAAAAAACAGCCTTCCCCGTTGTGGGTAAAGGTGTGAGTCCATTATGTCCAAAGTCCTGCTCTTTTTCAAAAATTAAAAATAATGATCGGAAGAGTCAAACCAAAGTTGTCTAAATACCTTTGACAAAAACTAAACTGAAATAAATGCATAAAACAGAACAAAAATTTCACACCATTGGCTTCAATGATGCTTGTAGTCATTAACTCCTATTTAACTCTTAAGACTTCAATACAATTGCTCACACCTTAAAAGAAGTAAAATATTTTTCTCCACAATTTACAGTTTAGAAATGCAAATGTCCAACCTCTTTCTTCAGGCTTCCCCCTAGAGTCACAGAAGCTGATGGCTGCAGAACGTGGTTCAACACTACCTGGAAACAAGGCCATCATCAAAGCTCTGTCTCTGATGTTCACATTGATGCCTCCTTATCCTCTCCAGCAGGTCGGACAGACAGGGGTTACAGTAGTATTTATTCAGAGAAAAGTCTCTAATGAGGATAACTACAGTGACAGACCAGCAGGGGGATTATAATTTCATTTAATATAAATCAAAGATTGCCAAACTGTCAGGCAAAAAGGATAAAATAATTGCTAAATACAATTAGACTACACAAGAAACCCACATGTTAAAGTAACCTATGACAAGTCTGAGACCGTAAAATAACGGCACGGATCTCTCCTGGTTTTCATTTAATGAAAAAGAATGCTGTTTAGTTTAATCCGGATCCTCGTTGGACCTCAGTCTCAGGAAGCTTGTATGGTGGCAGTCATGCACTGTTGATAACATTTTGAGATTGCGAGTTAAAAATAAAAATAAGAACAATTTTGAATCTGTTTGAGAGGACCCCTCAATACTTGTGTTTTTATTAACTTTCTGTCAGTCTTTAGGACAAATACACACCTAACTAAACGGCTTGTTTCATTTCTGGAACGTGAGTGAGGAAGTGACATTTGACTCTAATGTGAAACTAGAGAACCACGAGGAGAAAACAGGTAAAAACAAGCCCGCTGTTTACCGTCCACAGACCACAGAAAGAAGTTTCAGCAACCTTGGCCGTCACTACTTAAGGGAAGTGAGAGCGTGAACTCAGCAGGCAGATATAGAGGGTAGAAGTGAAACCGTGGCCTTCGGTTCAGCAGCTACTGTGTCAGTCAGCCGTTAGAAATGGAAAAGTTTAAGACGGTGCTGAACATTGCTAGCAAACAGACCAATTTCGGCTTTGGTTTGGTTGCCCTGACGACTGCTGGGGGGGAGCAGATCTTTTCCTCTGTGGCGTTCAAGTGTCCGTGTAATAAGCTGAATTTCTTCTATGGCATGGTGTTCCTGCTGGTGCCAGCCTTGGCTCTGCTGCTGCTGGGTTACATTCTGAGCAAGAAGACATGGAAGCTGTTTACAGGTCTGTGGAACCACAAGGAAAGGCTGTGCAAATGGAGACACCTGGTTGCCACCAGCTTGGCCTTCTTCCAGATCAGTGTCACTGCAATGGTGGCACCATCCAGTTGGATTGCTGTGGCTCTGCTCAACGGAAAGTACTACGAGTGTGCAATGACCGGGACCAACTTAAGCGCTTTCAACCTGCATGTGTGCAAAGACGTTGATGCTGAGATGGACTGTTTAAAGATGTTCCACAGGATTCCATGTGATGGAGGCAATGAAGAGGTTCTGCAAACACTGAGAGCGCAGTCGCAGGTAAGGGATCTGCTAAGGTGCATCTTCTTCACTCCTAAAAAAAAAATGTTGAATTAACTTAACCAAGTGATGTCAACTGGTTCCAGTAAGCCTAGTTGCCTAAATGTAAAGAGTAATATACATAACATAACAATATATATTACTCTTAAGCAGTTGGGTTTAATGTAACCTGTTGACATAACTTGGTTAAGTTAATTTAACATTTTATTTTTTACAGTGAAAGCAAGGGGTCTTCTTGTTAACAAAGTTCTTTACTATGTAAACAATTTCATGAACAAAATAAAAAATGAAGATGGACCACTGGAATAGCTGTAGAAACAGAATTAGTCAAACATAATTCCATCGTTTTCAAAATAGTGTCCAAGAACGGAGGTCCCAGCGGTGATACAACCACTGATGGTCTTATGTAAGTCTTCAGGGCCATGCGTAGCAGTGAAATGTTAAAAGTCAGCTAATTTGGCACAAATCAGTCTTTAACTTCTCATTAGGTCTTCGACAAACTTAAAAAATCACAAACCAATTTTTCAGCACAATTCAGAACAACTAAGTCCTTCAGGGGTAGAAGAAGAAGAAGAAGAAGGAGAAGAAGAAGAAGAAGAAGAAGAAGAAGAAGAAGAAGAAGAAGAAAATATCATTTCTATAGTGCTTCTCAAGATAAAAATCATGAGGTGCTTCACAAAAACAAAAAAATGTAAAAATATAAAAAAGCATTTAGAAAATATTTAAAAATATATTTAAAATGTGCAAAAATAGACAATTGTGATTAAAAAAATGTTAAGAAAGAGAGAGATAATTGGAAATAGGGAAATTAGTGGACCCTGAGGAAGGTGGAATAGGTGGGGAGAGCAGAATAAAGAGAGAGTGGTGGAGAAGGTCATACAAAAGCCAGCTTGAATAAGTGAGTCTTCAGCTGCTTTTTAAAGGAGTTCACTGAGTCCACTGATCTCAGGCTCAGGGGGAGAGAGTTCCAGAGTCTGGATGCCACAGCAGCAAATGATCTGTCACCTTTGGTCTTTAGCCTGGTGCTGCACAACCAGTAGGCTTTGATCACTGGACCTCAGAGACCTGCTGGGGGTGTAGGGACTAAGAAGATCACCAATGTAAGATGGTGCTTGTCCATGTAAGGCCCTATAGACCAGAACCAGGATCTTGAAATGAACCTTGAAGTTGACTGGCAGCCAGTGAAGCTGGAGGAGAAGCGGGGTGATGTGGGTGTATTTGGAAGACTTGGTCAGAAGCCGAGCACAGGCATTCTGAACCACCTGTAGACGGTTCAGGGAGGTTCTGCTCAGACACGTGAAAAGAGAGTTACAGTAGTCTAAGCGTGAGGAGATGAAGGTGTGGATAACTGTCTCAAGTTCAGAGCGAGACAGAATGGGACTCAGCTTAGCAATGTTCCTGAGATGGAAGAAGGAAGAGCGAACAAGAGAACTGACATGAGAATCCAGGGTGAGAGCTGGGTCAACGGTCACGCCAAGATTCCTGACGGAAGGTTTGGTGTGAGAAGCAAGCTGACCAAGAGAGTCTCTGACTTTGGGAACCAGCTTGTCTGGGTCACAGATGAGGATCTCAGTCTTATCTTCATTCAGCTGAAGAAAGCTCCCAGCCATCCAGGTTTTGATAGAGTCTAAGCAGGTGTGTAACAGCTGCAGCTTAGACTTCTCATGGGGCTTAAAGGAGATGTACAGTTGGATGTCATCTGCATAAAGATGTACTTCTGAGTTAAAAAATGCTCATGAAATATGTATGTGGAGTAACCAGGTAGGTAGGTTTTAACGTTGCAAATCTGCAACGCCTGCTTCCAGAGGGTTAAAGGTTAACTTCTGGTCATTTTTGATTAAATACTTGGCCTTTTGGTACGCTACACAGGGAACCAGACCACTACATACCTGTCGTCATGACGTCCCATCTGATGAAGACTATGGAGAGACATCCTCGCCCATCTACGTTCAGTGGTGACCCCTGAAATAGACCCACTTCAATTTGAATATAAACCAAACGTAGGAGTGGAGGACGCGCTCATCTACTTGCAGCACCAGGCGTTGACTCACCTCGAAATGCAAAACAGCCTTGTGAGAATCATGTTCTTCAACTTCTCTAGTGCGTTAAACAGCATACAGCCATGTTTACTGCCGCAGAAGATGAGGGGTGCAGGTTTGGACAAACATCTGACTACATGGACCATCAACTAACTCACCAACAGGCCACAGTATGTGAGGCTACACAACTGTACATCTGAAGTGGTTGTGTGCAGTACTGGAGCTCCACAGGGTACAGTGCTATCACCCTTTCAATTCACCTTCTGCACCTCAGACTTCAGCTACAACACCAGCAGCTGTCATCTCCAGAAATTCTCTGATGACTCGGTCGTTGTCGGCTGTATGTCTGAGGGATATGACCTGGAGTACAGGTCAGTCATCATGGACATTGTTGACTGGTGTGAGCATAACCACCTTTGCTTGAACACGAGTAAGACAAAGGAAATGGTGACTGACTTCCAGAGAAACACTCCTCCTCACTCATCAGCAAACATTCAGGCTGCAGTCATTGAGGTGAAGAATACCATTAAGTACCTCGGTGTTCACCTAAACAGTAAACTGAACTGGTCCAACAACACAGATGTTCTGTATAAGAAGGGCCAAAGCCACCTCCACCTCCTGAGGAGGCTGAGGTCCTTCAGAGTTAATTCCCAGCTAATATCCTTTTATCACTCTGTTGTTGGATCTGTTGGGGTGCAAGCAGCTCTGACCGAGACAGGAAGAGACTGAACAAGCTAGTTCACAAAGCTAGCTTGGTTCTGAGCTGCCCACTGGATTCAGTTGAGGAGACCTGTGAAAGGAGGATGCTGGGGAAGATGACCACCATCTTAAAAAACCCTCCATGACAGCTCCTTCGGAGGCCGACTGATACATCCCAGATATAAAACAGAACGCTATCGTAGATCTTTCATTCCCCCTGCAGTAAGAGTGTAGAACTCCTTAGTTTAAGCTGCACTGGCATTATCCTGTTACACAATAACATCAATGCAATATTCAGAATGTGCTCAATACTAGTGCAATACCGGATTTACCTTGCATGTCTGTGTCTCTTGCAGTATGCTGCATAGTGTTGCAACCCAAGTTTTTTCATTTTTTATTCGTGGTTTTTAGTGATCGAAGACTACAATACTAGATTACCACCTATACATGTACCTTTGTTATTATTTATCTTTAAATTATTCTCTTAAGTGTTGGTGCTGCTGTAACAAGTGAATTTCCCCACTGCGGGATCAATAAAGTCACCAAGTAACATTAATAAAGGGACCCTTATTGTGGAGTGTTACCACACATTCATAACATAGTATAATTTTTTATGTAAATTAAAATATTTTCTAATTGTTTTGGAGAGTTTTCTAAAGCAGGTGTATTTGCAAAACTTTCAATCCCTTTTAAGGGTAGAAGTCATTTTCCAAATTCGGTTGACAAAAGCATCAGCATTAACTCTGGGATTCTGACCTCGTATCTCGTTTCTAATCTTATCCAGGTGTGGGTAGTGGGGGCAACAACATCTTTACCAGCTTCTCTGGTGGGATCACATGGTGTTCCCAGGCCTCCCTGGAGACAAAATCCCTGCAGCATGTCCTAGGTCTGCCCTGGGGTCTCAGTCAGAAAAGTCCAACCACCTCTGCTGACTCTTCTTGTTATGGAGGAGTTGCAGTTCTTCTTTGAATCTCCCCCAGACGTTTGAGTTCTTTGGATAGGAGAGTCTTAGGGCTGAACCCTGAAGGAGATTCATGACGGATGCCAGTGCTCTTGTTTTTTCAGCACCTACCCAAAGCTCTCGTTCATAGGTCATTTAGCTCCATGGTGCACAGTTAAATTTTTAAGACACAAATTTAATTGTTGATTACAAAAACATGTAAAATGGCCAAAACACCTTAAGTTTTGACTGTTTATTGATGTGTCAAACCTCTGAGTGTTGTTGCTGCCTGCAGATCCTGGGCTGGTTGGTCATCGTCTCCATCATGTTGTCAAGCCTGCAGTTCATCTGTGTGGCCCGCTGCTTCTCCCCCATCAGTTACCTGCAGCTCAAGTTCTGGAGAGCCTATGCTCAAGAGGAAAGTGATCTGATGGATTCACACATCGTCAAACACGCCACAGAGCTAGCTGAGAGGAACCTAAAGAGCTTTTTCAACCAAATGCCACCTAAAGAAATCCCCACACCCTCCAACAACGACTGGGAGAAGATCTCTTCTCTTTATAAGTTCAGCACCAGAGACCACTACTACAGCACGTTGCATCGGTACGTGGAGACAAAATCTGATACTGAGTCTGGGATGATGAGGATGATGTCTATTAGGTCTAATGAGACAGGAGACAACCCGGCTGTCCTTGACTTTGTGGATGGTGGAATAGTGCCAATCTGTTGAGGATTTTTCATCACTGAAGAGCATCTCAGGGTAAGACCCAAGTCAGTGTTAAACTTGGTTATTAAATGTGTTTCTAAACCTTTCAGAATGTATAATGTTTGATCAGGATTGTGGTCCTCATGAGTCTCTAGACATTTAAATGTGCCTCTGTTTATCACCGTTCAGTTGTCTCATGATTACATTATAAAGCCACCAGGCCGAGTGCGGTTCCACTACTGATGCATCACCTCCCCACCCCCCACTGGCCAGGCTCCCATGTGAAAGTTAATGTGTCTGTTCATCCTACAGGAAATGTGCAGCCTTCCATTAGCAGGAATAAGCAATGACCACTTCCCGAACACTACCGACTCATCTCACTTTCATAAAGGCAACTCTGTGTGAACGCAACTGGAAGAACCAGATTGTTACGAAATGTTTGGAGCATGCAACACGGCCACAGGGGTGGCCACAAAACTGATTCTGTTTTTAAATGCATGATGATCATGATGATGTATTTTTCACTTTATTCCTTGCAACTGGCGTATCAGTAAAATCAGGTCAGCTGGCGTGACAAAATTCATCATTCTAAAAATTCCGTTGGGCGCTGCACCACATTCATCTGGTTTAGAAGCATGCGTCTCACAAAGAGGACGTGAAATGTGGAATGGAGCAGGTGAGGGGGTCATTCCTGTGGGACTGGAACAGAAAAGCGGACGTGAACACTTCCCCAGCAGCTCTCCTGCCTGCGGCGCTTTGTTTTACATGTTTGATCATGTTCTGTTCTGTAACAGACGTCTGCAGGTCCAGTAATGTGGGTTAAGTAGCGGCCTTGAGTGTTTTCCACATTACATATCTAACTAATGACAGATGATTGTGATAAGCACATAAACTAGACCAGTGAGATATTTCCTGAACAAAAACACATCTGGAGAAGGAATGTTGGAGGACAGAGAAGCGAGTTTGGACTGAAGTGAAAGGAGAATAAAGCACAGCGTGGCTCTGATTGAAGGAGGAGTCTGGAACTAAAGCAGAAAGCAGACAGCCAAAGGGAGTGGCACAAAGCAGACGAGCTTGTCTTTCGGTTGAGACGAAGAGGAAAAGCTGCAGTTGTTCCTCTTTCTTCTTGTGTTTTTCTTGTGGAACGTTTCAGAACCTCCCGGCCGACACCATGGATAACTTTCAGACCGTTCTGCGCTTTTTCATGAACCAGAAAGCCACTATTGGATACAGCTTCATGGCACTCCTGACTATTGGAGGGGAGCGACTTTTCACATTGGTATCGTTCCAGTGCCCATGCAACCACGACCAGAACTTTGCATACGGCATGACTTTCCTGCTGGGCCCGGCTGCGGTGCTTTTGGTCCTGGGTCTCTTCGTTAATAACAGGCTATGGAGGCTCTACACTGGCTGTTGCCTGAATCCCATGAAGCTCTGTCCTCGTGGAAACTGTTTGGGCTGTTCCAGGGTGTTGATGAGCATTATCTCTGGGGCTTGTGTGGCTCCTGTTATGTGGCTTTCCGTGGCTCTGCTCAATGGGACCTTTTATGAGTGTGCCATCAGTGGTTTGGATGAAAACCTGGTGGTTAATCTGTTCTGCAAAAACAAGACCATGAACTGTCCGGAGGAACTGGCTCGAGTGCCATGTGATCGGTCCAAACTCTCGAGTGACGAGCGTATGGAGTTGCTGTTGATGCTCAGGGCTCAGTCTCAAGTAAGAAACACCACACTTGACCACGGATGAGAACGCGACATCTGTACCTCCAACACAGTTTGTGGCCCAGGACCAACACTGCAACTATCCAATCACACGTTGGCAGTGATGTCATATCTACATGACTCTGGCTAAAGTTTGGAAGGGCTTCAAAATGACACCTTTCTGAAGTATTACTGATATAAATGCTGCACAATATAATGATCACTTAGACCCAATGTGGGCGGAGACTATTAAAGTTAGGACAACTACCACAGCCATCGCCCCTGTTGGTGTTCACTCTTGTTATTGGTGGGATGAAATTTCTCTCAGATACCAGTTAACAACACATATTAGTTTATATTTATGCTTTATTCATTTTTCACTGTAAAGGTAAGAGTTGGGGTTGAAAAGGCCACAACAGCTTGACTCCTCCACCTCCTGCTCGTCATCAGCTTGACTCCTCCCACGAAGCCACATATTTCTGTGGAATAACATCCTATTCCTCAACCAGAGTGGTTGGAGTTGGTCACCCCAGCACATCCAGCAGGGCAGAGCTGTCCAAGAGCTTTCAGTCAGGAGCCAGGAGCCTGAGACTGGACCACACCTGATAGCAAAGCTCAGTGTGAGGACCAACAAGAGAACATTATAGGGAATTATACTTCACAATAAAGGCTGTTGTTGGCTTACCGTCCAGGAAACAGCAGAGAATGTCTTGGCTAGTAGAAGCTAACCTTTAGCATTAGCAACTTCACCATGCAGCAGAACTCCTCCTGGTGTGTGTTATTTGTGGACATTAAACATCCAACTTGCAAGTCAGTAGAGACACTTTGCTGTTATCCAGGGCTGGACTGGGACCAAAATTCGGCCCTGGCATTTTTACGAATCGTCGGCCCTCTCCATTGGGAGGGCAGTGGGGATGAGGGGTGTTGCCACCCTCGGACTCGTCTCTAGGCCGAATGTGAGATCTAATATGGACTGGGACTGTTAAATTACAAGCAGAGCCAGACCGCTGCGACCGGGAGCCCTGGCCTTCCAGATCAGCGGGACATTAGCTACATGCTAACGCGGTAAAACAACTCCTATGTTGTCGCTCTATCACTTGGATAAGCGGCCCACCGGGACAGTGCCAGAATGCCAGATAGACCAGCCCACCCCTGCTGTTATCCAATCTGGGGCGAGGTGTCCAAATATCAGGAAATAAGACTCCATTCATTCCTACTAGAGACTACTGCAAATGTAGAATAGAAGAAGAATAGAATAGAATAATCCTTTAATAGTCCCACAAGGGGAAATTTGGTTGTGTCAGCAGCAACATCACACATATACAAACAATGCAGGACACAGAACAGAAGCACAGTTATTACCTATTTACATCATGGACAATAGTTACCAGAGCAGAGTACAATACAGTTGTTTATATAGGCGCACACATATTGTGTAAGCATAGCAGGATACTGAAGATGTTAAAATAGTTTTAAAAGTTTAAGATGATTAAAAGAGTGCAGATTGTTTATTTTTTACCCGTTCATTAAAAAATAGACATGTAGCCTTCAATAAATTATTGCATGTATAAGCTGAGAAAAAGTAATGTGTAAGTTATAATTGTAGAAGTTATTACAGCACTGATGCCGACAACTGTTTTGTTTGGGAGCAGTTCTGATTGTACAGTCTAACAGCTGCAGGGAGGAAGGACCTTCGGAAACGCTCCTTCATGCATCTAGGATGCAGCAGTCTGTCACTAAAGGAGCTCTGCAGTTCAGCAACATTTACATGCATGGGGTGGGAGACTCTGTCCATCAGAGATGTTATTTTGGCCAGAGACCTTCTGTCTCCCACCACCTGCACTGGGTCTAGGGTGCATCCTAGAACAGAGCTGGCCTTCCTGATGAGTTTATCCAACCTCTTCCTCTCAGCTGCCAATAAACTGCTGCTCCAACATACCACACTGTAGAAAATGACAGATGCTACCACAGAGTCATAGAAGCTCTTTAAAAGCGCTGATTGATTAAACAAGTGTCCTGCACCTTTAGTAGGTAGGTAAACTGGCACGGCCTTGTGGGAAATGTGGGAAACAGTGAATCAAGCGTAACTGTGAAGAATCTAAATCTGTTTACCCTCCAGTTTGACTGTAAACAGAATAAATAATGTTGATGAACTCAGTTATCAAAACTGTAGCCTGACGGTGATAAACAGATCTATGTTCAGGAGGACAGGACATCCATCTGGGTTTCCTCAGTGTTATTTATCATTTGCTATATCAGACACTTGAGGGTCATTTACTGTTTACTGATTCACGATTTGATGTACATGTTGGTTTCTGAAGGTGTTCTTCAGCTCATAACACCCACTAAACTGAGTTGGTTGTTCTTGCAGATTTTGGGCTGGACCATTATCATCGTTTCTGCCGTTGTCGGCCTGGTGGGAACTTGCTTTAAAAACTGTCGTTCCAGAGTCAGCTACCTCCAGCTCACATTTTGGAAGCGTTACATGGAGAAAGAGAATGAGCGCTTTGATGCCCTTTCTGTAGAATACGCAAACAAACTGGCAGAGAGAAACCTGAAAAGCTTCTTTGAGAACAATAAACCGGCACCCATGCCATTCCCCAACCACAAGGCATGGGAGGAGATCTCAGCCTACTACACGTTTTCCAGTAGAGAACAGTACTACAGTATTCTGCAGCGCTATGTGGAGACATCAGACTTCCCACCAGAGAGAAAACCCATCCTGGAGTGTGAAACAGCGACGAGCTGAAGCACGTTATACCAGATAGACTGATGTATCTGATGCCTGTTTGGCCCGTTTTTTTTCCTGTCTCACTCACTTTTATTAATAAAACATACAATTTTGAACATTTTTCTGTTAAATAAAACTTCAAATATTAAACTTCAACTTCAACAGAGCCAGCTGGGGTTAAGTATTTGTTGTTCTCTCTCTAGAACATCTCTAGAACATCTTCATCTGGTTAGACACCAACAGGTAACCTGTCCATCACAGGGACACATGAAGAGATGAGGCAGACACCTTGGGTCACTGTGTCACAGACCATCTGTGCTGCAGCAGATCTTGAACCACAGGAGGCGTTCAGGAAACGTTTGTAACGTGTTTAAATTCCAGAGTAATCATAATGTTCCCTTCCGTACTCCAGACACTTTTCCAAAACACTTTAAAGGTGTAGTTCACTAAAAAAAACTGAATTTTTAATGAGAATTTCTGATAATAATCAGTCTTTGAGATTTTCATGCAGACTGAACATGAAAATAGTCTCCTACACCTATCTCCTGCATTAGCTTCTGATAGAAAATAGGCAGTGAAAGGCTAGGACTTGAAAAAAGTCTGACAGATCTACACTGTCACTTAACATTCATGGACTCACCCACCTTGACTCATGACGGGGAAGTTGTTGGTTTAGCGTCCAGCAGAGAACATCTCAGCTTGTGGAAACTAACTGTTAGCATAACAACTTCACCGTACAGCAGAAGCTCCTACAGGCTTGTGTAAGTTGTGGAGATAAATTATCAACTTTACAGAGCAAACAGAGTCAGTGGTAGAGTCACCCTGCTGTTATCCAATCCAGGGTGAGATGTCCAATTATCAGGAAATAAGACTCCAAAACCTGCCTTCTGAAGCTTTTTTTTAAAACAAGTTTTATTTAACCAATGAAGCTTACAGGCTTACATAAGAATCAATATTTACAGTTGAATTCTGAGCATGACATATATATATATTACATCAAACAACATTATTAGGAGTAAAGGAAACATTCACCAAATTGTTATAGAGCCAAATGGCTTTCTTGGAACTACATGGAATCCATAAAGGATGCAAGTTCTTTAAATAAAAACAATAAAGATCGGTTTGATATTGCCAAATTTACATTTGTGTATAAAGAATTTGGCGAAAATAATCAAATTATTGACAGTGAATTGCTGCATTTTATTCTCCAAACTAATACCATACTTGATGTCAGAAAAAGATAAGGAGCGTATAATGAAATTATTATGCGTTAACCACGAGTGAAAACTATCCCAGAAAATTTTGGTAAAGATGCATGTGAAAAATAAATGTATCTCAGTTTCTATATTAGAAGTGCAAAAGGCACAATCGTTCTCTCCAATAGCCTTCTGAAGCTCAGTTGTGATGTGAGCAACTTTAGGTCCAGGAAATGGTGCACCAGATTTAAAAAATAATGCTGTAAACAAATAGTCTTTTCAGAAACATAAATAATTATTTTTTAAATGTTTTTTTTTTAATTTACAAAAGATAAAAGTAAGTGACCCAAAACATCCAGCCAAAGTCATTAAGAACTGTCTTCAGCGTGAAGAACCAGAAGTCCTGGATGGTCTGGCCCCCCACAGAGCCCTGATCTCAACATTATGATGTGAGGAAGCCTACATCCACAGAAGATCTGTAGTTAGTTCTCCAAGATGTTTGGAACAACCTACAAGCCCAGTTCCTGCGACAACGGTGTGCACGTGTAGGTAGAAGAAAGTGGTCACAATAATTACTGATTTTTCTTTTGTTCACTCATTCCTTTTTTAATTGGTTTTTGAATAAGCTATCTTGTTTTATCATTTTCTGCTTTCTATTCTTTATTATTACTACAATATACTACTTTATTTATAATACAATCACATTGCAGTGCTTCATTGTTAGATGCTAAATAGAAATGATACCGTTGATTCTGTTTTAAGCTCAGAGAGAACAATCTGGTTCCACTCTTGTCCAGCAGGTGGCAGTAACGCGCCTTACGTAGGCCACAGTTTGTCAGACCAAATGTTCGATCCTTGATATCATCGATTGATAGTGAGTGGGTCCCTCGCGGTAGCGTTTTTGTGCCTGTCATGGTTCTATTGAAGACCAGATAACCTTCAGATACTCAAAAATGACGGACTACCTTGAAGAGCAAAGAAATGAACTTGAAGCTATAGAATCCATCTATCCTGACTCGTTTACAGGTTCGATCTTCGTCACGTTTTAATTTCTAGCTTCCAGCTAGCAGGCGTCAGCTAACCGATTAGAACAGCATTTTCCCGGTGTGTTCCAAGATATGAAGGCTAGGCTGACATAGGGGTTGTCCAGTTCCTGGGACTACAGTCGGGTTTAACCTACTGAACCCAACACCGATTCCGTTTTTACTTCTGGAGTGTGTTTGAACATGCTAGTAGCTAAAGAACATCTGGAAGTTCCATGGTGGAACACAGAGTTAAAGCATCTATGTAGCTGCAATGTTGGAACGTTTAATTGTGGAGTGAATTTCAAACTTTAGTGTTTATCTGAACCTGTTGGTATGAGTTCATAGAGATTATTTCCTCTGGTGTGCTCTCAGTGCTGTCTGAAGACCCCACCAGTTTCACCATCAATGTGACGTCAGATGCTGGGGAACACGGCGAGAGTGAGTACACCTCATACTCTCCTCCCACGCCCCCTAGCCTTCTATACCTCCAACACCTTTTACATCTAGCACACTTTTCACCATCACATCAAAACTCAGCTTTTGGATCACCTCTGCCAGTGTGCTGTGGCTACGATGCAGCTCATCACCACCAGAGTGAATGGATGAATAACTGTAGTGTAAAGCACTTTGGACTCATTTGGCTCAGACTGGCACTGTACAAGTGCAGGTCATTCATCACGTGTGATTGGGAGGTTTTGTTTCAAACGCCAGTCATTGAGTTTCTGTGTAAGGTGTCATAACAAACAGCTTTCTGTTTGTTACAGCGGTGGAAGCAACGCTAAGGTTTACATATGTAGCCAAATACCCTGATGAGCCTCCGTTGTGGGAGATCTACTCCCAGGAGAACCTGGAGGACCAGGATGCGGAGGACATCCTCACCTTACTGCAGCAGCAGGTCTGTCAGTACATGTCGCCTTCACTCTCTGTAAACGTTGGGTGTCTTCAGGAATGAGCTCAGACTGTCTTGGGGTGAATGGTAACTCTGCATATGAAAGGCTCAAACTGTTTCAGGTCATTTTTAGGTGTTTTAACATCCGGTTGTTGGTCTGATTTCATGTGATTCGTGTCACTCTTCAGGCTGAGGAGAACTTGGGGATGGTGATGATTTTTACCCTGGTGACAGCTGTCCAGGAAAAACTAAATGAAATAGTGGATGCAATGAAAAACAGGCAAGAAGAGGAACGACGTCAGAAAGAGAAGGAAGCAGAGGAAGCAGAGAAGGTAATGGTGATTAGTCTTATTTTAGATTAAGCAACAGGCACTGAGGATTTTCCTGTTCGACTTAAGGCATGACCAGATTTTTCATCCATCTCCCTGGGCTCAGTGCTGCTTTGATTTTCTGTTAATGGTTTCTCCCTGTTTGGTAGGTGGCGTTCCAGGGCACAGTGGTGACCATTGAAAACTTCCTGGCATGGAAAGCCAAGTTTGAGCTGGAGATGACGGAACTCAGAAGAAAAAGACAGAAAGAGGAGGAGCAGGCTGGAAAACCCAAACTGACTGGTAAGCCTGTTGGTCCAGATTCCCAGGATGGGGCTGATCAGGAGTCTCATTGATCAAACATTGTGTAGAATACTTACTAAAACCGTACTTAAGCTCAGCAAAAAAATGTATTTATGCCAAGTAGGTTTGTGATCTATCAAACTTGGAGTACGCACAGCTGCACGCAATCTCCGCTTAATAAATCAGAGACTAACGAGAAAGGTTCTCAGCTGTTTATGAGTCACATCCCGCCCTCAACACACCCACTTACTGCCTTAAATGGTCAATGCAAAGTGCCTTGTGGATCTCATGCATATACATAAGCCGGCTGTTGCAGCGCTCCGCCAATGACGATGGCGACCGTAGATCAAGGAAGCGCTATTTCACAGAAGCAGAAATTGAGGTACTTGTAGGTGAGGTGGAGAAATGAAAGGAAGTGCTTTTGCAAAACAAATAAGAGAAAATCCACGGAGTGGCACAGCGTTGCTGAAGCCGTCAATGTTGTGAATTTTTCAGAGAGATCTGTGGTGGAGATTAAAAAAAAGTGGTCCGATTGGGACTCGATCCCCAGACTCCTGCGTGAAAGTCACGCGCTAACCAGTTAGCCAAAGGGACATCCCCTTGTCCAAGTAGCCAGGGCGCATGATCAATCAGGTCACAGTGACAAGACACTCACACCGTCACAGACGCATGACATTCTGTCTCAATCTGTCCCCCTGCTGATATTCAGCATTCCGTATTCTGCGCTTCAAGCTGTGTGTGTGTGCGGGGGGGGGGGGGGGGGTCTTGTTCTGTGTGGAAACGAAGCAGTACAAGTGATAATGCTGCAGGATTTCATAATTGTATCCTTCTCAGCAGCAGCACTGCAGGTGCTCTCCATGTCCAAAATGTGCGTAAGCCAGGTCCTTAGTCAACTTAAAGTTGCGCACATTTTTCCGCTAAGTTTTCTTTTATAAATCCTAGTTTGCGTGGAAAGTTGCTTACGCAGTTTTCCGACCCCGTTTTGTGCGTAAGCAAGCTTGATAAATGAGACCCCTGCTCCTCAGAGAAGTTTTCTCACTTCAGACCTGACATGTGCGCAGTTTCACGGCTGTAGTGAGTTCTCCATTTAAAAAGGTAACACATGTAGAGTGCTTGAAACTGTAACTGAAATTGATTGTAGCACAATGGTGTTTCCACACTTGCAGCATTTAGTCAATTTAAATTTACCTCCATGGTTCAGTTCTTCTGAACAAAGTTGTTTTACCAGGATGCAGAACAAAAGAACCAAACCAAGACCTGCTGGAGGATGTGGGCTGGGCTTGTGGGATCGTGATGTGACCTTGATGTGAAACAATGACGAGGTTTAAGCTGTCGTTTGAGCCAAATGAACTCCCGTAGCCAGGTTTGTGTTGCGTTCTAGGATGCAGGAAGCCACTTGCGCATCAGCAGCTATGAGTAGCTCCTAGCTAACTGGAGAAGAAATGGGGGCTAGCATGGACAAGCAACAAAATCCATCATCCTGACTGATATTTGAGCTGATTTATCAGTTCTGACTCAGAAAACACTGAAGAGTTAAAATATGGAGGAGGGGTGAGAGTGCGTCGTCCGTTAGTTCAGGATCTGAACACTCAACCTTCTTCCGGTATTTATTCATAGTAGCCCCGCCCCTAGAATCTAATCTGACCAATCAGCAGATTCTCATATTTCCAGTTCTGATAATGCAGCATTGAAACTGGTTTGACACCTTCATGTGTCGCCTTTCTTCACGCCCTAAACATCTCAGATGTGGACCAGGTTGACCTTCAGAGGGTGATGTGAGCTGGCACTCCAGCTCATCACAGTGAAAGCTCGGTTCTCTGCACTTCCCACTGTGACAACTCTAATCGAACGTCTTCTAAAAACAACAATCCAGTTGTCTTTTCCACAAACCAGTGAAAACACACCAGAGCTGACTACAGAAACACTGACACCAGAATCTGTTTGTCTTCAGGTAAACAGCTCTTTGAGAGGGATCACAACCTCGACACGTCGGATATTCAGTTTCTTGAAGATGGTAAGTTCTTCTTTAATTATTCACGTGCTGCAGCTGTTCAGCCCTTTTAAACAAGAAGGAACGGTTTTTAAATCCATTAAAATGATCTTTGCACAAACTCCAGCTCTCCACTTTAACCAGAATAAATATGTAATCTGCTAATAAAGTGCTGAGGGAATCAGCTTAGATCTGTTCCTGCACAAAGACCGGAGCTTGTCTTGTATCTTAATCTGAATTTGGCATAAAACTGTACGTTTAGGTTTGAGATAAGAAGGTGAAATAAATCATTTGGGTGGTGACTCTTCAGTATGAATGGAAGCTGTGTGGCGCTGGACTGAGACGGCAGCTGTTCTTTCAACACTTTTGTCTCCTGAACACATCACCTGTTCTTTTGCAGGAGGAAACAACGTAGAAGTAGATGAGTCCCTTTTCCAGGACATCGAGGACTTGGATTTGGACGAGGACGACCCAGACTTTGACCCGTTAGAGATGGGCAGCGATGAAGACTGAAGTAGCACAACAACGGACCTTTGAACGTTTCTTTAACACATCCTTTATTACTCCGCATGTTTCTAAGGACTCTTATAATAAACGAGGGAGATCACCTTTAACTCACTCAGACACAACTGTTCATTTCAATTCCTGAAACATGAAAATAGTCCAACCTTCTTTTGACGCGTGCTGTACGACATGCAGGTTGTCATTAAAGATGCAGCAAGACATCGAACACCGTGACGGGAGGAGGCTGCTTCCCTTCATCATCGGTGACAGGAGGCTGCAGCCTTACACTAAAAGCTTTCTCAGTTATCGAATATTGTAGGTGACAAATTCCTTCATTAGAACAAATTAGTCAAATTTAACCCTTAAATTACGTTCAGATCCTTTAAGAGCAGCTTCCTCAATCACCGGTTTCTCTCCTCCCACTTGCTGACACAGCTCTGCAGCAGATGGTGACAATGTGGGTCTAAATATTTATATTTGACCTCCTCCATTAGTGGTGTCACCTCACTTCCAGAGGAATTTTCATCTTAAATGTTTGCCTTTTTAAGTCTGTCATTTGTCCAACTCTGAGAAGATGGGTCATTTGTTGTTGACACAAGCAGGACCACCACTGATGCACCGTTTCTTCTACTCTTTTTACAGTTTGTCTTGATTTGTGTTCGTCTTCACACTCTACAGCTTTGGAAATAACAAAAACATGTAAATTGTGTGTCAATACTTGCAGCTCAGTCAGGAATGACTGATGACTACAGATTTCCGCATAAACAGCAAAGCTTCATTTGGAGCTCAGTTGTTTAAACAGATCACAGGAAGTTGGACTTCACATGTTTTTTATATCACCACAGTGAACATCAGATGATGCTGATCCCATTATTCTGGTCCTCTGGGACAGAAATTGTCTCTAAAAGCCTTTTGGCTGTAGAGATCCTGAGGATCCAACTTAAAATCCGTATCATTTACACTTTGCACAGTTCCCGCTGCTCATATCTTCCACATCTACAACATATTTGCATCTGTTGGATCTACATTTAACTGGATCAGAGGTGAAAAGCTTCTGGATTCTGGAACTTCAGCATTTTATGAACTTAGTGGTTTTAAAAATGTGTTTACTACTCAGAAGAAGTTTTACAGGGTTCATCTCCTCCATGTTAGATGACTAACAACCTACTGGTTGTACAGCGCACCAGGCTAAAGTTTCTTCTTCTAACTAGTCTGTTGACCCGCCTTCAGCTGGACTCCAAACTGGTTCCAGAAAGAGAGACAATAAAGCTGGAAAAGCCTTTTCTGATATCTGAGCATCTCTTGTAGTGTTCCAAGATAGTCTGTAGGGGACAGAGTTGGGCCGGTCTGTAGAGGAAGATACGTTCAGGTTTGTAGGGGACAGAGGTCTGGTCAGTCAGTAGGAGAGGAGACTGTCGGGCCGGTGTGTAGGGGACCTTGTTTTATTTCCACGTATGAAACCAAGACTCAGACACGGATTGAACATAAGAACTAGTGAGTGAGTCTAAACATTTATTAACAAACAACTCGACTAAAAACAGACAAAAACTCAGACTGAATAAAAACAGAAGTTTGTGTTCATGGGATCCGTTCAGCTCTTAAAATCTTCGAGTTAAAGATCTGAGCCTGTAAAAAGACAGAGAGGCTTTACTTACACGCTGCACACTTAGAGAAACTTCATCGTTGGAACAACAAAGCACTTCTGTAGAAATCAACTAGAGAGCTTCTGGTATCTGAAGAGCAGAATAAGGTGAAGCTGCTCACCTGCTTCTCTTCAGCAGACAGCACACCCTGTGCTGCTACCAGCTGGTACTGATGGTGCTTCAGGTTTCTGGGGAACCTTCTGATGAGACGCACCGCTGTGGAGATGAAATCCCTGCTCAGCAGCTTCCTGATGCCTTCTGCTGAAGATCCAGGATCCAGCAACAGGAGACACACTTCTCCGTTCTTCCTCTGCTCCAAACCCACTATAGAGCGGCTGTGACCTGAAGAACCACAACAACCATCTCTAAACACAAGATTAGGAGAGTTTTGGTTTGCTTTGGGATTGACTCAGTGTGTTATGGCCTGGAATGAAGAGCTGTTGCTATCAAACATGACAAAATCACGACCAAGCATTTAGGAACTGAGCAAAGTCATATTTTTCACATTTTCTGGTTCAGTATTTGTAATGTTTCCATGGTTACTGAAGAAGAGTTTCATAGACTAAAAATGACATGAAGTTCTCTGTAGTTCACTCTAACCTGCTACCAACCAGCTCCTGGTCCTGACTGATGGGAGATCATTCTTCATCATCTATGTTTAGAGTTTGTCACAACCAGAGGGGTTTTGTTTAGCGTCCTGCCTCTCATGGACTCCAGGATTTGGACTCAACATGTTGATGTTCTGTTCCTGATCCATAACCTTCTGGTCCGGTGCTGGAGAAGACCTTGTTCATCAGCAAGCTGTTGTTGGATGGTAGCAGGAGTTCCTCTGGGAAGATGTTTATTCTTCATTCATGGCTGTTCTGAGTCTAAATTTGGTGATCTCACACTGGATCAGCTACAGGAGACTGACCTGCTGCTGCTCTATGATGGTCGTAAGTAAATTTTTTTCATGTCAAAGAAGGACTTTGTGTCTAACTGGGGTCCATCTGATGCTCCTGAGAACATTCTGGCATTGCTGCAAACTTACATCATAAAACCTGAGGCAGAAAAAGTTCTAATTTTTAACATTTGTCTTTTTCTAGATGTTTAGTAACTGCTGTAGCTTTTTATGACATTTTAAAAAGGTTTTTAAATGTAGCACATTTCCACAAACAACTTCATATCTGGGCTATTTTTAGTAATTGTTTGGTAATAAGTGATGTGTGATTAAGAGCAACTGAATGTCTCTGATAGAAGAGACTAGTTTAAAAGGGTGAAGAGGTTGGACAGGTTGGACGTACAGAACTAAGACTCTGACTCTGGGACGGGAGTACCTTGGTGTTGTAGGTAAAGCGGAGGCAGGTTGGTCTGGATGAGTCGGGGGAGCAGTCTGCCGCTCTGGCTGGACTGACAGAAGTATTGCTTGACCCAGTCAAACAGCTTAGGATGGGTTCCATCAGCACCAGTGGACTGGTGGAAGTCAATGATGTGTCCACTGAAGACAAACAGATATTACCCGTTACAGGTTTGATCACTTAGCTCACACGCTTATGTCCACTTTTGTATGTAACAATAATGTATAATCTTGTTTCCAAAAAACTGGGATTCTTTGGCAAAAAAGGATTTCTATTGATTATATATATAGATCTATATATATATATATATATACACTCAACAAAAATATAAACGCAACACCTTTGTTTCTGCTCCGATTTTTCATGAGATGGACTTAAAGATCTAAAATTCATTCCAGATACACAATTTTACCATTTCTCTCAAACATTGTTCACAAATCAGTCTAAATGTGTGATAGTATGCATTGTTGATGTGTTTCAGTTCTCATCATACGAAGAGTTAAACGTTACTCATAGCAGATAATCTTCTAGCAGATTGCAGCAGCGGCAGAGAAGTTAAGTGCCCGATCCCGTAACCGGAGGGTTGCAGGGTTGAGTCTGTTGCAGTTGTGTCTTTGGGCAACACAAAGTTGCCTGCTGGTGGTGGTCGGACAGTTCCGTGGTGCCAGCGTTCGACAGCCTTGCTTCTGTCAGTGCGCCCCAGGGGAGCTGTGGCTACAGTGTAGTTCATCAACACCAGTGTGTGAATGTGTGTTGGTGAATGACAGAATGTGTTGTAAAGTGCCTTGGGTAGTTGTAAAAGCCTTCAAGGTGCTATAAAAATACAAGTTATTTATACCAACAGAGAGCCTACCTGACTCCCAGAGAGGTGAGGAGGACATAAATCTCTGTGGCTCCAATCCATGCCCGCGTTCCCTTCAGACGCTGGTTAAAATGGGACGCACCCTGAGGGTCAAGACCTTCCCTCCAAGCCTCCTCAATCATACCCTGAATCCGGGGGATACAAGGCACAGTCCTATCTGGTAAACAAAAAAAGCACATAGGAATTAAAAGAATGGATGGATGAATGAGTGAATAGACGGATGGATGGATAGATCTTGGTGTGACAACCTTGTAGAATGGAAGCATAGGTGTCTATCCTTTGTAGGGAGGAGAGGAGCATCTGGAAATTTATGTATCCACAGCCCCAACCTTTGTCACCCACAGAGGAGCTGTAGTGGTCTGTGTCGGCACTCAGCCACACGTGGGCACAGTCCTTGCCTCCAGTCTGGTAGTAGTCACACAAGGCTCTGGTGATACCTGGACACAGGGGAACCCAAAGGAATGATCAGAACAGACGGACAGCTCAGAAATCCAAAATGACCACTAACATGTCTTATAGGAAGAGAAAAACAAAGAGGAATTCTGTACAGATTCAGAAGATGGACATCTAAAACATTTGAAACCTCAATGTCCACAAACAGCACATGTACTTCCGAATCAAAGCCGGGTTCCCCTGCTCTTTCTGCTTTTAGTTTTCTCTTCTGACAGAATCCTTCAAACAGATTAAAAGCAAAAAAAGCAGAAAATAAGTAAAATAGAAATACCCGAAAAGTAGCCGACTAGTTGCACTTTCTCATGCTGACCAAGGTGTTCACATAACAAAATATTATTTTTCAGCTAAATCTGATCTCAATGGTGAGACAAAGTCTACTCAGTGTTACAAAAATCCTAAATTTGCCAGACTCTAATCTGACTAAGAACGCCTACATTCCCATCATACACAATATCACGCATCACTTCAACCCACTCTACCCCGTAAGGATCCCTGTCTTTAGCCAGATTTCAGTAATGATTGTAATGAGCTACAAGATCCTAAACATTGTGTGCTAGGCCCCCTGCTGTTCACCATCTACACCCATGACTGCATTCCTATTCATCGCTCTAATAAGATCATTAAGTTTGCAGATGACACCACTCTTGTAGGTCTTATCCATAACAATGATGACGCAGCATACAGAGATGAGGTTTGCCATTTATCAGAATGGTGTGAAGATCATAACCTCTCTCTTAACAACAAGAAGACCAAGGAGATGGTTATTGACTTCCGAAGGAGTAAGGATGCCCCCCGCCCTCTCTGCATTAAAGGAGCTGAGGTGGAGAGAGTTCCCTCCTTTAAGTTTCTCGGGATTTACATCTCTGAGGATATGTCATGGACAATCAATACAACTGCCTTGGTCAAAAAAGCACAACAGTGGCTGCACTTCCTGAGGGTCCTGAAGTGGAACAGGCTGCAGACCAACCTCTTGGTGTCTTTTTATCGAGCAGTCATTGAGAGCGTGATGACTTTCGCTATTCCTGTGTGGTACGCGGGGTGCACAGTAGCTGATAAAAACAGAAACCAGAGGGTCATCAGAGAGGCGGAAAAGGTGATTGGATGCACCCTTCCCTCCTTGGACACTATCGCCCTGCAGAGGTGTCTCACTAGAGCAAGGACCATCTCCAGGGACATTTACCACCCAAACCACTACCTTTTTGCCATGCTGCCCTCTGGGAAAAGGTTCAGATCCCTCAGCTGCAGGACCGACAGACTGAGGAAGAGTTTCTTTCCCTGGGCTGTTAGAACCCTGAATGGACAGAAAAATCAACTCTATTGAAATTATTTATTGTATTTTGTAATGTTTTTGTTTTTATTGCATGGTGCATATTGTACTTGTTTTAGCTATTTTTCTTAGTATTTTTAGCGGATGCCTAATGTGGAGCTCTAGGAAATTTCGTTGAATGGACAATCAATTAATGACAATAAAGGATATCTATCTATCTATCTAAACACATATTCGTCTCCTGAACACTTTAGTCTTTTGTTCCCTGTACCCATGGATCCTTCCAATACAAGTCCTCTATCGTATTGATATTTCTGTTGTGTTGGTGTAATGAAATATCTTACAATGCTATTACTGCCAAACTACACCCATGTGGTTTTATCACTGTTGCCCATGGACCTACCCACTTCTCTTCTGATGCCCTCCAGCAGCCTAGAAATCTAGACGGACCGTAGCAGAAGCAAAATGATTTTGCTTTGCAGGTTGTATATATTCACATATATACCAGGCTAGCCCTCCTGCCTTTAGCACCCAGATAGATGTATTAGCAGAAGGATAAGTGGCTTCCTTAGTAGTTTATAATATTCAGAAGTGTATCCATCTATGTTTCGCTTCAACTTTGAGAATCATGAATTTCTCCAACTGTAACTTCATGTCAGAATCCCATGTTGATCCATTCCTCAGCTGCCCTTGGCAAACTGTAAATTTAGAGGCTCTACTAACGTTTTTATCTGATCCTTATTGATTGTTTATAGGGAATACAAACCTCTCATGTGACCTGTTCTATAGGAATAAAATATTTGTTTCTGTTCCCGTTCTGAGACAAAGCCGCTCCCTTCTCAACTTTAGACCCTTCCATTGGGTTTAGTATTCAAATCCTTCCATCGTTCATCCTTTTTCCGTGTTCTATCAGTTGTGCTTTTTTCTTCCTATTTTTCATGTTTACTACTCCCCACCTACAAATGCACAACAATACAAACACAGACCCATCACAGTGAAGCAGTGATGAACAGAAGATCTTTTTGTGGGGTCAGCTACTCGCGTGTTTTCAACAGTTCCTTTCCAAAAAGCCAAACTGAGGTGCCCCTTGCTTATTTAATACACCCACCTTACTCTGTCGGCAGAGGGAATTCCTCCAGTGTGAAGTGATGCAGAGGGGAACCCTGCTTCTCACCTTGATCCTTTGGAAACACCATCCAAATAACCAAGTTTTGGGTTTTTTAGGACATCCTGCCATATTTTTCCTCTCATCATAGTCAATGCCCTTTTCCTTTTGGTATATTTTTTAGTTCTTAGCAGCTTATTGCCAGCATGATCAGGTTTAGCATTCTCATTCATCCATTACAAAAGCCTAGACTGTACCCTAAGAGGCCAAAATGTGCTTCTTCTGCACCTTTTTTCTGATTGTGTTGCACTCAGAAGCATGAACAACCATACCCTGGGTTCTGGTTGAGCCATCATCCATGCCTGAGGCCAAGGACTCCATCATGTCAGCCTTCTTACTGTGAAACTCTGCAGAGGTCAAACGGCCAGAAGCCACAGCCTTCTCCATAGACCTCTCCATCTGCTGGCGATAGCCTCCTCCTCCTCCCCCAACACCGAACCGTCTCTGAACATCAGCAAACACACAAACGGAAACTTACAGTGTCACATGCCACGTTGGATTATTAGGATAAAAACCAGACAGAAGACCTGGTTCATATAGCATGTTGGAGAGATTAACAGGCACTTATTGTTGTACACCTTTAAGTTGCTCCTTCTTTTATTCTGTTACCTGCTCCTAATAATGTCAGCATGAACACATCCATGATTTGCAGCAGGCTAGTGCAATTAGCCCTTAATAACGTCTGATTACTGATGAACACACACACACACACACACACACACACACACACACACACACACACACACACACACACACACACACACACACACACACACACACACACACACACACACACACACACACACACACACACACACAGGATGGAGACAGAAATCCAATGCAATGGGCCTTTTTTGTTGTGTCTGAGTGTTCTGTTCTCTGTGTTAACACCTGGCTCTAACATCTGTCTTGAGCAAAGGACCACCCACTTACCAGAAGAACCAATCACTGGAGGAGCGTAAAAGATCTCAGCAGGTAGTTCCCGTTTAATGTTGGCACGTTATCACATGAACAATTTTGAAAACCTTTTTAAAAAAATGTATCCTTATCATGTGAACGCTGACCTGCAGCTTTTTAAAGTTCTCTTTCTCCTGCCACGCCTCTTCCTGCCTCCTTTTCTGCTCCTCTTCATGTTGAAGCTGTATGGCCAGTTTCAGGTCACAATCGGTGTTTTCTGCAACAACATAGACAAAAAACTCAGGCGCTTCATTTATAAAGCTTGCTTATGCACACACAAAAGTGGTCTAAGTAGCTTTCTACGCAAACTGTCTAATCTACAGAAAAACATGACAAGAAAATGTGCGCTACTTTAAGCAAACTCTGACCCTGGCGTAAGCACATTTTGGGGATGGGGAAAGTGGCGGTGCAGCTGGTGAGATGGTAACATGGTGAATTTAAATCACGCTGTCAGACAGATAGACCCCCGTACACACACACATCCACAAAACCAACAGCTAACACCGCCCCACAATCATCTCTGAGCACCATCATGCAGCCGTTTTGATGGCATCATTTAAATGACTGTTGCCATCTTCCTCTTTGCCTCCATCTGACTACTTCTCTTTCATGTTTTTCTTTTATGTGCACGACAGATGTCGTTGCTGTTCGTTGCTCTCAAAGCATTCACTGCTGTTACAACACTGTGCCAAACGATGGCGATAGAAAGTCACTTACTCTGGTCTGAGTGCTGATCCTGAAGATGCAGCTCCACATGCTCCTGCAGGATGAATGGGCTGCTACACACCATGGAACACATGGGACAAAAGAACTGCTCTTCTAGAAATAATACAGAAAGTTCAACTTATGTTGCTTCAAAATCCTAAATATGAAAAACATAGGTACAGTGGGGCAAGGAAGTATTTGGAAGACACTGATTGTGCAAGTTTTCCCCATTAATTTTCATCCAAGTACATACGTAGACTGAGAGAGGCAGAATGTTAAAAATTCAGGAATTCATATTGTAGGCTTTTAAAGAATTTATTTGTATATTAGTGCAGAAAATTCATTTTTAGCTCCTACAAACAAGCAACTCCTCCTTGAACCGCCACCGTATCGAGGTGGAGGAGTTCGATTGCCCTAAGGATCCTAGGAGCTATGTTGTCTGGGGCAAATTGGTCCTAGGTGAAGGGTGAGACAAAGTGCAGTTCAGAAAACTCTTCATGGAAGTGAAATCAAAGAGCCCGAGTTCGTGGCGCAGAGGATTACCGGGGTCCCACCCTGGAGCCGGGCCTGGGGTTGGGGCCCGTGAGCGAGCGCCTGGTGGCCAGGCTTTCACCCAAGGGGCCCGGCCAGACCCAGCCCGAACCAGATACATGGGCTCATCCACCTGTGGATCCACAACCTGCAGGAGGAACATGAAGAGTCCGGTGCAATGTGGATCGGGTAGCAGACCAAGGTGGGAGTTTTGGCGGTCCAATCCCCGGACACAAAAACTGGCTATTGGGACATGGAACATTACCTCTCTGGTGGGGAAGAAGCAGAAGCTTGCGGAAGAGGTTGAGCGATACTGGCTAGATATAGTCTGGCTCACCTCAACTTATAGCAATGGCTCTGGAATCCAAGTCCTTGAGAGGGGTTGGACTCTTTTTTTATGCTGGAGTTGCTCCAGGTGAGAAGCGGAGGGCTGGCATGGGCTTTCTGTTAGCCCCAAGACACTCTGCCTGTACGTTGGGGTTTTCTCCGGGGGACGAAAGGGTAGCTTCTCTGTGCCTTCAGGTCGGGAAACGAGTCCTGACTGTAGTTTGTGCTTATCCACCAAATATCAGTTCAGAGTACCCACCGTTTTTGGAGTCCCTGGGACAAGTACTAAATGGTGCTCTGACTGGGGACTCCATAGTCCTGCTGGGGGACTTCATTACTCACGCTGGCAATGACAGCGTGACCTGGAGTGGTGTGATTGGGAGGAACAGCCCGCCCAATCTGAACTTGAGTGGTGTTCTGTTATTGGACTTCTGCACAAGTCGCAGCTTGGCCATAACAAACACCATGTTCAAACAAAAGGATGCTCATCAGTAAACCTGGTACCAGGGCAGCCTATGTTACAGGTCAATGACTAACTTTGTAGTTGCATCATCTGACCTGAGACCGTATGTTTTGGACACTCGAGTAAAGAGAGGAGTGGATCTGTCAACTGTAAATGTTGAGGTGGCTATTGCTAGCAGTGGTCGCAAGGTGGCCGGTACCAGTCAAGACAGTAACCCTCGTACCCGCTGGTGGACACCAGAGGTTAGGGGAGCAGTCAAGCTGAAGAAGGAGGCCTATAGGGCGTGGCTGGTCTGTGGGTCTCTAGAGGCAGCAGACAAGTACCGGAAGGCCAAGCAGGGTGCAGCAGTGGCAGTTTCTGAGGCAAAATCTCAGGCGTGGGAAGAGTTTGGCGAGACCATGGAGAAAGACTATCGATCTGCTCCAAAATTGTTCTGGCAAACCATCCGGTGCCTCAGAGGAGGAAGGCAGCAACTTGCTCACACTGTTAACAGTGGGGATGGGGAGCTGTTGACGTCAACTGGGGCTATAGTCGGGCGGTGGAAGGAATATTTTGAGGAGCTCCTCAATCCCACTGACACATATTTTGAGGAGAAACCAGAGCTGGGAGACCTGGGGATGGACTGTACAATCTCTGGGGCGGAAGTCACTGAGGTAGTCAAACAACTATGCAGCATCAGAGCCCCTGGAGTGGATGAGATCCGACCTGGGTATCAAGGTTTTGGATGTTGTGGGACTGTCTTGGTTGACACGTCTCTGCAACATTGGGTGGTCATCGGGGGCAGTTCCTGTGGAGTGGCAAACTGGGAAGGTGATCCCAATTTAAAAAAAATGTTTAAAAGGGGGACCAGAGGGTGTGTTCCAACTATAGGGGATCACACTCAGCCTTCCGGGAAAGGTCTACTCCAGAGTACTTGAAAGGAGAGTCCGGTCGGTAGTTGAATCAGATAGAGGAGGAGCAATGTGGTTTTCATCCTGGCCGTGGAACTGTGGACCAACTCTTGCTACCCTTTACCCTTGCTAGGGTGATGGAGGGGTCATGGGAGTTTGCCCAACCAATCCACATGACCGTGTCCCCAGAGACACCCTGTGGAGGGCACTCCAGGTGTATGGGGTAGATGGTCTTTTGCTAAGGGCCTTTCAGTCCCTGTACCAGAAGAGTGCGAGTTTGGTCCACATAGCCGGCAGTAAGTTGGACCTGTTCCCAGTGAGGGCTGGACTCCGCCAGGGTTGACCTTTGTCACCGGTCCTGTTCATAAAGTTTATGGACAGGATTTTTAGGCGCAGCCGTGGTGTTGAGGGTGTGGAGTTTGGTGGAAGAAGAATCTCTTCTCTGCTTTATGAGGATGATGTGGTCCTGCTAGCTTCATCAGACTCTGACCTACAGCTCTTGCTGGGGAGGTTTGCAGCCAAGTGTGAAGCAGCTGGGATGAGGATCAGCACCTCCAAGTCTGACACCATGGTTCTCAACCAGAAAAGGGCGACTTGCCAACTCCGGGTCGGGCGATAGGTCCTGCCTCAAGTAGAGGAGTTCAAGTATCTTGGGGTCTTGTTCACGAGTGACGGAAGGAGGAAGCAGGAGATCGACAGGCGGATTGGGGCAGTGTCTGCAGTGATGCGGATGCTGAATCGGTCTGTTGTAGTGAAGAAGGAGCTGAGCCGAAAAGCAAGGCTCTCGATTTACCGGTTGATCTACTGCCCAGTCCTCACCTATCAGGGTTTCCCCCAGTGCTTTATAAGCCTGGCAGCCCGCCAGGCTTTGCTTGCCCACCCGCCAGGCTAAGCGTCATGCCCCGCACCCCTCCCCGACCCTACCGTGTCCGCTGACACGAATGGCGCAAGGAAACTAGATCCCTCCATCAGCTGATACTGGTGAGAAACAGCAGTGGAACGTGTGCAAGCACCCCACCCCCGCTCTCACGGAGGAGCGCTGTGGGACGGAGTAGAGTAGAGTAGAGCCGCTGCAGGGGTCAGTTGAGGTGGTTTGGGCATCTTGTTAGGATGCCTCCTGGATGCCTCCCCAGGGAGGTGTTTCAGGCATGTCCTGCCAGCAGGAGGTCCCCTGGTCAACCCAGGACACGCTGGAGAAAGTAAATCTTCAAGGTCCAGGAATGCCTTGGGGTCCTTCTGGAGGAGCTGGAGGAGGTGGCCGGGAAGAGGACGGTCTGGAACTCCCTAGTTGGGATGCTGCCCCCACGACCCGGATCCAGATAGACGATAGAAGACGAGACGAGACGAGACAAACAAGCAAGAGTTGTGGCCCTCAAAGACATGTTTATATATATATATATATATATATATATATATATATATATATATATATACATATAAACATATAGGACAGCTCAGAAATCCAAAGTCTAAAAAATGTGATTTCAAGGTTTCTTTTTACATTCTGTCTCTGACAGCTGAAGTGAAACATTAATGTAGATTACAGACCTCTCATCTTTTGTAAGTGGGACATTTTGCATAACAATGGCTGAAAAATACTTTTTTGCCCAACTGTAGCTCTTCCTGATACGGACGGCTGCAGCAGCTCACCTTTGGTGTGATCAGATTTGTTTCCAGTGACGGTCTCCTTACAGCAGCTGGTGGAGGGTTTAGGACACGATTCTTTTAAACGTGCCTTTAACCAAAAACTCTCAGCATGTGGTGAGTTATTCTTTCCTGTTTGTCCTGAGTCTGCATGGACTCTGCTGGTTATTGCTTCACCAGATGAATCACAGCTGTTTCCAGATGCAAAGGACTTTGATGTTTGGGCCATCCTTCTGTCACTTATAGCAACGTTTTTTGTTTTGGAGGAACCTGAAAAGCATGTGGCATTTGTGTGCTCTTCAGGATGTGCAGTTGATATGTGGAAACTGAGTTCGTTAAAGGAAACTCCAGCCAGGGAACATAGTGGACAGTGCATGTCATTTTCTAGGTGACTGAGAAGGAGATGCGTCTTCATGTCCTCCTCCAACATCAGTTCTTCTCCGCAGATTTCACAGGTCAGCATGGCCGCCACCTGCAGACAAAGGTTAGTATTAAGCTCTAATACAGCAGAAGCCTTGCAAATGCCAGATTAAAAGATTGATTTACAGTCTCTGAACGTGGTAAGCCTTGCACACAAACTGAACAGTCATTCAGGAATGGGATCTGAACATATACATGTAAATATCAGGTAAATATCTAAACTTCGGATTTAATAACTACTCTTATCCACCTATGTAACCAGAATACTTCTGGAACACCATCAGAATGCTAGTCTGCTGTTCGTCACCTGATCTCAATCTGAGATATGAGAGAAGCTGTCAACACGTGACCAGGTCAGGTTCATGAAATGAATGAAAGAGTTCAACAACACATGAAGCTTTTATGACGGTTTGAATTTGAATTTTGCAAGTTCCAGTTTGAAGTCAGATAACAAGTCAGTTGAAAGCAGGTCCAATTTCCGCTGAATGTTCTAGTAACGCTGTTTTTCTGACTGACACACACACACACACACACACACACACACACACACACACACACACACACACACACACACACACACACACACACACACACACACACACACACACACACACACACACACACACCAGGTAGGATCCAGCAGCGAATGTTAGTCTCGAATAAAAACAGAAAATTTACTTACTAATAACAATACATCAACCCAAAGGAGACTGACTCCAACACAGCTTTGCTTTACGTCATTGCGCTTCAAAGGCCTTGACACTATGAACTGGTTCCGTACAAATTTTCAAAATAAATCTAAAACAATTCATGCGTCCCGATGTTAAGTCCTATAATGAAGGCACAAATCTATAGCAAGTGAGTTAAAACCATTTTTCCTATGCGCATGCGTGCAGACAGGTTTCAGATGGAAAGGCTTCACTTACTAACGGATGGTGGTTTGGTTTTATTTTTTACCCCATACAGAGAAACATTATTAGTCTAGCTTGACGCAGAACTGTTTGGCGGGCGGTTTTACAGCTGGCGGAAACGACGTCATTGTTGTTGTCGTGAGAGGGTTTCTGGGAAACTGTTTACCAGAACGCCATTTTGGTTTAAGAAGAGTGAGAACAGCTGTCCTGGTTTTTGTCTTTATGCGCTGGTGAGACCGGGACTGAGGGAGGGTGGTGGCGAGTTTTGGTCTCAGAGTTCAGCTTTCTCACGGGACGTAGCGCAAGCTGTTAACTTGCTATGAAGCTAGCGGAGCTTGTTAGTTAGGCTAAACCACCACACACGGTGGAGTGGTGTTTATAGTCTAGTGGTGTCACTAGTTCAGACTGGTTTTTCTGTTTAAATAGTTTAATTTCCGGTCTTGTTCAGTGTAATGTTTACTTTAACCATCGGGACACGTTTAGCTAGTCTGGCGCTGATCTGTAAGTTAAATGAAACGGTCACGTCTAAACAATAAAGATGTTTAGCTTCCTGTTGTGTTTCTGATATTAAACCGTTTATATTAGGTCCGTCTGATGGTCAGGACAGATTGAACGAATCCATCATGAAACAGCAGATTTGAACTGGATTCACTGGTTAGCTCTGAAACCCAGCTGATCGGACACCAGTTTCAGGGTGGGTTCATTAACTGACAGCTGGGGTTTTCTCTGAACCAGGATCAGCCATTAGAGTGGCGTTTACAGTTAACACACCAGGTGAACTGGAGGAGGGTTTTGGGTTCGTGTTTTGCAGTCAGACAACAGATTTGTGTTTCCACTTTGAGGAGGCAGCAGACTTGTCACCCAAGTTATTTATGGTTATAGTGAGGTTAGGTTGCCCCTAAAAAGTCAGCTCAAGTTGGTTCAATTTCTTTATCTCAGTAATTCTAGATGTTTGGATTTGGACAATGGCGTCCTGTTTCCTCCACTTGCTGTCAGGTTCCTCACACTGGTCCCAGATCCATTTAAAACTGATGAGTTTTACATTTACTGTTTTTAAGGCTGAATTTAGTTAGAAAACTCAGGTCAGGCGCTCCAAGACCCATCCAGTGTTTGGTGAGATCTTGTTTGGTCAGAATGAAGAAAGTAGAAACTGCTGTCACCTAGCAGTCAGAGTTTGAATTGCACCAAATCAAAGAAATGCAGCAAATCTTTCTGTAAATTCTGAAAGAATGAATACACTGCTTTTAAGTATGAATCCAGTGTTGTATCATGAAAATTATAATCTTACATCCTCAGTTTGTTCTTGTGTTGAACTCTTCAGACATGATGGCGAGCCCAAAGAAAGACAACTATAGGATGAAGAGCTACAAGAACAAAGCGTTGAATTCTCAGGAAATGCGTCGAAGGAGAGAGGAGGAAGGAATTCAGCTGCGTAAACAAAAAAGAGAAGAGCAGGTAAACACTCTGGCTCACTTACGCTTTCATGTTTAAAACTAGCTTTGGCCAATGGTACCTTGGAGCTGTGCATCATTCAGGATTATGTTAGAGAGGCTGATGAGGGTGTTTTGTGGTTTGTTGATATGCTAGAAGCTTGGTAACAAAGTTATGTGATTCATCTGAAACAGCTCTTCAAAAGGAGGAACGTGTCTGTACCTTCAGCTGATGAGTCGATGCTGGACTGTCCGATCCAGGATCCCGACATCAGCTCCACAGTACCTGTCACAGGCGTAAGTGTTGGTCAAATAAAAACATCCCACAACCACATGTCAGGTTGGTTCAGGACTCACATTTTTGTAATTTGGCCCCAAATGAAGATTTCCAGAGTGAAGTCTGGAAAATAAAATCCACCTAATTCTGTAACGGAATGAATTTATCCCATCGATCTAACGTGGCTCACATCAAACAACGGAGACACAACATGAGCGTTAATGCTGCATACATCCATGCTGGGTCTGTATCTAACATTGTGTTTGTTCAGGATGTGGTCATAACACCAGACATGATTCAGATGATCTTCTCTGAAGACCCGGATCAGCAGCTAATCGCTACGCAGAAGTTCAGGAAATTACTCTCAAAAGGTTGGTATCCCACATTTCCACCATTCCTCTCTGTGCTCCATAGATGATGCTGCTGAGGTCTGCAGCATAAGTGTGGAGACTGCTTAAAAACGCACAAACTGGGCCCATATCTACTGGAATAAAACCAGTAGATAGATTTAACATGTTATGTTGTTGTAGAATAAAGGTCCACTCTTATGCCATTAGTGCACAATTTACCTCACTGTTTCTGTTTCTTTGGCACAGAGCCCAACCCACCCATCGACGAGGTCATTTCCTCTCCTGATGTTGTTCCTCGCTTTGTTGAGTTTCTGAAGAAAAATGAGAACTCGACTCTGCAGGTGAGAACTTTACGCTCTTCTCCTGACTCGCTGTCATTCTGAAGCTCAGCATCACCCGACAAGCTCTGACGCAACAAGATAAAGATGAATTGTTTTGTTTTTAATGCTCCAGGATTGTTTCAGTTTGCAGCATTTGTTCATTTCCAAAGAGCGAGCGGAGGTCATTAAGTCCTGACCCTGAAGGGCTCTGGTCAGGTCTATTGGGTTGTTCTGAAGGGTGTTTCTGGGTTAAAGTCAGACATAATTCCCACAGCAGCACCGCTGCTCAGTGAGAGTGTAGGAAACATACAATGCCAGTGATATAGCCGTCAGGATCCGATCATTAAGAACGGGACATCCTCAATGATTGGGTGAGGTTTTTCCAGGATTGTACATTTCAGAGGTGTTTAAATTTTTGACAAAATGTTTAATTATTTGGTTGCCATCAATATTTTAAGATAATTTCAAGCAAAATAGCAAAAATGCTTTAAAAAAACATCTCCGACTGCACCCTCGGTGAGTTGCAGATAAACATAGAGGCCTACTTCCTCTTTTTAAACGTTCTCCTGATGATGTGTCTCACAGTTTGAAGCAGCCTGGGCACTAACCAACATCGCCTCTGGAACCTTCCTGCACACCAAGGTTGTGATTGAAACAGGAGCTGTTCCCATTTTTATTCAGCTGTTGAATTCTGAGTATGAAGACGTCCAGGAGCAGGTGAGTTTTCCCAAGTCTAACAACAAAAACTGACGAGTTTGCACTGTAGGATGTTTCCAATCTTGATGATGTTGCACAACAGAGATGTGCAACGATTTGTGCAAAGATCTTCATGAACATGTTTTGTATCAACTTTAAAACTATTAAAATGTTACAAAGAGTCACAATGTATTCTTTAAACAGTGGTTGATCATCCCTGTTGAGGGAATCCTGTAGAGGATCACAGTGCTGGGAGACAGTTATCAACCACCATCGCAGGGTTTGTCTCGTTAATCTTGCAAACAAATGTCCCAACATCACTAGTCTGTTAAAAAAATGCTGTTCTGGTAAACTCGTTTCTAAAGTCTATAACCAGATGTTCTCCATGTCTTTGATGGTCTCCCTGAGCCGCCTCCAGCTCCTGATGTGGTTCTTTGCTCCGACCATAAGAGAGCCAGAACGTTCAGTGGTGAAATCAAAGATCTCGTTGTGGTTTAGTTGTTGAACTAGTTTGGTGAAGAATAGAACCAAACCAAACTCCTTCACACAAACACTCACACCAACGCTGCAGGAGATGTTCGGATCAGCAGCTTCTTTATTTTAGAGCATTTAGTTTTAATTGTTACTAAACGTGTGTGTGTGTGTGTGTGTGTGTGTGTGTGTGTGTGTGTGTGTGTGTGTGTGTGTGTGTGTGTGTGTGTGTGTGTGTGTGTGTGTGTGTGTGTGTGTGTGTGTGTGTGTGTGTGTGTGTGTGTGCACGCGCCAGGCTGTGTGGGCTTTAGGGAACATAGCAGGGGATAATGCTGAGTGCAGAGACTACGTGCTCAGCTGTGGCATCCTCCCGTCTCTACAGCAGTAAGTCTCCTCTCCTCTTCTCGAGTTTCTCTGGTCTTCAGAAATGGGAAGTTTTTTTTTCTTCCAGGCTTCTTGTTAAATCGAACCGACTCACAACCACCCGTAATGCGGTGTGGGCTCTCTCTAACCTGTGCAGAGGGAAGAACCCTCCACCAGATTTTGCCAAGGTGAGCCTGTTCCGGTGACATGACCTTTGTGTTTCTCCATCCAGCTGCAATTCTAAATTGTGTGTTTGTGTTGTTATTGTGTCAGGTGTGTCCTTGTCTCAGCGTTCTGTCCAGACTGCTGTTCAGCAGTGATCCAGATGTGCTGGCTGATGCGTGCTGGGCCCTCTCTTATCTCTCTGATGGGCCCAATGAAAAGATCCAGGCGGTGATTGACTCTGGAGTCTGCCGCAGGCTGGTAGAGCTGCTGATGTGAGACGCTCCTGTTTTATTGTTCGGGTCAAGGTCATTAAGATATGCAATCAGCTGATAGAAACTGTGTGAGGGTCCAGATGAAAGGGGGGATAACAGAGACCACTGGGTGGTTGTGATGTGGGTGTGGCTGCAGCAGGCTAAGGGGTCTGGAGCTTCACTGGGACAGGTGTTACACATAAGACGAGGAGAAAAGGACCCAGAATACAAAAGTATAAACACTTCAGTAAAACCAACATTTCTGCCCTCTGAAGCAGCATCTCCCTGGACGTCTTGTACTGATCCACACACCTGTTGGAGACTTTATCACTATATCTATAAAAACAATGAGTCAGTAAATCTTTCACAGAAATCCATCTTGAGCAGGATTGGGATTGAGCCAGCTGACTGATAGCATTTCTATAACTATAAGTTTCATATGAGCTAATAAATAGATATGTGCTGGCTTTTGTGAGTAACTGGTTCAAGCTGGAACACCAGGATTATTGAAACCTGGGATACAGTGCTGCTGTAGCTGCATGCCAGAACCACAGAGTGGTGCTGATGGGGTTGTTCTACAACAGCCAGCCTGACTGTAGCGTTCATCCCTCTGCTTCCTGTAGGCATGGCGACTACAAAGTGGTTTCTCCGGCTTTACGAGCTGTAGGCAACATCGTAACGGGAGATGACATCCAGACTCAGGTAAAGGCTGCTTCTCACAACGTTCTGTTTGTAAAGAGATTCTCTTCTTATTGGTGTGGGTGTCACAATCTGACGTTAAACCCAGATTAGCTAGGAAATCGCTGTCTCTCTCTGCTGTGAAAACGAAAACCAACGTGTGTTCAGGCACGCGTTAATGTTTGAAATTTTATTAAAAGTTGATGTGGGAGTCATTGTTGAGTTCTAGAACTTTTGTAGGTCATACACAGCACTGATGAAAATGGACTTGGGCAGGCGCTGTGGAGCGACACGCAGCCTTGGTCTGAGCTCCCTCGTGTCAACTCAGGAAAACTATGCTGGGTAACCTACAAATGTCTGATTCAAGCTGAGCTAAGATCAGTAAAGGAAGACATTACATCCAGATCGAGAGACGTGGATTGGCTTAGCTAAAGGAGGACAAATAGAAAATAGGTGCAGAGATGGGAGAGCAGAAGGAGAAGGTGGACACGGCTCTAATGTGAGTAGAGGAGCTCTGATGCTGACTGTGTGCTGCAGGATTTACTGAAGGAACCTAAGGATTTGTTGAAGCTGGGTGACCTGGAGGCCAGATCCAGGTGTAAAGGAAGGAAGATGCTGAATCACAGGACAACAAGGTGGCAAAGTTGATGGAGGAGTGGCTCTGTGAGGAGTTTAAGATAAACTAGGATCTGCTGATTCAGCGCTCTAGCACTGAAGACAGGTCAGCTGCTTTGTTGAATCAGTCATTAACTTCCAACAATACACCATAAAAAAAGCTTTGGAGAAGAAAACGGTGATGTTTGGAACCGACAGAATTTACATTTCGATCTAAGTTCCTACCCTCACCTATGGTCGCGAGCTTTGGGCAGTGAGATGTAGATGAGATTGTGGATACAAGCGGCCGGAATTATTTTTTTCTGCAGGGTGGTTGGCTCTCCCTCAGAGATGGGGTGAGAAACTCAGTTATCCGGAGTAGACCCACTGGTCCTCCACATCGAGAGGAGCCAGTTGAGGTGGCTCGGGCATGTGGTTAGGATGCCTCCTGGACCCTGGTGAGGTTTTCTGGGCACGTCCCGAGAGAAGACCTAAAGGAAGACCCAGGACATGCTCTCGGCTGGCCAAGGAACGCCTAGGGAGAGGAAGTCTGGCCTCTCTCCTTAGACTGCTTCCCCGGCGACTCAACCCCAGATAAGCAGATGAAAATGGATAAATGGCAAAGACACTAAAGGAGCAAAATGCTTATACACATGTCCAGAAAATACTGAAGAAGAGAAGATTCTGTTTCAAACTCCCCTTCACGGGCTGATGGTGCACTGGGAAACAGAACTAGGACCCACAGCACCATGCAGGAGGCAGTCAGTGGCTTGAGGAAGCAGGCATAAAAGGTATAGGACATCCAGGGAGACGCTGTGGAGCTCCCCACCACCGAGGGAACGCGAATGACCGGGACGGTGGCATGGAAACACAATGGGCGTGTTTAATGGTAGGAGAGTCCGAAACAGACCTCGGGAGGTCCTGCACAAAGATGGCTGAAAGGACTACTACGGCCTCTGTGCAAACTAATAAAGAATGGAGAAATTATCGCTTTTCAAGAAATGAAAGACAAATGCCATTTCCGGATGTATTCATATCTACAGATCTGAGACCGTTGTAGTAATGAAATTAAGAAGGGAGAAGGAAATTAATCCGTTATTCAAGTGGTTATGTAGGCGTATAATAGGGTTTAACCTAGAACAATGTCTGCCTTGTATTAAAGTCTCTTAGAATGAAGAAATCACTCCACTCTCTGTGAAGACCAACATGGGAGAAAATTAAGACATCCCCGAGGACAAGTGGGACCACACATGGAAAGACCATCTTAATATAACTTTCCCCACAAATAGACTTCAGTCATGCTGGAGACTGGCCCGGATCACCCATTCAGTCCTTCTGGGAGGGAATCCTTTCAGCTCTTAGGATACCATCAACATGTTGTTTAGATTACATACATGTTGGTAAAAGGGGACAAATATCTGAATAGATTCCTGCTTGCTGCTGGAAAGAAAGCTGTCGTGAGGAATAGGCGTAGGGTAGGTGGAACAAAAGGCACGAGAAGTAGGATGCTCTTTTCTCTTCCAGGCATTTTTCTCTCACAGAGAAACTACTTCAAACGGTGCTGCAGTCCCTCCAACATAACGTTGAACGTAATTCTGGAGTCTTTTGTTTTCTCAGGTAATTTTGAACTCTTCAGCGCTGCCATGTTTACTCCACCTGCTCAGCAGTCCCAAGGAGTCCATAAAGAAGGAAGCCTGTTGGACCTTATCCAACATCACTGCAGGAAACCGAGCTCAGATTCAGGTACAGCTGGTGTGTGTGTGTGTGTGTGTGTGTGGGGGGGGGGGGGGTCTGAAGAAGAGTAGCTCTTCCATCTGACTAAACTGTTCTTCTTTCACCAGAATGTTATTGATGCCAACATCTTCCCTGTCCTCATCGAGATCCTTCAAAAAGCAGAGTTCCGCACTAGAAAGGAAGCCGCGTGGGCGATTACGAACGCCACTTCTGGGGGTAACTCTGCACAGATTAGGTATGTTGGCTGCTACGGTTAAATCAAAGTCTTTTGGAAGACGTTAAAGTTCATAAACAGTTTTGGTGTTTGTGTCTCTTGTGGAGCTTCTGGCAGCAGGATGGAGCTACTGGGGCTTTGTTCTCTTCCTCTGATTAAAGAATATTTGATTATTTTGTTTTCTGAACAGGTACCTGGTGTCTCTGAATGTCATCAAACCCATGTGTGATCTGCTGACAGTCATGGACTCCAAGATTGTGCAGGTGTCGCTGAACGGTCTGGAGAACATTCTCAGACTGGGAGAACAGGAGTCCAAACAGAACCAGACGGGCATCAACCCGTACTGTGCGCTGATCGAGGAGGCTTATGGTACCACGTTCCTTTGTGCCCCCATGCCTACAACCATCCAATAACTACTCCCAATAACAAACGGGGACTTTCCGTTTATAGAGGCAGAAAAGACCCACAGGGCAGCACTAATGGATGCAATAGTTGAGATTTGCATAACATTTCCCCTTTAAGTGTTTTAGATTAGAACATGCCAGTAAAAAGGGAATCCAGTGTGGTTTTATTAGGTGTTTAGTTACATTTAAGGCTTTGTGATTATTTCCAAAGGATTTAGTGTAAGGCAACGACTGAGAGCCTGGATATCCCTTCCTGATTTTGTTTTCTTCTGGCCCTGCAGGCTTAGACAAGATTGAATTCCTGCAGAGCCACGAGAACCAGGAGATCTACCAAAAGGCCTTTGATCTGATCGAACGATACTTCGGAGTGGAGGAGGAGGATGCCAGCCTGGCTCCACAGGTGGACCAGGATCAGGGCCAGTTTGTTTTCCAGCAGCAGGAAGGACCCATGGAAGGTTTTCAGCTCTGACCCGGCCCTGCCTTCACTACCCGGTCTACTTTCTAGTCTGCAGGCAGCCAGCTGGCCTGTGGAGGGCTGCAGCTTCATCCAGAATGTCACATCTACTACTGCTCAGAAGACTGGTGAAAAGTGTGCTGCTAGCCTCCATAATCCAAACAGAGACTGTGAAAGTCTTAAGATCCTCAGGCTATGGACGGCTACCATTTGCCAAAATATAGTCGCTTTGTTTTGCCCCCGACTTCCTGCCTGATGACATTTGGTGTTGCAGATGAAGAGTTGACTTCAAATCAGCGTCCATGTCCCTTTAATGAATGTGAAACTACCTCTTAAATTTTCAGAAATGCAGAGAGAGGAGGCAAAGAAAAGCTCTGAATTAAAACACAATACCTCTTTTTTCTTTGTAAGTGTTGGTTTCATCCAGTCTGGAGTTGGAGTTCAAGTCTGTCACAACCAGAGACTGGCTCTTCTGTTCATATTGGACCTGAATCTGGTGTGGATCTGTTTGTCTTCTCCATCCTGACCTGTGACACAACCTGATCATGGGTTAGCAGCGCTGCTGTGGTCTGCTCTTTAGGCTAATTCCAACACCACCAGTGGCCGTGGCATGTCGCTGATGGATTATGTGCAATAGACTGGATTGAAGTCATAATCCTGTTCTGATCGTGTTCTGCCTGCAGTCGTTTCCTTGATGAGACTCAGATGTTTGTGTTTAAAGCATGGCAAACGTGTGGAGCAGAAATCAGGAGTTTATCGTTCATGACGGAGCGTCTTCATGCACATAGCGCTGTGACCTCTGACCTTTTCACCTGGTGTTTCTCTGTCATCACTCGTGGTTGAAACTATACCGCTTTTAGAACTTCATGGATTAGACATCTGCAAGTGCAGAGAAGACGTCTACGCCTGTAAATAAACATCTGTGTAAATTAGACGTCTATGCGTGGATAAGTCACATGTGAAATTAGATGTCTACAGAGATAACGATGAATGAAACCATAAGAGATTACATCAGATTTGGGAGTGTGGTTTTTTTTCTCACCTGCTTTTCTGTGTCTTTGGCTCCGTGAACGCGGTGAAAACCTTCCAGGTTGTTCCTGATGGAGTTGACTAACATGAAAGATAAACTCCCGTCTTTAAACTCTGGTGTCATTTTTAGATTGAGAAAACAAGATTGGTGTTAATAGAATGTTATTAATGATTATCAGTTACTCCAAACACACCCACATCACCCCACATCTCCAGCTTCACTGGCTGCCAGTTAACTTCGTTCATTTGAAGATCCTGGTTCTGGTTTTTAGGGCCTTACATGGACAAGCACCATCATACATTGGTGATCATCTCAGTCCCTACACCTCCAGCAGCTCTTTGAGGTCCAGTGACCAAAGCCTACTGGTTGTGCAGCGCGCCAGGCTTAAGACCAAAGGCGACAGATCGTTTGCTGCTGTGGCCCCCAGACTCTGGAACTCTCTCCCCGAGATCAGTGGACTCCTTTACAAAGCACATTTTTAATGTAAAAAAATCCACCCCCCCCCCCCCCCATTTATTATATTGATTGTATTTTTCATTTTGTTCTTGTGAAGTGCTTCCTGATATTTATCTTGAGATACTTTCTTCTACTAATCTGACATAGAAGTCACACAGACTAACTAGTTGTTCCTCCTGATGAACTAAAACAACCTGGTGAAGGTGTCTGTGTTGTTGCTTCCATATTAGAACAGATGGCTCCAGCTGTCTCAGGCTGCGTTTGTCTTCCCAGTTCCTACAGCTTTGAAGTTCCTGTTCCCAGATGCAGCAAAGTAGCTCCAGAACCTCCATGTTTCACTGTAGCTCTGATCTGTTCTCTGAAAGCTTCTGGTAACATGGGGCCGGTGGGATTGGTTACCGTTCCACTTGTGTCTCGTCTAAAGGAGCTCCTTCCAGAAACATCAGGGCTCATTGGCATGGTGGGTACCAGTCTGGTTCTGGTTTATTTCTGTCAGCGGTGGAGCCCTGCTGGATCTTCATTGTGGTTCAGAATGTGATGGGTGTTGATCACCTTGACCATGGAGTTTTGGACGGGTTCCTGGGCTCATTTCATACAATCAGAACCATGTCCCCTTGAGTCCAGGGTCTGCTGCAGCACCAGGAACCTTCGGCTGGGGTTAGTGGACCTTTAACATCTCTACTCTTTGTCCAGCTGTGCTGTTTGTTTCCTCTGGGTCAGGATCAGTTTGGTCCGCACCATGGTGCCTAGCTCCTAGCAGCAGGTTGGGTCCGTTTGTCTTGGTGTTGACAAATGATTACTCGTGTAAGCCAAATCAATTGTTTATTTTGGAAAAACAAAAAGCATCCTTCCCCAACAACAAAACTGAACAGAATTCAACACTGTATAAAAATGGAGTAACTCAGGTGATGTCCAGACAGAACCAGGCTGAGCTCCCATAATGCCTTCTGTTCTACATGACATCTCATCAGTGCTAGGAGGGCATGCAAGAAGAGCACGCAATGTGATAAAAACCAGTTATGTTTCTTAACAAGTAACACAAACTGTTTACGATCAGACCTGGTGTGGATCAGGATTCTGCTGCCTGAAAACACACACACTCACACCCCAGAAGGCTGAGCAGTTAGACGTGTTTGTGTGAGAGCTAATGGACAAATTTACTTCTCTAAAAGCTCAGACGGGATGGTTAGTGTCACAATCTCAGATTTCACAACATTCTGGACACACAGACGAACCTTTAGCTGTTCTGTAGCGTGTTTCCGTGTAAAAGGTAAACCTGTTTGGAATTCTGGGGTTTTACTGTAAGCTTCATCAGCAGCAGCTAAACGTAGCTCCAGCCAAGGAGGACGTTCTAAGTAATAAAATAACTAAGTGACATGAAACTGGCGCTGGCGTGAAGGTTTATAAAATAACGTCACCTGAACCGCTGGGTAATTAAGGAGACTCAGACTAGCCATTAGCCCATCAGTCTGAATGCAGGCTGTTCAGGAAGTAATCTAACTGATAAAAATATGACTTATGACTTTTACACAGAAACAAGGTTAGGGTTGTAACCTCAGGGGTCTGGATCTGCTGGTGACAAACATACTGATCAGAAAAAATAAAGAAATTCAAAAATGAAAGTCTCACCCCAAATCAGCAGGCTCAAAGGTGCGGGTGCGATGAAAACATGAAAACCACATCATCCAGGCTGGACATGGATCTTAAGATTAAAACAAGCCAATCGCTGCTTGGTGATAAACCTATCATTTTAATTTATTTTAATACGAGAGAGAACATGGAGCTGTTGTCCTTCTGGGACCCATTTGGAGCTGCTGTTGCTTTGTGAGCTTCCTGCCTGACAGACAAATTAATTAAAACCAAAGAGGTGACATCTGGTTAAATATTAACCATGCTCCTGTGAAACTCCAGACCATAACAACACAAACACCAGGGAGAAATTCAGCGCTGTGCTCTGAGGGGTTCAAGAGGTATGGAGCCAGGTGTGATGTCAGCTGGGGTCAGATCAGGTCAGGTCAGGCTGCTGAGGGCTTCAGTCATTGATCAGAGCCAGAATCATGCTGCAGAAACACAGAGAGCTCTTAGACACAGTCTGGAACTCCCACTCACCCCACCTGAGCTACAGGTTACCTGTACAAGTAAATGAAGAAGCACAGCAGGTGGTAGCCCAGCTTAATCATGGCCTCCTTCATGTGGGACTTGAGCAGACCTCGGTTGTGGATCTCAGTCGGGTCAAACACACCCATGTTTCCCAGAGGAACTTTCGCATACCTGCAAGAACCCAACAGAACAACTTCATTCTGCCCCAGACTCAGGCCTGAAGGGTCAAACCATCACTTGGTAAGCCATCCTATACACAGTCAGTCCACGACCCATAGACAAAGCTCGGTCATGAAGCAGAACCTTTGGTTGTCTTTTAAACTGTCCCTACATGCTATTGGACAACGCTAGGACCAATCAGAGCAACAAACATGACTATTCATCGCTATGGAAACCAGTCAACGAGGCAGCCTGCCTTACATTTTCAAAGACGACACAAAAACATTCTTTTAGTAAATAAATGACCTAAGTGCCTCTACCTGCTCACGACTCACAGTAACCAGCTGATCGCACTCGGACTGACGTTCAAACCAGCATCATTCCTGATCGGGCACCATGTTTGTAGTTTATATCCATTGCAGCTCTGGTGCTAAGCTCACCACACATCTCCCTACAAACAGAGTGCTGTGATTGGCCCGACCTTAAACAGTTTGGTCCAACGGTAGACCTACTGAGACTAGAATAGAGTGTGGCTAGACCGACCTGTAGAGCAAAGTCTTTGTGGTGGTTTGTCTAGATTTCTAGACTTACTCACACCAACGTAAACAATTAAAGGTGAAAACCAACAATCGGGTCAGAAGCTGTGGTCGCTGGACAATTGTCGCCTATGAAGACAAGGAGCTGAAGAAACCAACAGGCCTAAAGCTGCCACACCTCTGGCTGGGTGGAAGAAACAGACATTGTATTAGTGGTTACCATAGTAACAGCTGGGTGATTTGTGAACAGGTAGACACAGAGCAGCCCGCAGTGGCAGAAGACTGATTACACCTTCCTGGAGTGTTTTCTGAGCCTAGACCAGAAGGTCTCCAGGAGCCACCCCTCTCTCTCAGTGGATATGTGGACAAACAGATCACCTTTGTTAACTACACACACACTGGTGGCTTCCTGTCACGGTCTACCCACAGCAAACATTTCTGCACCTTCTCCTCTAAGCCTGGTCTGAAGACACCGGTATTCCCACTGGGAATGATGGGAAGCAGAAGCTGTGTGGAAATACTTTACCTATAAATGTTCCAGGCGGCTACAGGCAGGTTGAGCAGGAATATAAACCAGTGCATAGAGACCAGCATCAGCATTGCTGAGAGACACTGGCCCACCATCTCTGGAATCACCCACTATACGTGCACACACACACACAACACTAAAGTCTCCCAACAACAACAAAAGACAAAGTAACACGTGATGAAAGAAGTTTATTAGCTAAAAATCAACAGAGACTCACTTTGTTCAGCTTGGAGCAGCAGGCTCTGGCATTGATGTAGTCACACTCTAGATCAGACAAGGTGATAATCTGAGATTGAGGTCAAGGGTCACCAACTAATGAAGCATCACCAGGACTAGATTCTTTCATCTGTGCAACAATCAGATCAGGACCCTCCTGACCCGTACATGAATTCATTTCTTCTAGATTCGACTTTTACAATTCTGTATTATCAGCGTTTTCTAAAGATTCTTTTAGAGGCCTCCAGCTGATCCACATGCTGCTGCAAGGAGGAGAGATCAGATTTCCCCAGTTTTAGCATCACTTCATTGGCACCAAAACCCGGACCTCTGGTAAATACAAACGGAGCCCAGACTAGTCCAGTGTATGCCTATAGCAGCATAACAAAAGGGATGAGCCAGGATAACCCAGCAGCACATTGTGACTTATCTTGAAAGGTGTTTTACATATAAAGCTAAATTCCTTTTGCTTATTCTGAATTTTCTTGACCAAAGGGGATTTCTCCAACACATTAAACGATTTCTAGAGGAAGATCACAGTAGATAAGACATGATCAAACTGGTCGAGTTTGATATTTAAAACGAAAGATGATTAGGAAGACTGAGCTGTATAGCTGCTAATGGAGCTAAAACTCTGTTTTCCTGCGTTTCCTCCAACATCTGACACAAACACGCTGTTGTAGCCATTTCCTGGACAGACTTTAAGCCCCGGACTCCTTCGGCAGATCTAGAACACACAGCTCTAGGTGTGGGTTCAGTTCGGCCCAGATTAGCTTCCTGAAGCAGTAAAAGGGTTTGAGTCCACCGCCTACCTCAGCAGGAGAGAGCTGATGGGTTTTAGTAGGACCACAGAACCGTCTTCACTTCTGTTTCCGTGTCGGTGACCCAGCTCGCTACATACCATTACCAACGCCTAGATGCGGGTACAAGTGTGCTCGCTGAGGACTAAACCATCTAATGAATGACTGAGTCAAACGGCGCTGCCGCGCACAACATGCAGCAATTATGTAAAAGGATACAAAGTAAACTGAGAGGAAAATCAGTGCACAGCAGTCCACCAGCGACAGGATAAACACTGCCGCCTCCATTCTTCTTCTTTTACTTCTTCCAGTTCTTCGTCTTCGTTTTTTTTCCCTTATTCTTTTTTTTCTTTGTCTTCACAGTCGCTTTAACGCCACCCAGTGGACTGGGGCGTTACTGCGAAAAATCGTTTTTTTTTTTACAAATATCATTTTTCCATAAGCTTCCATTAAAATATATTAAGTTGTTTCAATACACGATTAATATGATTTTCTCGTCGGTTCCTAGACTTCCATCCAGTGGCACCCCCTCACTAGTTAGTTACCCCCCCCCAAGTCTCTGTGTGTGTGTTCATTCTTGTACTCACTACCAACAGAGAACCATAAGTTTTACCAACAGCGTGAGGTCGTTTTTCAAAATGAGGACATTTTTGTGGTCCTCACTTTTTTAAGCTTACCAGATGGTTTTAGAGGTATCATGTGAATAAAGTTTTAGTTAGGGTTAAGAGTAGATCAGCACTGGTAAGGGTTGGGGTATGGGTTAGGCATAGTAGTCACTAAAATGAACGGAAGTCAATCAAGGTCCACACAAACATATAAATACGTGTGTGTGTTTCTGCTCCTCACCTTTTTCAAAAATAAGTATGACTAGTTTCCAGTTTGCGTAGTGTCTTCTTTTATGCCAATTTCGGTTGTACAGACGCAACAAAATGCAACACTGCCCCCTGGGGTCACAAAATGTGAAGGGTTGCAGAATTTGGTGTAACACAGCAGGTGTCTTGTGAGTTAACAATGTTAGCTGAAACTCATGTGCTAACATCACAATATTGTACAGAATACTATCATGTACCAGACAATTAAAATATTGGTCAGTTAAAGCTTCTTTCTAGAGTATTTCTCTTATTGAATGACACCATCTAGTGGCTGGCAAGTGTATCACACAAGAACGCTGTTCCTTTGTTTTTAAGATGGCGAATTCGTTTGTTTATAAATTTGCTTCTGTAGCTGACCGAGCTAAAACACGTTGATTTACGAGTATTGTTCTCATGTCATGTTTTCATATATTTCAGAGACTTTCTTGTCCGTGAAAAGTTCAATTCTGCATCAGCCGAGGTATTCCTTAAATTTTAAGCGTCTAACTACAAAAACCAATCATCTGTCAACTGTCTCATACGTTAATATTTGTTCAACGATGCAATAGAAGTTAGTCAGCGTTTTGGACCAGGGGCATTTAATTTCAGTCCTGGGGATCCAGTATCCAGCACATAGTTTCTGCTTTACACTTGTTTCAGTGGTTTAATCACCTGTTCAACAGGTCAGGGTCTGCAGAAGCCTGTTAACCTGCCAATTCAAATATTCTCTTCACAACCAGAAATAAAATACCCCCACTTTAGACCTGTAGATAACTCATTTGTGGATGTTGAGTTAGGGTAGATTATGTGGTAAGGCTGAGAAAGGAGAGCCCAGGCAGGATTTTATCCCCAGACCCAGGGTGAGAGTCATGCACGCCAGTCAGCCAAAGGAATATCACCTTGGCCAAGAGGCCAGGACATATCAGGACACTCAACTGGCACAATTAGGACTGATGTCATCAAGGGAGTCAGTTTGTTTTCAGAATTGCTGGGGACAATAACCATACACTTGAGTGGGGTTTAAAATTTTCTGGGGACAATATAGGCTAGCACAGGGGTCGGCGGCTCTCTGTGCTTGTAAAATAATGAATGGATATTTAAATAAAAAGCTTTATATTTTACTGCATTAATTTTACATCTGTAAGCTAATTCTAAATGTAAAGATTGTCTGCGTAAACCTAAACAGTTCCAACCCGGTCTTACTGTGAGACCGGGTTGACGCGTCACGCTTGTGCGTAATCATGCGCTTCCTGAGCTGGAGGATGTCAGATTCTGGGATTCTCCTCAGCTCCTGGATGTGTCGCCACATTGGAGACAGGAACAAGCACTATTCAGCCAAAGTTTCATAACCAGGGAACATTTTCTAAGTGACAAGTCTCTGAGAGACAAGTTTTGGAAAACACTCGCTTCAGTTGGAGGAACCTTCCCGCATGCGCTCTGGTTCTGAGAGCCTGGATTTGTATTCTGAACAGTCTAAACACGTTTTAAAAAGAAACGTATGACAAAAGTGGCACCTGCTCAGTAAAACCACCAACAGGGTGAAAAATATCAAAATATTGTCGGCAGAGACGGGCTACAACTTCTGGATCATCTTTATATAAATCGTTTTATTGATTATCTTCTTATGAAAGATAACTTTGACGTACACGAGCGACCAGGCGCGTTGCAAGATTTTCAAAAGTGTGGGGGATGTTGTCTGTGCCTAAAATAATTTCATGTTATTCATCTTGTTAGTGTAATTTCCATAATAGCGGAGCAGGTACGAATTTTAGACGCGTCACGCATGTCTCCGTTTTAAACATGTTTAAACTGTTCAGAATACAAATCCAGGCTCTGTCTCGTTAGATTGGTGTAACTAAAGTTTGTACTGAATGAAACTTTACATTAAACCATGTTGAAAAGAAAAGGATCCGATTAAATCATTTCCCCTCATTTACAGTCATGACATACAGCGCAGTGCGCGTGGCTCTGGGGTTAATCAGGTTTAGTTTTTTCTCTTTGCAACAATCTTCACAAGAAGGCAAAACAGTTAAATGGCAGGTTACAGATATTTCCATTTGACTGTATTTTGATGGATAAACTCAAGGATGTTGGTTGTTTTTAAAGAATTACCCCGACGCACACTGATGCGCATGGATGAGCTGACATTTCAATACGCACATCGCAGAGGTAACTTGATTCCCATCAGAACATCAGAGCGTTATACTGGACATGTGTTCAGCACGGCTCGGAGCGCCTATGGTGGACAGTGGGCTGAAGATCTGAGGGGTTCGCAGCGCAGCGCAGAACCACGGTGCATACGATAAGATTTCCTCCCACTGAAGCGGTCTGGAAACCCGGTCTCTCTGAGGGATGTGTCACTTGGAAAAATGTTTTTATGAAATGATGAAACTTTGGCTGAACAGCGCTTGTTCCCGTCTCTAATATGGACACGCATGACGCAACCAGTCTGAGGCAGAATAGCAGCTCAGAAAGCACCTAGAGACATTTGATTACGCACAAAGTTTATGTGGAGCAGAAGCGGTCGGGCCACGGCAGGTGAAATGTTCCTAGCCTACATGAAGTGAAACTGTTTAATTGTAACATTAATATGTTACTGGACACGCTGGTCTGGTTGGTTAGACCAGTGTTGGAAGTGGAAAACACACACACACACACACACACCAATTAAAATAATGCTGATAGCGTGGACTAGAAGACAGGTGATGTTTACGTATTTAAATGATGATCAGGCTGCTGTAAAATATAATCTCCATCCACATCCAGACACAATTATCCTCTATTCTTTCTCTATTTGCTCTGCTCTTGTCTGGGATGGCGTAGCTAATGCTGCGCGCGGCGCACCTAACTAGCGGCTGATGCACATTTTACGCATTTGGAGAGGTGGGCTGGAAGCTTTGCTTTTACTGGAAGATGGTCCACTTAACGCACGGGTGTAGACTAAATATTAATGACAAATGAATGAAAATTAAACTGGGAGTTTTTACTTCATATTTTATAAATAAAAATGACGGGGGAAAACATTTATGTCTTTTTAAACGAAATTTTCTAGCGCGTCCTGCCTGCTTCACTAAGTCACTGCTTATTAAGGTCCGTCCAAAATTACCGTGGCCCATGAAAACCTGGCACCGCGCCTGTTATAAACCTCTGCAAATTGTTGTTCTTCACTTTATCAAACTCAGACTTTGTACAGCTAATGTCAAGATGTAAAATTATGAATTCAGTCGAGCTCTCCCGTCCCTCCCTCTCCTGCTCTCCTGGAAACCCGACATCGGCTGGGAGGTGAAGGAGGTGAGGCAAACAGAGTGAGAGTGCGATATAAAGAAACCAGACTGGTGTGGAGATGAGCAAAACAGCTGGAAAAGTGTGGGTGTTGAATCCCCACGGGTGCGACGCCCATGCGAGCGACCGATACCTGCTGCTGTCACCTGGTTGTGAGCAGCGCTCTGCTGTCTGAGGGTATAGGCCCCGCCCACAACGCTGCGATGTTTTCTTTACTGTGGGAAATGGGTAATAATGGCTCTTTGATGGGAACAGGTTGCCGATCCCGGTATAAGATCTGAGCTGGTCAAACAAAAATCCTCATCAGCAGGCTTTTTTTAAAGTGGGGGGGACACAGCTGCCAATCACAAATTTTGCCGGGGACATGTCCCCGGTGTCCCCGGTTAAAATGACGCCTATGGATGTCATGTTGGAACTTAGTCCAAAAATAAAATCTTTAGGGTTTCTATTTTAAAGTTTGCACTGACCAGTTTAAAGTGGCTGTTAAGCCCAAATTAAAGAACTCAATTTTACACAGCAACCCATTAAAGATTCAGGTCTCAAACTCAAAATGGAAGTGTTAGAAGATCCATACTAGTCAGACATCAGGTGACATTTTGTACTAGAGTAATCTTACAGGGCAATTCAGTGTGGGGGAAAAGGAAAGAGAGCTTTCTAAAAAGTCTTTATTGAAGAGCCAGACTTCCCAGAGCAACATTTTTAAATATTGGAGCCTCAAACATCTTCAGCAGCCTGTGACTTAAGCCTTGTGATGATGTCCTTTGCCGTGGTGGTGATGATGATATTGAGGCTCGTCTTGGTAGAGCTGCGTTGGGGTGTAGCGGAACTGGTTGAACAGCAGGCGCTTAATGTTGTAATTGGACCGAGACTTGAAAGCGTACACCTCATCCTCGTCCTCCACAGGAGTGAAGACAGGCTCATCCTCACCACTGGTGTCAGATGAAGAGCTCCAGGTCTCCTCAGTCTGCTGGTAAGGTCCACTGCTGCCTGTAGCTCCTTGCTGACCAACCTGAGGGACGCCCTGCTGGACCAGATAAGGAGAAGAACCCTCACCCACAGCAGTACTGGTGCTGCCACCATAGTAAAGCCCTGGATTGCTGCTATAACCCACAGAACCACTGGATTGCTGAGGATAGCCACTGTAGCCCACGTAGCCACTAGACTGTCCCACAGGTTTCTCATAAGCTGGTGGGGACTGAGCTTGTCCAGAAGGTGAAGCCAAATACATCCACATGGGTGGTTCACCTTCAGGGACTAAAAAGAAATGTCAGTGTCATTTACAGCCTCACCTGTTCATCTCAGGTGCACTATGGTTCAGAGTCAGCTTACCTGCTTGTTGAGGAGCACAGAAGATGCCTCCGATCAGCAGGAAAGAAATCCACAACACCCTGCAAAAAACATCCTAGGTTAAAATCTAATTTCATATCAGACGATCCAACAATTAAACTCAAATCAACCTCATCCCATGAAACTTCACTGATCAAGGATCGGGACATAATGTACTTAAGGCTGAATGGACTCACCTCATTTTGCTGCTAATGCTGACAGACTGCACCAACACAAAGTTCAGAACCTTCTGATAGTGACTCCAACCTGCAGGAACTGGTTTTAAATGATCCTCAGGGTGGCTGGAGACAATTGTAGCTGATTGCTGAGTGGGAACAGCTGCTGCAGGAACAGCAGGTTTTTTTTATTGGTGATATTAATAATAACTCCCTGTGCATGCAGGGGTTCTCTCCAGGTGCTCCGGCTTCCTCCCACGGTCCAAAACCATGACTGTCAGGTTAATTGGTTTCTCTAAATTGTCCTTAGGTGTGAGTGTGTGTGCTTGATTGTTTGTCCTGTGTGTCTCTGTGTTGCCCTGTAATGGACTGGCAACCTGTCCAGGGTGTACCCCACCTGCATGCCCAGAGACTGCTGAAGATAGGCAGCCCCCCCCCCCCCCCCCCGCAACCCTGCAAGGATAAGCAGATAAAGAAAAAAGATGGATGGATAGATATTGATGATGAGTCTGATGGTGTCACATCTCAGAGCAGCTTTTACAACTTTGGATCATGAATTTCTTCAAGAGAAACTTCAAAAGTAGGACAGGGTTTAGGAAACATTTAGGATTTTATTACTGGACTCAAACCCAGTTCTTTGTTTAAACATCAGCACAGATGGAGTAAATGAGCTCCATGCTGATTTGACTCCTCAGTGAGTAAACATGACTAAAGGCATAAAAACAGCACAAACACAAAAATAGCTTTTAAAAATAATTTTTTATCTTAAATGAAATCACATCAATTGATCTATTGAACTTACAAACAAATGCTTGTTTCTATTAAAAAAAACACAGATTTTAAGTTTTTTGTTCGAGTTGGATTCATGTAAATAAACAGGAGAAAACTTCACAAATTTTGTTTAATCTATTTGGACTTCTCTATCTTTGAACTCTCTGTCCATTCCTGTCTTCATTAATGGTTCATCACTGAGTTTTGATTCTTCACACCTTTGCTTTGGGTTCACTTGTGAATGCATCACAACAGAGACCATCATCCAAGATCAGCATGATGAGAAATAATGAAAGCATAGGTTCATATATGAGTCATATAACACTGTTTTATTTGCCATGTTTTACTTTTGTTGACCTTTAAGGTGAACAAAAACCAAATGCTTTTTCAGCTGCAGTTATATTGCTTCACTGCAAGCTAAGTTTATTTGAATGGGAAATGCAGCAGCTGGTGTTTCAGTTAAAATGATTTAAACACTTTCTGGTGAAATCACTTTTCAACGATAGTCCTTGCTTGGCAACAGATCACAAAGAGTTGTCTGTAGAAGGTGATGCATTTTAAGTCGCAAGAAATAAATATCTGAAAATCTTCAACCGGACTTCACTAAAAAGACAAATTGTGATCAAGGACAGTTCACGTTTGTCCCTTTTTACAAGTGAACTTTTGCATTTAAGTAAAATAGGACATTTTTTTAGTAGATAATGTCCTGGAACCCCTGTAGTTTGGGTTTAGAACCGAGACTGTTTTGTTAAAAGTCCTAAATGACATGTTTTTAGCTATTGATGCTGCGGACGCAGTGGCACCCTTACTTACGGACCTTATGGCAGCCTTTGACAAAGTCAATTACCAGATCTTGTCCTGCCTGGAGCAGTGGGAGGGGCACTCAGGAGCAGCTCTGCTGTGGATGAGGTCCTACCACACTGACAGAACCAAATGTAAATGCTGTGGGGATTAACCTTTTACCTTTATGCCCCAAGATTGTTTAACAGCCTCCCAAATAGCAACCCCTCCTAGGAATTTTTAAGCACCTGTAGCAGCACTTGAGGTATTTTGTGCTTTTAGACGACTAGGATGATAACTCATTTTTATGTTGGCTAGTTATGGAGTGGTGTGTAATTGGTATAAATTTAGGGTTCTTCAAATCCCCCAATGCAATATTACTTTTATTCTATGTCATTACAATTCTAAAGTTTGTAAGATTGATTGCAGGCAGGAGGCTTGGGGAAGACAGGTTTATACAGAATTATAAGTCGATCTTTTGTGTTTTATTCACTTTAGTGGTTTAATTTAACTCCCATAGTTTCAAGAGCTCATTAATTTCAAGGCATACCAGACAAGCAATGTGATACAGCTGCTGTGTTACAGAGGGGACTTTATTTTTTTAGGTTTTAGAGTAAGGAAGTAGCTTATACTAATTTACAGGAAAATCTTTATTCAAACCATTGAAGTAGAAACCCTAAAGCAGCATTTTTGAAAATTGGAGCCTCAAACATCTTCAGCATCCTGTGACTTAAAACCTTGTGATGATGTCCTTTGCCGTGGTCGTGATGATATTGAGGCTCGTCTTGGTAGAGCTGCGTTGGGGTGTAGCGGAACTGGTTGAACAGCAGGCGCATAAGGTTGTAATTGGACAGAGACTTGAAAGTGCACACCTGATCCTCGTCCTTCACAGGAGTGAAGACCGGCTCGTCCTCACTGCTTGTGTCAGATGAAGAGCTTCAGCTCTCCTCCGTCTGCTGGTAAGGTCCACTGCTGCCCACAGCGCCATGCTGACCAACCTGAGGGATGCCCTGCTGGACCAGATAAGGATGCATCTGGCACGTTGGAGAGGTGTTCTCTTCACGGATGAATCTCGGTTTACATTGTTCAGGGCAGATGGCAGACAGCGTGTGTGGCGTCGTGTGGGTGAGTGCTTTGCTGATGTCAATGTTGTGGATCGAGTGGCCCATGGTGGTGGTGGAGTTATGGTAAGGGCAGGCATCTGTTATGGACGAAGAACACGGGTGCATTTTATTGATGGCATTTTGAATGCACAGAGATACCGTGATGAGATCCTGAGGCCCATTGTTGTGCCGTACATCCATGAACATCACCTCATGTTTCAGCAAGATAATGCACGGCCCCATGTTGCAAGGATCTGTACACAATTCTTGGAAGCTTAAAATGTCTCAGTTCTTGCATGGCCAGCATACTCACCGGACATGTCACCCGTTAAGCATGTTTGGGATGTGCTTGACCGGCACATATGACAGCGTGTACCCGTTCCCACTAATATCCAACAACTTCGCACAGCCATTGAAGAGAAGTGGACCAACATTCCACAAGCCACAACTGACAATCTGATAAACTCTGTGCAAAGAAGATGTGTTGCACTGCATGAGGCAAATGGTGGTCACACCAGATACTGACCGTTTCTGAGACCCCAGACCCCCAATAAAGCAAACAACTGCACATTCCAGGGTGGCCTTTTATTGTGGGCAGTCTAAGGTACACCTGTGCACAACTCATGATGTCAGATCAGCATCTTGATGTGACACACCTGTGAGGTGGGATGGATTATCTCAGCAAAGCAAAGGTGCTCACTATCACACATTTAGACTGATTTGTGAACAATGTTTGAGAGAAATGGTAATAATGTGTATCTGGAATGAATTTTAGATCTTTAAGTCCATCTCATGAAAAATGGGAGTAAAAACAAAAGTGTTGCATTTATATTTTTGTTCAGTGTAAATTACCTTATCATTAGGAAATAAGGGATTAATATATGGTGTCCTAAACTTCCACAAGTACTGATTGTGCTTTTTTTTAAATTATCATCTGTGAATGACCTGGTTTGCTCCCTCGAACTGATTCTTAACTACTATCATTAATCAGTCAATATCATTAGAGATTATCCAATATCATCAGAAACATTATCTATTGGAGATAGATAGATTTCTAGGTTATCATGGTTTTATCCATTTTGTTGTTATCATATGACATTAGACATCTTACAGGTCAAAGACTACTACTCGAACCATGGGTCAAGTCCATTTATAACTTTGAAACTTTCCTAACAAATGAGTATTATAAACAAATCTCCCTATTTATGACTGAATTTACCTAAACCTTGATTTAGTGTTCATGATTTCAGTAATGTCTAATTTATGATCAGTTACTTCTATATGAGGATGTTAAATTATCTGTATAGTTACGGAATCTAGTTCTTTAAAGTTATGAAAAGTGTTATCTATCTGCCTCTGCCCTCAATTAACCGTTTATGTAATTAATATTGAACTCCTTCCTAGTTGGTTAATGAATATTTTCTGTCGTTTTGCTAAAAGAGAAAGACTTCTCTTTTGTTGCGTAAATCAGCTCTCACTTTCTTATCTCCTTCTTTATTCAACAAAGAGAGCAGCCTTAACCTTGACTCATCATTGTTTTTGATTTTATTATTTGCTAGACGAGCATTATAAGATGACACTGGTCCTACATGACCCTTAGATGTGATCAGTAGCATGATGATCTAACAAATATTCTTTGATGGTCACGTTATTTTGAGAATGACCTGATTACATGTTCATCTAGTAGTTTCTAAGTCTGTCAGTCTTTTATTTTGTTTATTTCTTGCTGTTTTCTGAATATAAATACTTTAGCTGTTCATTATCACACTTAGGTTATATTCCTCTGCTTGACCTTTAAACTAATTATGGCTCTTCCTCAGCATGCCTTTGGTTCCTGAAGTATGACCATTTTAGACAAATTACATTTTTACAAATTGCAAATTACATCTCCTGCTTAGAACGTCTTTTCCTTTCCTGAAACAATTATCTTTTCAAATACACTTAGGGTTGTGTGACCCCAAGATCACCTTCAATTGTTTTTTTGAACGCTCACTGTCGCTATGTGACAAATGACTTTGAATTTCCTTAAATAAATCTGCTGTTCAGTTTCACTTACAGAGTTTTAATTTAGCAGTATTTATCTCCTGTTGGCAAATATCAGGCATTATTAAGATGACATTGTACATTGTTGATGTACTCTGAAACACCCTTATTTTACTAAATCTATGTGAAGTTGAAAAATTAATTTTATAATTAGGACTTGTTTTGTTGTTAGTTAACTCTAGAGTTAGAAGCAAAGAGATAAAATTTAAAAAAGTCACTTGGTCTTGGACATATTCCCTAATTTAGCTCTGATGATGTAAATAAAGGTGAACGTTTCTGGCATAAGGAGAGCAAAATGCTTAGAGTCTATGACATTATTATTTTGTGATATGAGCTTGTGGATGCTGACGAGCTCCCTTTTTTCCCCCCAGATGGGTTGATTCTTTTTTGATTTCATTAGATCACAATCTTCTGCAACAGCTGTTCTACAGCAAGCAATTTTCTTTACACTGATTATGGCTTTTTTGTTAGTTTGTTTTGTCTTGTCTTGTTTTGGTTGTTTTATGCACACTGTGCTGCACGACTCTGCCCCCTGCTGTAGTAAACTGGTAATTGCAAGTTCCTTGGGATGGGTATTTTTTAGCTTTTAGAGGAAAGATGTAAAGCAGGATCCATCTTTTGCATCGATTTGACGCAATGCTTGCCGGTATCGGACCTGTTTTGTTTATATCTTTTTATGACTCTTTTGCTCTGATGAGCCATGAGTTGTTTCATGCCTCAAGAGGAGGGATGGCTGATAACGATTTCCTCACATTATCACACTGCCTGGATGAAAATACTTTAAATATTGGATGATAAGAATTTTTGCTGAAAACAAGTCAAAATCAACAGGATCTCCCAGAATTTTCTTGTGCTTTTTCGCCCATAGGTTGTAAAACCAGGAAATTGGGTCCTGATGAAGGTGCTGAAACAAGACAATTGGGGCAGCCAGAGGTAAGAAGGTCCATTCGAAGTACTCCTCACCACTTCCACTGCTGTGAAAATTGCTGAAAGGCCATCTTGGATTCATCTATCCCACTGCAAGTTTATCGACGTCAACTAACTGCTTTTAGAGCACACAGAAGTCCGGCTTCAAAGGTGTGATGGTAACAATATGTACTGATGTCTCAACTCTGGTGAAGATGGAGATTTGCATCAAGCTTGCTGGTTTCACCACATTGTTGATGTTGGTGTACGTTTATGGCCCTGCACTTGGGCCGCCTCTCAGCACCTGATGGAACGACTGGGACAGCAGCATTTGAGGGGGTACTAGAACTGGAACTGAAACGACGGATTGGGGCTCCTCCCTGACCGCACACCTACATGACAACGTGACCTGCACCCACCTCGGCTGACGACGCCCTGGACGCAACTATGACAGGACACAGCGATGAAGGGACGCTGGAAAAGGAAAACTGCTTCAATCAACTGCACCCAAACTCCAACCTGGTTTCACGGTCAAAGGATCAGAAGGACTTTTTGGGGACAAGATCAGCTCCCTGACAATTGGACAACCACCTCAACACGCCACGGAAGGACCCCGACGTCTTCCTATTGAGAAGTTGAACTGTGCACTTTCACATCCCAAACTCCATTATTGCACTCCAGACCTAGACTTCAAGGTACTCATCAATGTGAGCCTGAATCATCCTGATCAACTGAAGAGGACTCTGACCTTTCAAACTATTCTCCAACCGAGACTCTCAGTCCACGAACAAGCCCTTTGATGAAGAACGCTTGATTTGCCTCAGCTTCTGCCACAGTTAGAGCTGCATAAATTAATATTACACGTTCATTTTTCCTCATTTACAGGAAGAGTCATCTGCAACTTGAAGCGTTAAATTAAATTCATCTGATGTTTCAATAAACTCTTCTGATGTTTTCTGTATATTATCTGGTTTTGCTAACCCTTCCCAGTCTCTTTACAGGAACTGCTATAAATTGTAGAACTGTTGCATTATAATAAATTCACTTAAATGTGTATGTAATACCTCTTTATAAGTTTATGATGGTGTTGATTTAACTGATTTCTATTATCCCACTTGTATCTCTGTAAACTGCTGTTTGACGTTATTGTCAGTTGTGTTAGCCTTACCGTGTTTTATTATTTTATTCGTTCTTTATTATTTTACTTATTTGTTCTTTGTTGTTTTCTTTTTGTTTGGTTATCCGATTTGGATAAACAGGAGGGATTATGTTATAGAATTGTTATGTTTTACTATTTCTTGATCATTAATTCTATTAACTGAATGTCCTGAAAGCATTCTCTCTCTCTCTCTCACACACACACACACACACACACACACACACACACACACACACACACACACACACACACACACACACACACACACACATTCTTGTTACCTTGTAACTTCCCACACACACACACACTCTCTCTCTCTCTCACCTCACTCCCATTCCTTTCTTATCTTTTGTAATAAATAAACTCTGTGAGCAGAACTTTGGGGCATTTGCCTTGTGCTTTTGCCACAACTTGCAATTTGGTTGTATGTCTGCATTATTGTGTCTCTCCTTTTGTCTTCAACTGCAGGAAATGGGTTTATTGATAAATATATATTGATAAAATCCCTAACAGAGTTGAAGGCAGACACATCGATGATGCTGAAGAAAAGAATCTGTGGCCACAACTGATCTTTCTTCTGCAGCTGTAGGTGCTGACAACCTACAATAGACCAAAGTACAAATATGCCTTCTGAATACTAAAAAAAGGTACATGCAGTAATAATTGTGTAAAAGCCAAGCACATACCTTGTCCAAGTTGTCAACACCTCCTTTGCAGTGGTTGTAATCTGTGATGATCACAGGTTTCTTCTTATCATCATGGACAGCTGGCCCTCTG